ATTTCTGCAAGTTCCATTCGACGCTTTTCATTGATCTGTCTTATGAGCTCTTCTGCCTCTGCGTTTACTTTGGCTACTTGTACAGTGTTTCGCTCCTTTTGGTCTTGTGACTTTGTCTGGAATGTGACGGATACCTTTTCCTTGATGTCTATGAAATGACCATCCATCTCCCGCGAACAACTCTCTATCTTGTCCAGAAAACTCTGCGTCTCATTCTGCTTCGCTGAAATCTCTTCGACATCTTTTTTCACGATTTCTCTCTTCTCAGCGAAGAACTTCTCAATGTCTTGCATCTGATGCCCATGGTGAGTTGTCAAGGCACATGTGTGGCACACTGCTACTTTGCATTTGCAGCAGAGCAGTTCTACTTCTTTGCTCTCGTGTTGTGGACACGGCCATTTTAAAGCTCCATGAGACATATCAGCCAGAATGGCGCTGGCCAGATTGCGGGCACATGTTGGACATAAATGGCGTTGTTCAACAACTTTGTACCCTTGTGTTTCGTCAACACCATCATTGCCGCATTCCTCGCACTTGAATCCCAGTGCGTCGAAGAGGCTTGCCATCGTGTATTACGAACTGAATAATCTCCTTTTCTAAAAACGAATCGAAGCGCTGCTTAGATGGCAACTCACAGGTAGATAGAAGACAGATTGGTGTGAAATAAAATCATGCAGAACTCGCCCGAGCCATACTCAATACTATGTTCGATGATCAGCGTGCATAGGGTGTATTACAACGCTCCGAAATATGAATTTTTTTGTATGATGGCCTCATCACTCCTCGACGTAATGACTGCTTGCTTCCGCTATCCCAAATGATTACGTCCGGCTACCAAACATTGTACTTTGATAAAACTGATTGTGTAACTGAATTGGAGCCCGGGGAAAATAAACATTAGACAAATGTTTCTACGGGAGCGTTGTTGAACATTAATTATTCTCGCATCAGTTGTTTCGTTCATTTTACTCAGTGAAAACCGTATCAATAAGAAAGACACAAATGAAATTAAGCATCATGAATATCTGTAGTTAATAACATCAGTTATAATCTATCCAAACATTTGCTACTGCTTCTGTTTTTAGTGTATATTAAATAAGTATTAAGCAACAATAAGTATCCTTTCAATGCAGTAATATTTGATATGTTGAGACGTTCTGACATTTTTCTAGAAACCCATGCAGACTCAGAGAGCTAAATTACATTTCTTGTCATAAACATCTAGATAAATGAAATATCTAACTGCTTGACATAAATCAACATATCTTTCGCTATCAACACTACTTTATGTCTAAAAAGTGACTAAGTGTGCTTAAACTATACATGCAGTTTGACCTGGTGCTGACCTACATAGTGGCACAATAGGGACTTTTAGATTCGCACGAAGACAATGGGGATCGCTACGATCGACGTCCTTTTAATGCACTGCCTTGAATGGACGTCACACGTATCAGTAGACGCAAATCTAAAAGTCCCTATTGTCATTTACGTTGACATCCATACAACTTCACTCTTCATTAAACAAAACCTGAATCTTCTATATTCATTTAAATCCTGATTTCCATCCAATTATTACAAATCTACCTTTTATATATGACCATTTTGTATACATTTATCATCATCTTCAAAATATGTTATGCACATATAAGAATTGAAGCGAACATCGAACCTATTAACTTGTATCTCTAGCATACTATGTTTCGTATAAAATATACATCATTTATGTAATAATTAAATTAAACTCTTTGCCTCATTTTTGCACTAAATTGAAATACCAGGTTCCAGGATGCCCAGGAATTTGGGCAATTCTGTCCTCAAATCAGTCCCATGTTTTCACTATTTGACTGTAGAATGAGTTTGGCACAGGGTATACGTAGATCTATTTCAATATAGACTTTGATCGAGGACCTTGAGTGTTTTGCATGAAATGTCGAGCAATCAATTGCATACATAAACAAAGAATAAGAATGTCAAAGGTGCCCAAATGTGTGTGATATGTATTCAATTCTATTCAATTCAATTTATTTTATTTTCACATTTGATGAAAAAGAAACAATAACAAACATACACAATACAAAGTCACTCTAATACAGTGTTGCCACACTATGTTTACAAAGTCAACTATATGTGTACACTGTGTGGACATTATGTGTTCACATTGTTATCACAGTGTGGAGTTTCAAGACCATGTGGTTTACAACATAATATCCACATAAACTGACAGAGTACCACATATTTACCTCATTGGTATATGTATTGAACTATGTGTAACTCTGTGATCCCAGTATTGTCACAGTGTGGGGTTCAGATCATGTGATTTACCACATAGTCCTACATATTTAACACAGAGTAACACATGTTAACCACAGTGTGATATGTACTGAACTATGTGTAAACTCTGTGTTCACAGTATTGTCACAGTGTGGGGTTCAGATCGTGTGATTTACCACACAGTCCTACATACAGTGTGAGTCGAAAAAAAAAGTGTACACCTAGAAAATTGCTAATTATTTAAAAAATCATCTATGAACAGTTAATTATTATATATCTTATAAAGGAGTGTTTTATCCCAAATCATTTGGTATAATTTTTGTGTGGTATGTGTTCACGCCTGGATGAACAGGAGGCATTGTTTGCGAGAGTGCAAAAATCGACTTGCGCCAAAGTGGCTTATGTGAAGTTTAAATAAAAATATTGTGTTTTGGGTATTAAATCGGTTTTTGCAGATCCACATAACATTTCTACCAAAATCATGCCCCACATATTAATATCGAATATCAAATATCGACGAACATTTGGGCGCACGTGTGTGTGTGTGAGTGTGTGACTTTGTTTCTGCAAAAAGCATATGCAATGCATTTCATTTGATACATTCAATTCATTCTCTCACTCCGCTAATCCCAACATAATACATGCTGTAGGCGTCACTTTGGCGCAAGTCCATTTTCTAGGTGTAAACTTGTTTATGACTCACATGGTATTTAACACAGAGTGACACATATTTTCCACAGTGTGGTATGTATCGAACTATGTGTAAACTCTGCGATCCCAGTATTGTCACAGTGTGGGGTTTAGATCATGTGGTTTACCACATAGTCGTACCTTTTTAACACAGTGTGACACATATTTACCACAATTATGGTATGTATCACTATGTGTAAACTCTGTGTTCACAGTTTACTGTCAGTGTGAGATTTTTAGATCATGTGGTTTAACCATAACGTAATATTCACATATTTGTATATACTTATCACACAGTGCCACATGTTTACAAAATTGTGTCATAAGAGTAAATACTGTTCATATTTTTGTCATAGTTTGGTTTCTCCCAGCATTTTAAAATATGTGAAAATTGTTTATTCACAGGGTAATTTCTACAGAGCGATCTTCCTAAATTACTTAATCACACACTTACCACAGAGTCTCATATAGTCTATACCTGTACATGTCGCCGTATGGCGGCAGCCCAGAAGGAAAAACCAGTTACCACCAGTTCAAATTTCCAACTGGTTCCAGTTATAAATTAAAATGGTTCCCAGTTGACGGCAACTGGTTCCAGTTGATTCTAACTGGTCCATATAATGCATATCAAGCGGATATTTGGTCGACTGCATTTCATTTAACGGGAACCAGTCCTTCATGACCAGTTACACCAGTTGAAAACTGGTCTAGTTGCATATTTCCAGTTGCACCAGTTGAAAACTGGTCTGTGGGCATATTTCCAGTTGCACCAGTTGAAAACTGGTCTGTGGGCTTATTTCTAGTTGCACCAGTTGATAATTGGTCTGTGGGCATATTTCCAGTTGCACCAGTTGATAACTGGTCTGTGGGCTTATTTCCAGTTGAACCAGTTGAAAACTGGTCCGTAGGGGGTTTAGTTTAATCAGTTGACACCACTTAATTTGCATAATTAATATGGGGTGCGTGCAGATCTATGCTTTTATACAATTAATCTGAATTTAAAGCATATTTCTTAATTACTGATGATTGAGTTATATATTTATTTCGAAAATACTACAAACTAAAAACTGTCAATTATTAGGACGTTTCACTACTTTTTTTAAAATTACATTTAATTAAACATGAGTAAGGGAAATCTAACTATGAACTAAAATATATTCAATAAAATAAAATTATATGGAAATCATGTGACACGAAACATATAACCAATGCCATTACATTAGAAATTACAGATGAACCGGGTAAACCAGACTGTGTTACTTGTTGCCCTAGGCAAGATTAATTAGTATAATTGCTTCTTAAAGCGTTAGTTACTAATTAATTGTTTCATTGGAGGGTGTGGTATACTATGAGGTGGATGCCACAGTGTACCAGACAATGCGGTATGTGCCACAGTGTGTTAGACTATGTGGTAGACTATGTGGTGATTATGTGGTTGGTCCAAGAGCGTGCTGCCACGTGTGATTTTGGGACGTGTGTTAACGCCGTGGTGTTCTATGTGGTGCGTACCACAGTTTTGCTCGTCTATATGGTAACGCTGTGTCATAACACGCTGTGGTATCAACCACATAGTCTACCACATTGTGGTACGTTCCACATAATACACCACACCGTTACAACATGTCCTAAAATCACATGTGGCCCACATGTGGTACCACACTGTGTTTGGCTATGTGGTACACAGTGATTGTTCCATAAGGGCAATTCCATCAAATAACAGAAAAGAACAAAAATATCAAAATGTGAGGGGACAAACAAAGGCCAAGGCCTATCAAAGGCTTGTCCCTAAACTATATGAGTAATTAAATATACATTAAGTGCCACTTAATAAGTGGTACAACAGGAAGAAAGAGAAAAAACAAGGCAAACGTACCGCTTTACAGACTCAGAGGGTGTATGATTTAATAAGATTGGATTTCTATATTTAAAAAAAAACTAGATAAGGAAGGTTGATTCTTTATTTTGGACCCAAGACTATTCCACAATTTACCGAAAACATCTTTAAACATCTATGATGGAAATGAAAGAATAATATGTGTTGCATACGATGTGGGGTATTATGACGTCAGAAGCGAAGTTTTGGTTATTTTGGGTTTAGCCATAGAGGGCAGTTGCGAATTTGTTAGGGAAACTAAAACACGTTGTTGCAGTTAGTTATCGGCACTGAAAGTGCACCATTTTTTGGTATTTTGACACAAGCCCAATGTTGTGAGTATTTATTTACCTCTGTTTATTGAAATATGATGACTATTGTTGTGTTTGATGCTATTGGTGATAAAAATGAAGAAATGCAAATAGTGTAAAATTAAGTAAGAAAATTGTTACTCACGTACGTAAATTTACGTTGTGTGTGGGCATGCAGTTGTGTATAAAGTCATTGGGTTAGAATTAATTTCGGTAAACGTAAAGAAGACAGATATGAATATGACAGAAAAGTTGTATTATTATTAGTTTCAGTGGATTATGTTAGAAATGTATACAGTATAAGCTGTCCAATATTCAGTTGGTTTTTGGATTAGTATGAAAGACAAAATGTTCTATAAAGAGTAGTTGACAGAAAGTAGGTCAGGTATGCCAGGGGTCATTATAGATTTGTAGTCTTTCGTGCAGCCTGTTATTAAGATTTAGGTTACCACTAAATGATATGTTGGGCCTATTATGCTTTGGTAATTAATAGTGAGTCAATAGGTTGTATCAAAGGAGCTATGAACTCATCTTAGCAGAAAAATGTAAAGATATTTCCTAACTCATATTATGCCATTTATTTACAGTTATTTACAAACCTGTTTATTATTTGACTGGATAAGATAAACAAATGTTGGATAGATTATTTGATTGTCATATCAGCTATGCTAAGTAGCATATTGGATGCATTATTCTAGTAATGCTTATGATTGTGTTTTTTATCTTTTATTAAAGGTTGAACCTTGCACCTGCCAGTTTGGAGTCTTGGTATCACAAAAGGGTGTCGCTGTGTTATTCATTCGTCAATGGTGTCTTTTGGTTAAGTGAATTAATCGTCAATCGTCAATCGTCAATCACATCAGTTCAACAACAGCTTGGTAGTGAGAGCTACAAGTCAAGAACGTCAAGATGAATACCATCAGTGAAGATGGTAATAATGAGACTGTGAAGTCCAGTGACGAGCTGGTTGGCCTTGGTGGTGCTGTTAACGTTGATGACATCACACCGCATGATTCAGTGAGCCAATGTGGGGGAAGCACTACTATCTCCACGTCATCCAAGTCCTCAAGGCTAAAGGCTATGGCGAGAAGGGCTGCTCTTGAGGCAGAAGCTGAAGCCTTAAGAGAGCAACAGGAGCTCGAGATGGAAGAATTCCGCTTGAAGCAACGCAAAGCCCAGCTGTTGCTGAAAACCCAGTTAAAGGTTGCTCAAGCTGAAGAGAGGGTGTATCAGCAAGATAATGCTCCATATGCACAGTCTGTTGCAGGAACAGGTGGACCTACTCCCGCAAGGTCATCCGTTGTGCCTTCAATCACGAATAACTACAAACCTGTTATGATGAAGCCAGATGAGGACGAAACTGTACCTTCTCCTCACACACAGACGGAAATGCTGCTGCTGCAATTACTGGAGCAAGGACAACGACAACAGCGGGGGCTGTTAGAGTCTGTATCCCTTCCTCATGCCACTCTGTCTACCTATCAAGGTGATCCGCTGAAGTACCATGAGTTTTGGAGGTCCTTTGAGAACAGTGTTGACCAAACTTCAGTAGACGACGCTGTCAAGCTGACACGCCTCCTGCACTATTGTGCTGGCGACGTTAAGAAGTTGCTTCAACCATGTATGATTATGAAGCCTACAGAGGGCTATCACAAGGCAAGGATTCTACTCAAAGAAAAGTATGGAAATCCAGTAATGATTGCTCATGCCTGGCTTAGAAAGGTTACTGAAGGAAAGAACATTGCTGCACAAGACAAACATGGACTAGCTGAAATGGCGGATGAAATCCAGATTTGTGTGCAGACGCTAGAAGCAGTAGGTCAGGCATCTGAGCTGACTTCTCAACATGTTCTGCTGAAGATAGTAGAGAGGCTACCATACCATCTGAGGACAGGATGGTTAAAAGTTGTAGGAAGAGCTAGAAAAGAGGGTCGACTTCCAGCTATTACGGATTTGGTTGCATTCTTGCAACAGATTGCAGATGAAGAGAATGACCCTGTCTTCGGTAGGCTGACAATTAGAGATCAAGGCAGTAAGATGTCAGCATTTAAGAAGTCTGGGAAGACATCGAGAGGGGTCTTTACTACTAGTACAGATGCTGAAGGCAGCAAGACACGGAGCTGCATTCAGTGCGGTGGAGAGCATTCCTTATTCGGCTGCAGTGAGTTTAAGCAACTCAAGATTGAGGACAGGCTTAAACTGGCCCAGAAGGAAAAATTGTGCTACAATTGTTTGAAGAAAGGTCACATGACCAGGGACTGCAAGTTAAATAGGACATGCTCAGTAAGTGGGTGTAACAGGAAACACACCAAGTTTCTACACCTTATCAGACAGCCTTCACAGACTGATAGCACGGAGTCTCGGAGGGATATCGGAGAGTCATCAAGTGATGCCAGGAATTCACCAACGTCATCTGAAACGGAGGCAACTACTCATCACTCGTCATCCTCTCATGTTGCTGAAGAAAGTTGTAGTGTCATAGGGGCCGGTAGTAAAGTAGTGCTACCTATTGTTCCCGTTCGAGTACGAGCTAGAGGGAAAGAGGAGTATTTTGACACTTATGCCTTGTTAGACACATGTTCAACATCAACATTCTGCACTTTGGAGTTGACGCGTAAGATCGGGGCTGAAGGCACAGAGCAGAGCCTTTCCATGTCGACTCTAGACAAGTCAAGGATTGTCACAACGTGTAAAGCAGTCAACCTGGAAGTTGAAAGTCTGTCAACTCAATATAGAGTCAGTCTCCATCATGTATTAGCCAAAGAGAAGATAAATGTTAGCAGTGCACTTGCTGCTGATAGAAGTGACATTCGCCAATTTGCCCACCTTGCAGATCTGAATCTACCGGCTGCTAGACCTCAAGACGTCATGCTACTAATTGGACAAGATGTGCCAGAAGTATTGGTACCAAAGGACGTTAAGTATGGCGAACCCGGGCAACCTTATGCTGTGAGGACGGCATTAGGATGGACCGTGAATGGACCAGTTGGGAACCGGCACAGAGACCATGACATATCGTCAAGCTTTATTTCCAGTGATGCTAATTTGGAGCTTCAAGTGGAAAGGTTCTGGTCACTTGAATCAGGGTCGCTAGCAGAACAATCTAAGTGTATGTCTGTCAATGACAAGAGAGCTCTGAGAATTTGGGAGGATAGTATCCAGAAGAAGGGTGATCACTACCAGTTGTCTATACCCTTCAAAGAGAGACCCCAAGAACTGGCTGACAACATATATGTAGCAGAAAAAAGGCTACAGAGTCTTGGTAGGAGATTGAGGCGAGATGAGGATCTACACAGACGATATACCAAGGCTATGTCAGGATTGGTGGAGGATGGATATGCAGAGAGAGTAGAAGAAAGGAATGCAGGTTCAGGCAAACCTGTTTGGTATCTTCCTCACCATCCTGTTGAGAACCCTAACAAGCCGGGCAAGACAAGAATTGTGTTTGACTGTGCATCTACATACCAGGAAAGATCGCTCAATGATGCAGTTTTGCAAGGCCCTGACTTAACAAACACACTTCTGGGTGTTCTCTTGAGGTTTCGACAGGAGCCGATTGCCATTATGGGGGACATCCAAGCGATGTTCCATCAAGTACAAGTCCCGCCTGATGAAAGAGATATGCTGCGGTTTCTCTGGTGGCCAGAAGGAGATATTGAGAGACAGCCAATGGTCTACAGGATGTGTGTACACCTCTTTGGAGGGACCTGGTGTCCCAGTGTTTGCAGCTTTGTACTGAGGCATACCGCTGAAGACCAAGCCGAAGAATTCTCCCCAGACGCAGTAAACGTGGTAAAACGCAACTTTTATGTTGACGACTGCCTGGTATCAGTGAAGGAAGAAGATAAAGCAGTTCAACTCGTAGATGAGCTGAAGAGAATGCTGAAAGGAGGAGGTTTCAACCTCACAAAGTGGCTAAGCAATAGCCCAAAGGTAATGGAGTCTGTGCCTGCTCATGACAGGGCAAAGGAAGTGGAAGGACTCGACTTAAGTTATGATACCTTACCGATTGAGAGGGCCCTGGGTGTCAAATGGAACATTGAACTAGATACCATGACGTATGGAATCACCCCGAAACACAAGCCCTGTACCCGTCGTGGAGTGCTGAGTGAGGTTTCCTCGGTATATGATCCGTACGGATTTGCAAGCCCATATGTGTTGAATGCCAAGATCATTTTGCAAGAGCTCACGGCTATGAAATTGGATTGGGATGAGCCATTGCCAGAGAAGCAGCGTGAGAGCTGGCTGAACTGGAAGAGAGATCTGCTGCTTATGGAGGATTTCAACATCAGCAGGTGCCTAAAGCCTCATGATTTCGGAGATGTGACGGAGTACCAATTGCACCACTTTTCTGATGCTTCAGAGAGGGCATATGGTGTGGCCTCTTATCTCCGAGTGACGAACCAGGAGGGCAAGGTCTATTGCAGTCTAGTAATGGCCAGGACTCGGCTCACTCCGCTGAAGAGAGTTACGATACCTAGACTGGAATTGATGGCAGCGACGCTTGCTGTGAGACTCGATGGTATGCTGAGACGTGAGCTAGACTTCACCCTGAGTGACTCTGTGTTCTGGAGTGACAGCACTATAGTGCTCCAGTATATCAAGAATGTGGAAAGACGATTCCACACATTCGTCGGAAACAGGATTGCAGTAATCCATGAAGGATCTGACCCAAAGCAGTGGCACTACGTCAACACTCGGCAGAATCCGGCTGACGATGTCTCAAGAGGGATGACAGCTGAGGCGTTAACAACCAGCGAGAGATGGGTGAGTGGACCCAGCTTCTTATGGTGTGAAAATGAGTCAAGGCCTGCAAGTCAAGTCTTAAATGATGTCAGTCTAGATGGCGACCCTGAAGTTAAGAGCAAGGACAAGGCTGGGGTTTATATGACAACTCTCTCAGAAGAAACTGCCTTAATGAACAAACTTCTTGAACACTACTCCTCGTGGCACAGGTTGAAGAAAGCAGTTTGCTGGCTACGGAGGTACTTGAAATGGCTGAGATGTAAATGTACACAGGGTCCTGAAGGCATTTCAGCTGAACTTTTGCATGGAAGCTTGGTGGTGGAAGAGATGAAGGACGCAGAGGAGAAAATTCTGCAATATGTACAAGCAGTCAGCTTCCCTCATGAGATGTCAACCTTGCAGGCTGAGCAGAATGACAGTGCACACCAAGAACAGAGCTGTAAATTGGTCAAGAAGACAAGTCCAATCTACAAGCTAGACCCAAGGATGATAAATGGCCTACTGAGGGTAGGAGGAAGGCTTGGCAAGGCAATGTTGCAAGAGGAGGCGAAGCACCCAATTATACTTCGCAATGATAGTCATGTCGCCAAGCTTATCCTGAGTGAAATCCATGAGGCATCGGGACATAGTGGCAGAAATCATATGTTGTCTTGCCTCAACCAGAAATATTGGATTCCTGCTGCTGGCTCTGTGATCAGAAGGATACTGACTAGATGTGTTGTGTGCAGAAGGCAGCGAGGGAAGGTTCTTGAGCAAAAGATGGCGGACTTGCCAGTTGACCGGCTTATTTCAGATGAGCCCCCCTTTTCAAGAGTTGGAATTGATTATTTTGGACCGTTGGAAGTGAAAAGGGGTCGGAGTGTCGTAAAGAGATATGGGGTGCTATTCACATGTCTTACTGTGAGAGCAGTGCACCTTGAGATGGCAGATTCCCTTGACACAAGCTCTTGCATTAATGCTATCAGACGCTTCATTGCACGCAGGGGAAATGTGAGAGAAATTAGATCTGATAACGGCACTAATTTGGTTGGAGCAGAGAGAGAACTGAGGACCGAAATACAAAGTTGGAACCAGGCTCAGATACATGATACATTGTTGCAGAAGAATATCAAATGGACATTCAATCCACCCGCAGCTAGTCATCATGGAGGGGTGTGGGAACGCCAGATCCGAACTGTGAGGAAGCTGCTGTGTTCCTTGGTTAAGCAGCAAACCGTGAATGATGATTCATTGCATACACTCTTCTGTGAGATTGAAAGCATCATGAACAGCCGGCCAATCACTGAGGTGTCCAGTGATGTAAATGATGTGGAAGCCTTAACTCCGAATCATCTGCTTCTACTCAATGCAAAATCACCACTGCCTCCCACAACTACCAGTGAAGCAGACAACTATGCCAGGAGGAGATGGCGCCAGGTGCAGCTTTTAGCGGATACCTTTTGGTCGAGATGGGTGAAGGAGTACTTACCACGGTTGCAAGAGCGGCAGAAATGGGCTACTCCACGACGCAATATTCAGGTCGGCGATCTAGTTTTGGTAGTTGATGAGCACGCACCACGTAACTGCTGGCAGATAGGAAGAGTGCTTCGAACCATGCCAGACCGAGAAGGCAACGTTCGGCAATGCGAAGTGAAGACGCAAACTAGCACACTTCGAAGACCTATCGCTAAGCTCTGTTTGCTCCTGGAAGTGGATTCCTGAGATTTTATGTGTTAAATCGCGTTAAGGTGATATCATAATAATGGATCATGGTTCATTGGATGGCACATGGATCTGCAATATTTGTGGTGTAATTTAAAATAAGTGTTAGAAGTGCGAGCCTAGCAACGCCTCCCCTTTATGATATATTAGTGGACCGCTGTTTATTGGATGGATTCAGTCACTCGCCGTAAGTTTCTCAAGTTTAGTAATTTAGCGGTCTTCGTTATCGCGGTCTTACATCGCAAAGGATTTCTTCTGACACAAAAGGGAGAACTGACCATACCGAGATTGAACGCTTTCGCAAAGAAACATTAACATTCAGATTGATAAACACTATAAGAGTGAAATTTGATACATCGAACAATGACAATCAGAAAAAGGATTGTTGGAGATATATCCCATGGAAGGACTGATAGTTGAATATTTAAATATTAATCCATGCATGAAATATGTTTTATAATATGTATACATAAGATATTGGTAGAAATACATGCAACTCCTGTTGTTTCCCTTTTTTTTTTTTTTGTGCATTGAGGCCAAATATCAGATTTGGGGTTATAAAAGGAAAACAAAACAAAAAAACAACAAAAAAAACAAAAACAAACAAATAAAACATGACAAGGGTTGCAGTTATTTCACATGTGCAGAAATTTCTATGTTATGTTTATATGCAGGTTGTATCTGCTTGACAACATAATCCATATGGTGACATATGGAGACTGAAAAGGAATTTTCATCAAGAGTAGTTAAATCCTAAAATGTATCCAAAGCTACTGTTTGTATTAGGAGTAAAAGGAAAGGAAAATTTGTCTGAAATTTCAAAGATATGTATATATGTTAATATAAACTTGATACAGTTTGGAGAAAATGATTAAGTACAGCCAGTGAAGATTTAGAAAATGTTATTATCAGTTACATACACGATGGAAGTTATTTGCATAAGAAATACCTTTACCGTAGATGAAAGGGTTTGATTTATATGTGTATAAATAGTGGAGTACGTTTTATTTTTACATTTATGTGCTTTTTCATAGTATGTTAACAGATTTAAATGGGATGTTTGTGTTATTAACCGAAATACAATTTCTATGAAAGGGTTGTATGATAGGATAAGTTATGTAAATGTTCATAGAATGTTCACATTTAAGGGGCCGGAATGTTGCATACGATGTGGGGTATTATGACGTCAGAAGCGAAGTTTTGGTTATTTTGGGTTTAGCCATAGAGGGCAGTTGCGAATTTGTTAGGGAAACTAAAACACGTTGTTGCAGTTAGTTATCGGCACTGAAAGTGCACCATTTTTTGGTATTTTGACACAAGCCCAATGTTGTGAGTATTTATTTACCTCTGTTTATTGAAATATGATGACTATTGTTGTGTTTGATGCTATTGGTGATAAAAATGAAGAAATGCAAATAGTGTAAAATTAAGTAAGAAAATTGTTACTCACGTACGTAAATTTACGTTGTGTGTGGGCATGCAGTTGTGTATAAAGTCATTGGGTTAGAATTAATTTCGGTAAACGTAAAGAAGACAGATATGAATATGACAGAAAAGTTGTATTATTATTAGTTTCAGTGGATTATGTTAGAAATGTATACAGTATAAGCTGTCCAATATTCAGTTGGTTTTTGGATTAGTATGAAAGACAAAATGTTCTATAAAGAGTAGTTGACAGAAAGTAGGTCAGGTATGCCAGGGGTCATTATAGATTTGTAGTCTTTCGTGCAGCCTGTTATTAAGATTTAGGTTACCACTAAATGATATGTTGGGCCTATTATGCTTTGGTAATTAATAGTGAGTCAATAGGTTGTATCAAAGGAGCTATGAACTCATCTTAGCAGAAAAATGTAAAGATATTTCCTAACTCATATTATGCCATTTATTTACAGTTATTTACAAACCTGTTTATTATTTGACTGGATAAGATAAACAAATGTTGGATAGATTATTTGATTGTCATATCAGCTATGCTAAGTAGCATATTGGATGCATTATTCTAGTAATGCTTATGATTGTGTTTTTTATCTTTTATTAAAGGTTGAACCTTGCACCTGCCAGTTTGGAGTCTTGGTATCACAAAAGGGTGTCGCTGTGTTATTCATTCGTCAATGGTGTCTTTTGGTTAAGTGAATTAATCGTCAATCGTCAATCGTCAATCACAATATGTGATGAATCACAAATATGTTATAACGGTTACCGTTCATTAATTTCAAGGGTAAAAATAAATAAATTTTCAATAAATTTTCACAACAGATATAGGGTCATGAACTCTTTGTCAATTCAAATCTTTTTTTATAAATATATGCACCCTCTTCTAGCATGATACTTGTTAAAATGAACCTTAATAATTACCCCCCCCCCCCCCCCCACCACCACCAAGCTCACCCGAATGTATTTTTCTATCGAACCGCGCGCCTGCAAGCTATGATAGTCAACAAAAGGACTCCTTTACCCTTTCGGTGTTCACCTTCCATTCACCTTTATTGATTTTCATTTTTACCTTTATCCTTCTTTCTATCCTCCTTTTGTCTCCTATTTCCTCAATTCCCTTTCTCTTTTTCTTATATCATAGAAATTTATACTCATAAGCTCTCCGAAACCGCAGTCATACCAACGGACCAGACCGACACCAGACCGAGCATTAAAGGGATCCGTACGTGTGGAGTCGGTTATATGGTCGATTTGGCGGTCTGACCAAGGTATTATAGTCTAGCCACTGTTAGTTTGCAGGCGCAGACTCTAATTTGACACTCTAATAACAATACAGTTGAGTTTTGAGCTGAGCCTAACTCTTTCAGTCTCTGGCTGTGACTGTCATGAACAGAGCCCAAGGGGTGTAGTAGAATATGTAGTCTTATAACGTAGTGTAAACTAATAATTAATCTCGATCTTGCCAATCAATCACTGCATTAAACACCAATCATACAAACCACTGCCCACTGCCCAACTCACAAATCCTCTCTCCTTAGTAAAGGTAAAGCCCCAGTCCCATATAAAGCCGGACCAGCACGGACGAGCACGGACCACTCCGGACCATCCCGGACCATGGTCTGGGGTGATCCGGGATGGTCCGGGATGTTTTGTTAAAAAAAGTGTGATGCTTTAAAAGCTACAGTCCCATATACGTCCCGGACCGTCCCGGACCATCCCGGACCCCATCCGGGGTGATCCGGGATTCGGTCCGTGTTGACACCGTGTTGGCACCGGGGTGGTCCTGGATGGTCCTGGATGATCCTGGATGGTCCTGGGCGGTCAATAACTCACTCCCGGACTGCCACGGATCAACACGGACCGCCCCGGCGCCACTACGGATGACCCCGGACCCAGCACGGTGGCTACACGGATCACCCCGGATCAAACTATTGTCCCGGACCGTCCCGGACCACCCCGGCAGTTTTTGACCGTCAAAAACATCCGGGGTCGACTCCCGGACCGCCCAGGACCATCCAGGGTGGATGGTCCGTGTTGGCACCGGGGTAGTCCTGGATGGTCCTGGATGGTCCTGGATGGTCCTGGATGGTCCTGGGCGGTCCGGGAGTCGACCCCGGATGTTTTTGACGGTCAAAAACTGCCGGGGTGGTCCGGGACGGTCCGGGACAATAGTTTGATCCGGGTTGATCCGTGTAGCCACCGTGCTGGGTCCGGGGTCATCCGTAGTGGCGCCGGGGCGGTCCGTGTTGATCCGTGGCAGTCCGGGAGTGAGTTATTGACCGCCCAGGACCATCCAGGACCATCCAGGACCACCCCGGTGCCAACACGGTGTCAACACGGACCGAATCCCGGATCACCCCGGATGGAGTCCGGGATGGTCCGGGACGGTCCGGGACGTATATGGGACTGTAGCTTAAAAGCATCACACTTTTTTTAACAAAACATCCCGGACCATCCCGGATCACCCCAGACCATGGTCCGGGATGGTCCGGAGTGGTCCGTGCTCGTCCGTGCTGGTCCGGCTTTATATGGGACTGGGGCTTTAACAGAGCTCCAAATTAATATCTCACACAGTGTAATTAAGTCCAGTCCAGCTCTGCATGTGTTTTGTTGTACATGTAGCATGCTGTCCATGTGCAGCCTTGTGCAAAGAATACTCAAATTAAAACTATATTATCAACCAATAGCAAAATAGGATTTAAGAATAAAACTGAATATTCATAAGGAAAAAGAGAAGACAACCAATGATAAATAAGAAGTGGAAATATGTAAATGAGAAGAGAACATACCACCTGCTTTAAGAGTTGGTATGTAGTGGAGATGAATGGATGAAATGAATATGCAAATGATGTGAAATGAATATGTATGGAAGAAAAGACTAGAGAAACAAATAGTAACTGTGACAAATACAAGTAGGAATGAGTTTAATGTTAACTTTTTACATAAATTGTATTACAGTTAACGCAAAATTATACGAATGAGGACAGTAATAATGTCTGAGGTTAGTGAGGTAGCCTAACTCTGACCGTCTCTGGCTGTGTCATGACGAGCTATACAGTGCAGTCTACAATGTATCACAGTTACATTATTACGCATTATTGTATGACTGAAAAGAGAGTGTGCCTTGAAACTATAAACCACCAAAATGCTGTGAGCGTCGAAATCGGCAGCCTAGCATAGCCGGGTAATGTTGGAGCGCCTTTAGGACCTTGCAAGGTCGATAGGTGCGCTATATAAGAAACCAATAGTATTATTATTATGATATAAACAGCGCGGAATATATCCCCGAACGAAATAGTAGATTAATGTTTCGGTCTACAATAACCCTTAGATGCATTCTTGTTTCAAAATTTAACAACAAAAATAGATGGATCGAGGAAACAAACATTAATTGTGAGTAGTCCTATTACTGTGTGCAATTCATGTAATCTTAAGCGAGAAGCACTAACAAAATATTACTTTTTGGGGCGGAGAGGGGGGGGGGGGGAAAGGGGTGGGAGAGGGGGAGGGGAGGGAGAGGGGTGGGAGAGGGGGAGGGGTGTTGTTATGTAATCAGGAGGAGACTTCCAACTTTGGCTCCATCTTTATTTAATTAATGTGCATTACACTGTGATTATATAATATACTTGGAAATGGATTAACTTGCGAAATTCATCATAATTAAGTTCCTACTTAAGCTATGGTCACAAGTCAGAGCAGCGACCGACCGATCAGTAGCCTGCTCGGTCGCTGCTGGACTTTAGGCATCGCCCAGCGATTAGGTCGGTGCCGGGCGGCGACCGCGCCCAGGCACCGAGCGTATTTTGGGCGGCGAGTGAAAAGTGAGCAGGCGCCGCCCAAATTTTAACTCCGCGCTAAAACTTCAGCGGCGACCGAGCAATGCCCTAAAACCGAGCGGTACCTGGGCGGCCGCCGCTCGGTGGCCGGGCAGCCGCCGGGCAGAATTGGTTAAAAACTCGCCGCTCGGCCGCCGAGCAGGCTACTTTTGGGTAATGTGACCATAGCATAAACGGAGAGGGTGATAAAGAGGGAGAGAGGACAAAGCAGAGCGATCGAAGCAGAGAGATAAACAGACAAAACTTCAGACTTAAAGGGACAGAACAAAAGCAAAGGCCACAGAGCGATGGAGAGAAATTACCATTGTCCTGTATCGATGAAGCGAGAGCCTGAGTGGTCATTTTCCCACGTTTTATACATGTACCTTCCAATAAATGTTCAATATAAATGTACTTCCAGTGATACTCTCTGGTGTTCTGATTGATATTAAAGAACAAGATCGATATGACAAATGCTGAAATTAAGGTTAGTGAGGTTTTTATCGTCGTAAGAAATTATGTAAGTCTGCAAACTTGTAAATGTAGAATATGCTGTATATTTCACTGACAATGATATGTGTATGGTCACAGTAAAAGTTTGGTCATTCCATGTAGTTTGACAACGATTATTTTGTATGAGTTCAATGCATTGAAAAGCTGTTGGATTAGTTTGTGTTTCGCGACAACTCTCTTGTTGTACAGTAAGTTTGGAAGAGCCGGCTGGTACAAACTATGATGGTTGGAAACTGCAGAGAGTGAGAGAGAGAGAGAGAGGGGGGGGGGGGGGGGGGGTGGTGGTAAGAATATTGATGTCATGTATACAATCAACATGACCAATCGGCTGAATCTAGGATAACTACTGCTATAAGTGTATAGTATACAAATATACACTGTCTTGAGAGGTTCTGGTTAAAACTATACGCAAGAGGTGACTCTAATAGTAATATTTGCTGAGAGGGGCAGCCCCGAAGCAAATGGTACTTTTGGAGTCACCGAGGCCCATAGTTTTAACATGCAGTACCTCGAATAGAAGGCATGGTATATTCGTTTTATATCCTGCATCAAAAAATTATTTTATAAAAAAAAAAAATTAAAAAAAACAACATTTTTGGGAAGAAAAAATTTTTAGAACAAAAAAATGTAAATATGAGAAGAAAAAAAACAACAACATTTTTTTCAACTCCCAAATAGTACTTTCATATATTATAGTACTTTCTAAAAATAGTTCAAATATTTCTGGTCATGTGACGAGCTCTCAACCAATCAAAAGCCAACAAATTCTGATGCAGGATATAATTACTACTAGTTGTGAAATAGAGCGACAGACATTTTTTTATAAGATGACTATTATTGATACCTTATATAATAAAGCCGCCCCTGCCTTTTCCTGTTGAACCGTAATGATTATTGTTTCTAGTAAGGCTTTTGTCGTATACTTATTGCTCGGAGCCTCAGTTTGCATTGCTGAACACAAATGTGAACGTGTTGAGAGCCAGATAGGCGTTACATGTATCTCTATGAGGCAATATTATTTCAAACATCATTTTATCCTCTCATTACCAGCTGGTCGGCGATTTCCATACAATCACGCCATGGATGATATCATGATCGATGAGGGCGACGATGTCGGTGAAAATTGCGAAGTGTTGACGATCAGGAGAACGAAGGCCGCCGATCGCGACGATGAGACGCTGGTGGGTATAGGATGGAGGGTCTTTGGGTTGACTATCTTCACACTTATTACCGTGATGCAAGTTATCCAGGAGTAAGTTTGATTTCCTTATACCCCATTCATATTGACGAGACCAACAACGGACCGAACAAACAATCACATTACCACGAATGACTATGAATTGGTTGGTTCGGAGTGGGTTCGGAGTGGGTTCGGAGTGGGTTCGGAGTGGCTTGTGTGACTGCGGTACCACACAATTCATTGGCAAGAGGAATTTCTCTCTTTCTCTCTCTCTCTCTCTCTCTCTCTCTCTTTTTCTCATGACACACAATTAGCAATTTGTGAGCTTGTATAAATTATACCCAAACAATTATAGCTACTGGCATGTTGCTATTCAGATATCAACACCACTCGAAAGGAAAGAATAAAAAGAGCTTCGTACAAAGTAGCTCAGATTTACAAAGACCTATCATTGACATAATCCTGAATATTATGTATCATGCTAAATGGAAGAAGAAAAATGTTATACACAGACATCTTGATGAACAGTTACTAGGTGAAATCTGTTCATCGTGTTAAATAAAACGATATTAAAATTAAACTATCACGGATATACCAATCAGTTTTATTGACCGATATCATTGTCATTGAACGATGCTGTATATAGGGTGTTTGAACTTTGGAAGAAAGTACCTTTAAATGTTAAAAAACTGTCAAACTGTTAACCAACTAAAAACTTGTCTTAAAGGCCCACTGTACTACTTGTAGCTACTTGCTCCCTCTATATAGAAAACAATGCCTAATCGGTGACAATTGGCCCCCCTAGATCCTCTTTTCTTATGTTAATTGAGAGCTGAGTTGATGAGATAGCCACCTGTCAGTGACCTTCCTGGTTGGTCTAATCACTCCTAGCCGAACTAGTACAGATGGGCATTAAGACACATTTATTCAAATTTGCTTTTGATGATTAACTTACTCTGTTCACATTAATGTATATTTCATATGTATTGTAATTTGTAGATTTATTTTCACTTTTTTGTTCTGTTTGATAATTTGTATGTAATTGTTTATCATTGTATTTTGTTTGTTATTATAGCGCTTAGAGACTTCGGTGGTAAGCGCTTTATAAGCACCGTTTTTATATATATTTTTTTTAATTTGGAATGTTAATTCAAGAACCCTTATATAATCAGGTACCTTCTTGTTGTAACAATATTTGGAATGGCTGAAGAATTAAAGTTCGGAGAAACAGAATGTCAGGTGATCAACGGAACAGCAGCACGTGACTATATTGGTGATCTCAACATGACCGGGGAGGAATTGTGCGCTGAGGCAGGAAGGTAGGATCGAATTTAAAGGAACTTATTTATTCGTCTGTCATTGTAATAAAGAATTCTTCTTCCATTGATTTAATGGGGGAAAAGACAACTCATGACAGAGTTAACATAACAATGAATAGGTGTGTTGTAACTATTTATTTCATATGAAACATGGTGACATTGTAGATCAATATTTTGCTTTACAAAGCAAAAATATGAAGGACTTGACAAATTTTATGAAAGCATATACATATGAAAATAGAAGAGATTTTAATGCACAGTAAATTAAAAAGTTCTACCAAATACGTCAAAGTAAATTCCTCACTTGTGATTCATACATAGATTCAGAGATTGCAACTTTCAAACATTCATAACTCCTTATTATGTTTTGTCGAATTTCTTTCTTTTCGTACAACACGAAATGTTACAAAAGTTAGATTGCCCTTTAATTGCGATACCTGACATTTTCCTAATTGTTTCGGGGTAAATGTTTAAAATTAAGGCTTGGCCAACGTGTACGATGGAAACAAACATTAGGTGGTGTCACACAGAGGCCAAAAATCCGGATTTTAGTTATCCTGTTAATTGCTGTCTGTCATCAATTATCCCTTAAAAAATCGTCTAACAAAGCAAGAAAATTCTCCCTTGAAAGGATTTTTCAAGGGATTTTTCAAGGGATTTTTCTGTGTGACACCGCCTTATTATGGAGTAATAACAAATCACTCATTTTCAATCATTCTCATCTTCTTATGTTATCTTATTTTTTATTTATTTTTTTATCTGAAAAGGTGTTCTGAAAACAGCACGTTTTTCTTACCAGATGTATGTGGGGTACGGTACACGGGACGAGGTACACTCTATGACGTATTAGCTGGACCAATAGGCCATTTTCGTAATGTAACCAAATTTAATACATACGTCTTTGTGAAGTGCCTCAATACAAATTATTTCATTCACCTGATAAGAATAATAGTATTTCAATAGACAGAATGCAAACTGCATACATTAGTTGTTGTCAGGTTGGACAAGCGTTATGGCTTGACCTACCTAGCAACACTTAATATATGCAGTTGCATTCTGACTATTGAAATACTATTATTCCTATCAGGTGAATGAAATAATTTGTATTGAGGCACTTCACAAACACTTATGCATTAGATTTGGTTACATTACGAAAATGGCCTATTTACCTCATCATACACGGAATTACAACTGTGCCACTTATAGGCTTGGTTCAAGGACTTTCCATGAGGGCACCGTTATCCATTGCAATGTTTACTGTGTTGTGGACACTCTGTACCCTGCTTACAGCCTTTGTTAACGACTACTGGGCCGTCGCCTTGCTCCGGTTCCTATTTGGCATATTGTAAGAAATTAGCCTTACATCATTTATTAAATTTCCTATTTAACTAAACAAAAGTAATTATATTGCAAGGGGTCACACAATATAAAAAATAGCGCTCACCGTAGTCATATATAACAATTAAAAACAAAAACATGACAGCAACAACAGCAACTCTACCAACCCCCCCCCCCCCACACACACACACACACACACACACACACGCATACACCACTGTCACCATCATGTAGTCATTCCCACCACCACTACCCCCATCATCACCATAACCACGACCACCACAACCACCATAACCGTGACTACGTTCACAACTATATCCCTGTCACCACCACCATCATTAATTACCCACTACTATCCTTACCACCACCGCCATCACCACCACCACCACCACCATACCTGACCACCACCACCACCCTACCATCACCACCCTTACCGCCTCCACAATGATCATCATCATCATCATCATCATCATCATCACCGCCTCCACCGTCGCAGCCACTATCACCAACAACACCATCACCATCTCGACCCCCAAATGTACGATTAATATCCCGTTTTGCCGCAAATAATGTTACGAAAGAGAAGAAAATATCTATTGGTTGTTTAAGTGAAATGAGTCAATAAGCCCAAAGGCATCATTATCAATTATAAATTACTTCAAACTGTTAACACATTCAGAAAGTATTTAAACAATACAGTAGTATTCCAGATTTCTTGTAGCTGTAATCCTATTATTATAAGCGCTTTTTTTTGTTTAATTTACTTTTTTAGCTTTTTCTCTTGTATATATTGTTGATATTTCTCTCATTTTTCTTGTTTAACTCCATTTTGCTCTTGCCACTATTGTACATTTTCTGTTGTTGTAAGTTTTCTTTATTCCTGTACTATATTTTAATATATTTACATGTATTTTATGTCTATAGGGACCCCTCTGTAAAACATCGTTTTTATGGAAACATCGCTAAGTAGGGCCATCCCTCCGTCTTCCTTTTATTAGTTTGTCTTTATGATTGTAATTGTATATATAATATTTTTTTTTTTTTTAATTGACGGAAAATAAAAACAATACAATAAAATACAATCATCTTGATCACAAGATGTACATGTATCATTCAAATTTGAATAAAGACTCAGAGGGACGACGGGAAAATAAAGGGGAAGTCCAATCACTTTTTCTTCTTTCAATTTTGACTTGAGAGTACATTTTCTTTACAGCACCGGCCCTATCAATTCGCTGAAAATTGCTTACCTCGCCCATATCTTTCCAACGGTAAGTGAGTCTGTCATCTGGCATCACTATGGAAATTGGCGACGTCGTGAATTTTATCTCCAATTATTCACGACGAAATTGACGATATCGTGAATTTCGTCGCCAATTTCGTCGTGAATAATTCGCGATTTCGTCTATTCGCGATGTCCCTTCCAGGCACGTAGCCAGAGTTTGATGTTTGATGGGGGGACGGGGGGGGGGGGGGGGGCACATACACGTAATCGGTCGAGGTAAAAAGGGGTCTAAAAAAGTTCCACCGATCTTGGAATTGTTTGGGGGGCACGTGCCCCCCCCCCCCCATGCCCCCTCGTGGCTACGTGCCTTCAGTCCCTTCAGGACCACCATACATCACAGTACACCAATCCATGTCTGGTGCAGATGTGTTTACTTGGCTAGGAAGCTATGGACAGTTTAGGCCTTCTCTCCAATTAATGTACAGTAGAAGTCCACTGATGGGGGTCATCATGTTTAATAAGGGATCACTTCGTCTGGAGTGGAATCCACTACTTGGGGGTGTATTTTACTCCAAAATACAGTAAGGGAAATTTTTAAGGGATCCATATTATTACTGTCAAGTGTCAACAGTATACATGTTCCCATACTGTGCAATATGTCATAATTTGCCTCCACCGTAAGTCATGCAGTCCCAGTCCCACGGGACATTGACCTATTTCTGTTGTTACTGTTGTGTTCGTCGCTGCCGTTGTTGTTTTTTTTTGTTCCACCTCCGCTAAAAAATAATGACGATTTGAAAGTTGAATTCTTGTTTCTGGCACCCTTTACCGACAGGAAGTACACACCATCGTCTTTGGTATTTCACACTACGGAAACGCGTTGGGATTTGGCGCCTCCTTTCTTTTTGTCAACGTGACGAACAGCCTCGTTTGGAGATGGTGTTATATAATTTGTGGAGCCGCGGGTCTGTTCCTCGCCTTAGCATCATGTTTCATGGCAAATCCAAAAGGACCACGCCCCCATGACAAGGTTTGTTGATTAAAGGGGTGAATAAATTCGTCAATGGCTTAAAATCATTTCCATTATACACCCAAAGCTATTGTTATCTGACCCTGTTTACGACGCGTCGATCGCCCCAAAACGGCAGTTTGTGCATGGCGATCGTAAAAATTCTGGCTACCTTCAAATCAGTAGTGAGCAATAATTTAAAAAAATCTTTTTGACCCTCGAAATTTGAAAATCGCGCCGACCGACAATCCGCTCCGTTGGCGGGGGGGGGGGGGGGGGGGTGATTAAGGAGCATACATTTTTAATCAACACACTACCCCCCCCCTTGAGCAAAAAGAAAAAAACGAGGGGTTTTAACCCCCCCCCCCCCCCCCCCCCCCCCCCCCCCTGCGTACGCGCCTGGCTGCACCGAAATGGGATACCAAGCCGTCTGTTTTTCGCTGTACATTCTCTTGTTGTTTTTCAATTTAGTGCCACATGGTTTGTCTTGCTTATGTAACTGTATATATGTGTTGATAAGTTTTGTTATTTGTTGTTATTTTCTTTTTACTTTATATTCTTGTTACATGACGGAGGAAGAAAAAAAATCACTCAGGAGCTTCTGATCTGAGGGCTTCTTCTTACTTATCTTTTTCTCTAAAGCAAGTGATTTTGCTCATTTTGTAATTAAACGTGCTTAACTGATAAGACTGATATTAGTAATGTCACGTTGTCGCGAATCATGGACATCGTATTTTTTGTTCCCATCTTCAGATAAACAGCGTGGTATCGTCATGGAAACAGCAGCGCTCCAGTTTGAGACAGATAGCATGGCCATGTGTAATGTGCGTTATCCTGAGCTTCACAGCGAGTGTTTCAGCGACCTTCGTCGGATCCTACAACATCACTATCTATCTGGCGGAGTACTTTCCAGAGTTTGATGTCAGTGTGATAGGTTTGATTACAATAGTCGCAGGCTTCATTGGTTCCATCTTTGGCGGGTGGATGGGTGATCGTCTGCGGAAGATTTCTGGAATACGTGCGAGAATTGGACTCTGCATTGTTCTGCAGGTAAATTATAACGGCATAAACTATCTGTACACCCCTCCCCCCCCCCCGTCCCTCCCGGTCCCTCCCTCTCCCTTCTTCCCCCTGCCTCTAAAGAGGGAAAATTACCACATGTTCAATATATGTCTGGTCAGTTCCAAACGTTACTGAATGACATTTCCATAGAATTTTGGAAGAAGAAAAAATACAGTTCAATAAATACTGTAATAAGTTGATTAAAGGAGAATTAACCCCAAAGAATACGTGTGGGTATTCTGATAAACGAGATGAGTTCCTGCCTTTTGATGTACAATAAATATTACGAACGTGCAAAACAATGACTGTCTACATCGTTCCGTAACGTACTTATATAAAATTCATTATTGAATTATTTTGATGAATGGTTGATAACAAACCCATTATGTTGTGAGAAAACCTCCTATCAGTTAATATACCATAATTATCGTCAAGTTGTAGATTTTTAAAAGCAAAATGTCTATAATATTCAAAAATGGAGAATTCTCTGGAAATCGAATACCGCAACGCTTGGGATTGACCTTCTCAAGACACCTGGGGGCAGGGGCGTCGCCAAAGGGGGATGTGTGGGGGGGGGGTGGGTGCGACACCCCCCATCTCTCAGGATTTTGTCGGTAAAATTGCGCTGCCGTCGGGAAAAAGAGAAAAGGGGGAGGGAAAAAAGAGAGGGAAAGGGAAAGAAAGGAAAAAGAAAGGAAAAGGAAAGAAAGAAAGGAAAAGAAAGGAAAGAAAGGAAAAGAAAGAAAGAAAAGAGAAGAAGGAGAGAGAGAGAAAAGAAAAAGAGGGAGGAGAGGAAAGAAAGGGAAAAAAAGAAAAGAAAGAAAAGGAAAAAAAAAAAAAAAGAGTAAAAGAGAAACAAAAGAAACGGGGGATGAAGAGAGGAGAGAGAGGGGAGGTAAGAGCCTGAGAGAAGAGGAGTGGGAGTAAAAGAGAGAAGGGGGTTGTTGGGTGGAGTCGTCTCGTCGAGGGAGCAAGAAAGACACGGTCAAATATGTTGCTGTGTCGGGTCAGCTGTGTCGGTATTCTTGCTCGATCCTCGTGTACTAATATCAATGCAGAAGTTTGAAGTCGGTGAGATATTGTCGGTCGGCCGACAAGTTTTTTTCCTTACGAACTGTGACTTTTTATCCGCTGTGACGACTTCGAGAGTGACTACAACTACAATACTTGTATTTTCTCGAAGATTCACTTTCCTATAATATCAGCTAAAGAAATCAGAGGTTTAAAATTTTCGGGGATACTAAATTCAAACAAGGTTTAAAGGGATCCGGTAACTTTGTCTGAGATCCTTTAGAAATAATCTTTGATTTAGCTCATGCTGCAATAATTATAAACCTTTAGGTCAGTCAGGAATTCCATGACTTTTACAAGCCGATCGCCTGTCTGATTATCAAGATATTTATGATTGGAATTACAAATTTTGAAAACCTTTCGCCGAACGGTTTTCATAACACTACAGTCTATTGGGGAAAACGAGTATGGTAAAACCGGTCACTCAAAGATTTTTGCTTTTTTGAGGCACTTTTTGATCATTTTGAAGCGAGATTTTTTTAGGGCTTCAATATTACACCACATCACAGACACTGGTAACATGTAGGACCGTGTATCTCAGATTTAACATTGTTAAACGATCCCTTTAAGAGTCAACAACGGTACGACGAATCGTTTTCCTTTCTCTATATTGTGATGAAACGCCAAAGATTGCGCGCTTCGCGCGGAAGGGGAAAACTTAATTTAGACGAGTCGAGAACGGTACAACGAATTGTCTTCTTTCTCTAATAATTTAAGGAAACGTCAAAGCTTCCGCGCTTCGCGCGAGAGGGGGAAACTGAATGCAGACAATATGGCTTATTAAGAGTCGAAACGGTACAACGAATCGTCTTCTTTCTCTAATAATTTAAGGAAACGTCAAAGCTTCCACGCGAAAGAGAAACTTCATTTAGACGAGTGGAGAACGGTACAACGAATCGTCTTATTTCTCTAATAATTTAAGAAATGTCAAAACTTCCGCGCTTAGCGCGGGATGGGAAGCTTCATTCAGACAAGGATTAAGAGTCGAGCACGGTTCAACGAATCGTCTACTTTCTCTAATATTTAATGAAACGCCAAAACCTCCGCGCTTCGCGCGGGAGGGGGAACTGAATTCAGATAAGGATTAAGAGTCGAGAACAGTACACTGAATCGTCTACCCTTTTCTCATAATTTAATGAAACGTCATAGCTTCCGTGCTTCGAGCGGGAGGGGGAAAAACTGAATTCAGATAAGGATTAAGAGTCGAGAACAGTACACTGAATTGTCTGCTTTTCTCATAATTTAATGATACGTCAAGCTCCCGCGCTGTGCGGGAGGGGGAGAAACTGAATTCAGACAAGGATTAACAGTTGAGAACGGTACAGCAAATCGTCTTCTTGTTATAATAATTTAATGAAACGTCAAAGCTTTCGCGCTTCGCGCAAGAGGGGGGGGGGATTCATTCAGACAAGGATTAACAGTCGAGAACGGTACAATAAATCGTCTTCTTTTCCTAATAATTTAAGGTAACGTTTAAGCTTTCGCGCTTCGCGCGGGAGGCCTATCGCCCCACCCCCTAATGAACGCGTTTCGCGCGCTCTTTAAGATATTAACATATAGCTATGATGCTGACTTAGTTGACGAAATAATTCATATATTTATGTCGTCGAGGAAAATGACCATTAGCGCATACGCATGTACTATAGATAGTCCATAGGAAAAATAATTTAGCCTTCGGCCCCGGGTTTATATGGTTAAATTTGTAGATATTGGACATTTAATTTTGTCGGTAATTGATGGCTAGTTTTGTCGGTAATCGTTGGCCTCTACACTCCCCCCCCCCCCCCACTGAAAAGGTCTAGCGACACCCCAGGCTGGGGGTGTTTCACAAAGATCCTAAGTTGAACTTAACTCTAAGTTGGACTTTAATATTATGGAGAGTCATTTGTAGCCTTAAAATAAGGTGAGTTCTGGTAATGCGATTGCATTGTGAAAGAAAAGGTTTGGAATGGATCAGAAAAAGTTGATCATATAGCATGTAAGTATTGGTGTGTACTGCAAGGTTCTGAAGTCATCAAAATCATCATAATTTTGGCCCGGTCTTGGTAAAGTAACAATCACTGTACAAAGAAGATGTATATGGGACAACACAAATGGTGTCGGGGGCTAGTACTACCTTGATTTCCTTATCTTTCTATGCTCATTACTCAGCCAGTATACATTTTCTTCCAAATTGTTAGGCACATGACATTTATTTGTAATCTTGAACATTCAGTGTAAGTTTCGTTAGATTCTGTGAGAATTCATTTTCTTTTTTCTTACCAGAACTCAAGTTTATCTTTAAAAATTCAAGTATTTTAGACTTTTCATTTAAATTCCCCATCAAGAACATGAAATCTCCTTGATAATAGAAAATATGAATGATTTGAATTAACATTTTATGCCTTTTAAAATAACTTTTACAAAATATTTTCAAAGATGCTAACGGCTTTCCATAATGTTTAAGTCCACCTTAGAGATAAGTTCAACTTAGGATCTTTGTGATCAATTTCACCGGAACCTAGTTCTATCGGGTCTTCATCAGTATACTGTTGCCATAGAACATGGAAACAAAATAAGCTTTATTTTAAATGAAAGCGCGTCTTTCCAAACTGTTTTCCATTTTGTACGGTGTTCTAATTCATTTACCAACTAGGCTTCAAGTAGGCATATTGCCGGCATGATTAAAAGAAAGAAAAACACCAAGTGATTGTCAAAGCATTAATCAGTACATCTGTTTGCTTTTTGTGATCTCCAGATTGTCGGGTTCGTTACCGCGACGTTGATTTACCAAACACCTCTCACAGCTTTAGTGATTATACTTTGTATAAACTACTGCTGCTACAGTTGGTTCGCGATTGTCCTTCAAGCCATCCTCTCCGATCTAACTCCACATGATTGCAAGACAGGAGTCTTTGCCATCACCTACTTCTTCACTAACTCCATAGCGGTACTGTTAACCTGGCCGTTACCCCGGTATCATCCATAACGAGCCTGCGAACAGCGATGACAGTGCTAGTTGCAACACTCGTAGGAGTCGGCGTCGTCTTACTATTCATACCCATCGGGTTTCGCTGGTTCCAGATCATACAAAACCGAAACACGAGACTAATCGAAATGAGGACAAAGAAGAGGAGGTAAACGAAAGAACTCCTCTGAAAATTTCATACGACGAAAAAGAAAATTGTTCAGTTTTGATATGAACAGGTTCTGAGGTATTCAAAAAAAATATATTATTTAATATTATTGTAATTTATTTTGGTCATTTTTACATTCTATTAACATTTCTTATTGTTATGATTTATAAATATTATATTTTACTTTAAAAATGATGCACACTTTTAGTTAGTGAATGCCACTCATGTTGAATAAATCTTGATTAAATTTAATCAAATTAACTTAAACAGTGAAGGTGTAGAGGTGGACTAGTGGATGAGTCCCCGGAATGTGGGTAACAAGTTGCGGTTCAAATCCCTGCCACATCATTGATGTCATTTGGCAAGACATTAAACTACGTGTGCAACTGAGCTCTCCCTCCAGGTACACGCTAGAAAGAAATGCCTTTAATGCTGTGGCGCCATAAAATGATACATGTACTTGTATAAAACACAATAGAGTATATCTACTGCACTATGTTAATACATTTACATTTGTTATTTCTCATAACTAGTTTTCATATGAATTTGATTCCCAGTGAGAGATCCAAAGGGAGTTCCTGGAAGGGGGCGTGGGGAGGTTCATGTCCAAAAATGTCCGATATGTAAAAACAAAACAAAGACAGTTTAAAAGAAATTCTTATGTTTTTTTTTTCAGGTGCCTTGTTGACCACAATACTACCCTTCCATCCAAAGATTTTTTTTCCGGGCTGGGGGGGGGGGGTGGGGGGGGGGGGGGGAAACTTTAAACTATAGAACCCAACTTCAAAACAATGGTCTAGAAAAAATATCTGTACATAATAACATAGTGTGCTTATTTTATATTTATAATATTTCTTATCATCATTTCCGTATGTTGTGTATGCCATGACTATGTTTTTCAACTCATAACTACGATAAAATTGTATCATTTTGTTTGTATGAATAAAATAATTTTCTTTATATGTAAACATATACCATGTTAGTATTACTAATTTTAATCACCAATAGTACAATCATAATGAAAATAATAATATTCCGCTTTTATATAGCGCTTAATACAGCTATCTCTAAGCGCTTTACAGATATACTATTACCTCGGTCATTGGATTCAATAACTATTAACGTATTGTAAACTTTTACTAACTCGAGACCTGGTGATGCCCAACTCTTTGTGGAATCTTGTGGAATGTTTCTATGTCAGAATAAAATGGACATTAGTTTTATACTAAACAAAATAGTAGTATTTGCATTCTAATTCTGCTGTTGGCGGTTGTGTTTGTTTTGGTTGTTTGTTTTTATCGCTCAGTTTTTAGTAAGGAATCAATGCCCATTGAACACGATAGCAAAAATAATCAAAAGCAATTTCAATAGCCACTTATTGCAATGTGTAAACATGGCAATGAGGTATTACGTAACCAGAATACGGTTACCATTTACAAAAGGGTATTAAAATTGCCCTTGAGTTGAGTTTTCGAAAATAGTTGCGATTGTGTTGATGTCTTTAATTTGCTATACAGTTTTGAATTGATAAAAGAAAATTATGAATTTTGCTGATGGAATAAAGTCAAGTAAGGTGCAGTAAAGGTGGGTTTGTCCGTCTTTTACTCCCCTAGCCTCCCAAACGGTAAAAAAATAGGATAGTAACGTAAATTTTACCTTAAAAACCCCACAACCCCCCCCCCCCTGACCTGCCAGTGACTTAAATGCGGCATCAAAATATTTGTGCTTCTCTGACCGTAATTAAATGCCTAAAACTCCTGAGCTTCCGGGGTTTCCGCTACCTGAACCCCCACACCAATTTACGCTTGCTACCCTCTACTTGATCTTAAATACTTTAGCCACCCACTTTGATAAACGTTCCGCGGGGCCTGTGTATATATACGCATACAACACTGATCTTCTTCTCCCCTTGCAAACGAGAAAGAAACAAGGTCATTAAAAGGGATTAATCGACAAATATTTTGTGATTCAAATTGATGCGTATATTTGTTTGAATAAGCACTGCTATTCACCAGAATCTTCTTTGTAAAAACATCTTTTACAAATCTCAGCCATGCTTACTGAGTTGAGACGTTCCATTCAATTTAAAACACTCAGTAAAGAATACCTAATCTGAATGATCTTACAACACAGTGGCAGAATTGCATGGCTGAGATTTGTAAAAGTCGTTTTACAACAGAAGATTCTGGTATAAAGCATTGCTTATTCAAAAAAAAAATCCTTGTATCAATTTGAATCACAATGATCATTTGTCGCATGATCCTTCTATTAATAACTTTGTTTTCTTTTTTGTTTGCAGGGGAGAAGAAGCTATAAATCATAAAGGTTAGTTGTATTATGCGTATATTACTGATAACAGAACAAAATATTGATTATCAGAATGTATTTTGGAATTCCTCTAAACAAATACCCGATCTTACTATGCCGATACCACATTATCTTTAGCCCGTTTCAGTATTAGTATGAGCCAATATAAAGTTATTATTCTTTATTCAGCTCTTCCTCAAAAATAGTTTCGCTATTTTTTAGGGTTGAGACGCTAAGAAATTGTTTCAAATGTACATTACACAAACCCTGAACCCTTGCATAATGATGGTGTTCTCTCTCTCTCTCTCTATTTATTTTAATCATGTATTATCAACTACATATAAAGCAGCAACAAAGAACTCAGGGTAATCTGGGGTTGGTGAAAGTGAGAGTTAAAAAGAAAGTCGTGCTAAAACGGAGCTTCACACCCCCCCCCGAAAAAAATTAGTGGTCCTCCTCTCCAGCATCCCCCTCCCGCTTTAATATTCACCGGCCGGCTGAGTAGGCGCAAAAATGTTCCCAAAAAACTAGACCCCCCCAAAACAAAATTTGTGATCTTATCCACCCCCCCCCCGTTCATTCGCCGGCTGGCTGATTCGCCGCTATATATTTTCTGAAGATATGCCCCCCCCCCTTTTGCCGCCGGCTGGATCCGCCCCTGCCCCCCCCCCCCACACCACTCAGTGTTATTTAGGGTTCACATACGCTATTCAATAATCAGTGGCCAAGGAGTGCGTTAACAAGTTCAAAATCACATTTCCTGGGAGTGCCATATTCTCTATGTGAGACAACTTTCGGCGAAAATAGCCCACTTCCTTCAGACCATAGATGAGCTAAACGCATAATTCCATTGCCACACCCCTTTTCGAAATATCCAACATTTGTGATTGGTCCCAAGTTTAGAGCGGGTCACGTGATGACTCATGTAATTGAAGGTTTAGTTGACGCTGACTGGATAAATAATGTCATCTGCTTTAGAGTTGGCATAGTGTAAAAAGTTGGCATAGTAAATAGCGCCATCTCGTGTCTGAATTCCAAAGCTTGAAGCGCCAAATCTCATTGCCGTATTTCTCTCTCTCTCAGGCTCATACCTGTCTCCAGTGGCAGATCCAGGGGTGGGGGCCCGGCCCCCCCCCCCCCTTGAAAAAAAAATCATTCAAAATCACGTGATTTTTACCTTTTTTGGGGGGTTTGGGCCCCCCCCCCCCCTGGCGCTCAAGGGGGGTGGGTGCAAATTTTAAAATTTTCGAGGACCAAAAAAAAAAATTGTGCTCACTACCCCCCTCCCCCCCCCCCCCCCCCCCCCCCCCCCCCCCCCCCACTGAGCAACTTTTCGGCCGGCGCGATTTTCAAATTTCGGTAGCAAAAAAAAAAAAAGTTGGGCCCCCTCCCTAAGAAATCCTGGATCCACGCCTGCCTGTCTCCCTTCCCTCTCCCTTTCTTATCTTTTCTCTCATCTATTTTCCTCTCACTTTCTTCCCTTTCTCTCCCTTTGTCATCTCTATCAATTATCGTGCCTTTTTTTTTCTTCAAATGCCAAATTTACACCAGTAGGCCATTTAACATGCTTGTCACAGAAGTAAAACTGACAGTAGCAACTGTTTGCTTTTCTTATCACAATGTAAAACTGTCCCTTGTTCTCTTTTGCAGGTAAATTCATCTGAAGGTACATGTGTAACATATTACTGCCTTCCTCTCCCATTGTCTAATTTGGCATTCGGAATATGAAACAATGAACCATAATAAAATCTGACAATTATACTGCTTAACATGTATATCAGTTCAAATAAAGGACAAAACAAAATGAACTGCATGTAATGTATATTACATCATCATAGATAATTGTTGTTTAATACATAGCTTTTATGTACTACATGTATATTGTCCAATGTTTTTAAAAATAAAAACTAGATGGAATTCGACTGCGCGCAGTCGAAAATGATGCCTCCGTTATAGAGCAATTTTACAAACCAAAACAGAAAAAAAAATTGAATTCACATTCAATGGTAATCCATTGACAGGTTCTCAGAATATTGTGATTACAAGCAATTTCTCATATACATATATGACCCTTTGATCTTTGACCTCATGACCATAAAATCTACTCAGTTCATTGGCTCTGCAAGATGTTCTGAGTTAAATAGTAATCCATCTGTCAGTTCTAATGAGAATGCGTTCACAAGCTATTTTTGCATACATAATGGGCCCATGACCTTTGACCTTTGACCTTATGAACCAAGAATCTACTCAGTTCATTGGCTCTGCAAGTAACAAACATGACCTAATTTTGGCATGAATCCATCAATCGGTTCTTGAGATAACGCGATCACAAGCTGTTTTTTGCATTCATAATGTGCGCTGTGGCCTTTGACCTTTGACCTACGTGCTCCAAAATCTAATCAGATTGTCTTCCTATGGTGATACACACTATCGTTAAGTTTGAAGTTTTTACATCTCCAGTGGTTCTTGAGATATCATGATAACAATCTCAATGTATGGAATTTCATAAGTTGACCTCTGTGACCCTTGACCTTTGACCTACGTGCTCCAAAATCTAATCAGATTGTTTTCCTATAGTGATACACACTATCACTAAGTTTGAAGTTTAAATCTCCAGTGGTTCTTGAGATATCATGATAACAATCTCAATGTATGGAATTTCATAAGTTGACCTCTGTGACCCTTGACCTTTGACATACGTGCTCCAAAATCTAATCAGATTGTTTTCCTATAGTGATACACACTATCACTAAGTTTGAAGTTTACATCTCCAGTGGTTCTTGAGATATCATGATAACAATCTCAATGTATGGAATTTCATAAGTTGACCTCTGTGACCCTTGACCTTTGACCTACGTGCTCCAAAATCTAATCAGATTGTTTTCCTATAGTGATACACACTATCACTAAGTTTGAAGTTTAAATCTCCAGTGGTTCTTGAGATATCATAACAATCTCAATGTATGGAATTTCATAAGTTGACCTCTGTGACCCTTGACCTTTGACATACGTGCTCCAAAATCTAATCAGATTGTTTTCCTATAGTGATACACACTATCACTAAGTTTGAAGTTTAAATCTCCAGTGGTTCTTGAGATATCATGATAACAATCTCAATGTATGGAATTTCATAAGTTGACCTCTGTGACCCTTGACCTTTGACATACGTGCTCCAAATCTACTCAGATCGTCTTCCTATGTTGATACATACTATCCTTAAGTTTGAAGTTTAAATCTCAAATGGTTCTTGAGATATCGCGCTAACAACTCAATACAAGGAATTTCATAAGTTGACCTCTGTGACCTGTGACCTTTGACCTACGTACTCCAAAATCTAATCAGATCGTCTTCCTATGGTGATAAATACTATTCCCGAGTCTTAAGTTTAAATCTTAAATGGTTCTTGAGATATTGTGATAACGGTCAAACGGGACGGACGTACGGACGGACGTACGGACGGACGGACGGACGTACGGACGGACGGACGGACGGACGTACGGACGGACAACCCGAAAACATGATGCCTCCGGCACCACCTTCGGTGGCGGAGGCATAAAAATACCATTTACATGGTCAATTATCACAATACATTATAGGCACATGGTAAATTACCATTACATTTACATTTACATGGTAAAATATAATGGAATTATTGCAATAATTAAGATTAAAAACACTGTGTGGCTGTTATTTGCATAGATCAACTCTTTAATTTTCATAGTTTAATTAAGTACTTTCTGCCTTTTGCTAACTATGCCATCTTCATGGAGAGAATCCAAATTTGATGTTTTCATATGACGTAGAATAATTCAATTCTATCGCTTATAAATAGGGTCTATTTGGTATATCTTGACAAGTTTTAAGAAGTTTTGCCTAGCAAAGTCTTCTTATATTGCAGTATATGTAATACATGTATATAAATCAGCAAAGTATAGGATTTATTCTTGCAATTTACAAAACATACCCAGTTAGTTCACCAGTCATTTCCTTCCTCTTCAATTACATTCTTGATTACATTTCTACTTAACCCATTCCATACTAGAACCGGGTGGTTCCCGTATTAAGCCTATGGGAATGTAAGAATCAAGTAGTCAACAGTTTTCCATTGAAGCTATATATATAATTAATACACACATCAAATTCCAAGGCATACTTTCCCATACACTGTTATTGAATATATGAAATATATAAATATCTGTATAGAAGTGTGTGACCTCGTATTAGGTAGAAATATCTCGCATACATTTTCTTCAAGACCAATAACATCAAGGAAATAAAACAGCAAAAGCATTCAAAGAACTTGCAAAGAATTGATTGTTGACAAAAATGTTCTTCTTGTGGTTAGCAATATATTCCAAACAGTTTTGTAGTAATGAAATTCTTTGAACTGAAAGACGTCTACTAAGTTATAAAAAAACACACACATATCATTAAGGCAAGGTCATGCACATTGGGTCCGTCAGCTAATTTAAGTCCCGGGGAGTGTTTCACAAAGACTAAGATCGACTTTAAGTTGGACTTAACTATGGCGGGCCAATCATGCCACTGTTTGCTCTCACCATTATGATCTTTCGATAATATTTTCCCCTTCAATAATGAACTATCAAACAAATGTAAATTCTGTAGATGTGTGACCATGATTTGTACGTCCCTTGAGAGACCAAAGCCAGTAAATGGTGAGAGAAAACAGAATAACTAGCCTTTGCACAACAGTTGAGTGGCTGTTGATATAACTCTTTTCCCTTTATGCTCTTCAACCCTTCAATCTCATATATTTCATCTAGTTTTGATGGAATTTTACATCTATGCCATTCAGGCACGTGCCCCCCCCCCCCCTAAATTTTCAAGATCGGTTGAACTTTTTTAGACCCCTTTTTTTTTTTTTTTTACTTCAATCGATTACATGTATGTGCCCCCCCCCCCCCAACATCAAATTCTGGCTACGTGCCTGATGCCATGTAATGGTAGACAGCTTGTTATTTATATGATTAGGTAGGTACGTTTCATTAGATTAACACAATTAAGTACTACAACTCACCATTTCTTGAAAACTTTACATTCCTTTTGATAAATCTTTCATTTGATAATAATTTACAATTCTTTTTTTCTTTTTTTACAGAAATTTTTGGCATGCACTAAGAAGATAAAGATCGCGTGCTCAATCTTGTAATTAACACCAGAAGAAATTGGAAAAAATCTTGGAACCGGCTGGATTTAAACCTGGCGTCTACTGATTTTTGTCTGACTTGTTTTCAATTACAAGATCGAGCATGCAGTCCTTATCTACTAGGTACCAGCCAAAGAATTCTCTACAACAAATCAATTTCAACAAATCAATTTCCCCAGGAAGCGTCACATTCAAAGTCTTCTTTTTTTCTATTTACACTTTCTCTACTCCATATCTTGAAAGAAAAAAAGCATCGCCCATCAGCTTTTAAAATTCAAATCTGTGACCTGGGAAGCTCAATAACATTTACCATTTACAAAATTAAGTAATATGTACAATAACTGTTTTCTCTCTCTCTCTCTGTCCATTAAGCATAGCAATGACGTACCTTTTATCAAGCACCATTTTTAAGTCTTTGGAACGATGCAAAAAGTAAAAATGTATAATGTGAAAAACGTCTGTATTGTTCCTGTCAAAAATGAAGAATGAGCACTACATTTGAATTGTACACAAAGGCGAGGAATGTAAAAATATTCATTGCGACTCTTAAGAAATATATCCAAGTAATTTTAGCACCATTATTTTAAAAAAAAAAATCAAAATAATTATCAGTAGACATTAGTTAACACCTCTGTCATTCTTAAGCACACAAATATCGTGCAGTGTAAATTATACATTTTTTTTTACATTGAAAAGAAAATTTGCTATAATGCACGTCTGAAATCTTTGTAAAAAATTTGCTCGTGAGGTTTTTGTTCATATAAAGTTCACATTCATTTATTTACAATGTAAAAGGGCAATCCATCTCTATTAACAACTTGCTTCAAATGAACAAAAGCAGAGAGATAGGAGAAGTAGATTGGTGGAAGTTTGAAGAAAAAAATGGGCCACTGTAAACAAAAAGTACATTTTTATTTGTGACGGACTGAGCAGGGTTTCCTTCTTCTCGGAGTATGTATAGGAACATGCTATTGTGAGTAGCATTCAAGGGATATATCAGTCAAGAGATAACCGGAGATTGATGTAAATATACAAACATGTTATTAGGAGTACAAGTATAAACAAATGGGAGAGCTGTCTGAATTAAAAGACCGATTAAAAAATTTGAGATTTTCATACAAAATAGTGATTTCAACATTAACACATAAATTCTTTATTTTTTTTTTTTCTTCTTCAAATTGTCACCAATCTGACCTACTGCTTTAGGTCAAAACAATTTGTTTTCAAGACGGATTGCCCTTAGAAGAAACTTTCTCATAAGATTCTGAACATTTATATGAACATGTGATGTACCTTAAAATTGAAGGGCCGTTTACATGAACAACAAAGTACCATTATCATTTCTGCAATAAAAATTTAAAATATGTGTCTTCAAAATGACAAATACGTATTTATACATGTATGATCAAAACATTTTAATACAAAAACAATCCAATATGTAATTCTTTGGTTAAAGTGATTAATTAACATAACAATATCACTTTAAGGTGGAAAACATTGAATTCTGAAAGTAAGTACGAAACAATTTTTAAATACTTTTCAATAAATTGAGTAATATCAGTAGCCTTCATTATTGCTTAGTTAATAATAACTGTAATAATAATACCGGTTTCTTATATAGTACTTTATCATTCATTGACCAACACACTTGCATGATTATTATTACCCCGGTCACTGGATTAAATTGCTATTCTGCACATTACAGTGCACACTCTCCACTCCCCAGGGAGCATTCCCTGATGGTCACCTTCTTAAGGCGCGCACATGCTAATCCAACCACAAAGAGATTCGCATCTTACCGAGTGGAAGGGAGCAATGTAGATAAAATGCATTGCTTAAGGACATTGCTTTGAAGCAACAAGACAAAAGCCTATGCAATACATTTAACAGAGTATGATTTATGTACAATATAAACATTTTAAATAAAATTTACATGCACGTGCACATGAATAATATTCACATCAACAATATGAACCACAATATAAAAAATAAAAACACACTTAATGATAACAAAAATATTCTGGATATATATATATAACACTTTATATAAAGGATCGTTCAGATATGATGTAGCAAAACCGTGGCGTTTTTTTCTGTGATGATGTAAAATGTACTACGCTTCGAAATTCTGTATCTTATTAAACAGCGCTCAGTGAATACATGCAAGTCCTTTGTTGCATGCGCTTGCCATTCATTTATGTGTAAACAAAAAAAATACCTCCTAGTGCTCGTTACCTTTGTCACTGAGCAACATGTGCACCTTCTCCACATTTTGGGGAGAGTTGCAAATGGAGGGTTTTGCATGCTTCGCATAGTGGTAGCTCTGTCATCTCTCCTGAAGGTAGTCCTGCAGTCTGTCCTGCAGGCAGATCTGTCGTCTTACTGTCCTAGGGGGCGTAATTCAATGCCATCGGTGTCTGTATCTCCTACTTTCAGGCTTGCCGTAAGTCCTATTCCTTCATCTGATATCGTGAAGATCTCTTGGTTGTTATTCGAGGAGTCTGGCTGACTCTGAGATGTCAATTGCTGTAATAAGAAACGAGACAAACTTGAACATTAGGCGAGAGCTCTAATTGGAAGAACATGAACACTTTATGCAGAGGCCCAGATAAAGGCCATAGCCAAAATTTCCAATAACCGCATCAAATATGAAAGGAATGATTATCAGCTTAACAATAGTGGTGGCTCATTCTCAGTCACACCACCAAACCAAACCTACACAAACTCCCGACCGAATCTTGGCCTGACGAGGGTTGTGTGTTATTGTGTTCAGTCTAGCGTCGGATTGGTATCAGTCCTTTGGTGTGATTTAGGTATTAGCATTATGAAAGTGGTGTGACTTATACATCAATGAACTACAACATTACCTTCTAAACTGTAGTATCCAGATCACTGTGTGCTTAACAAAAGTTTGTGAATGGATGCATGGCCCTAGGCTAGATGTACCCTTCCCAGAAATATTCCCTTTAACTTTTTACTAGCCATGAGGCAGAACCCTGGATGGCCACAGAACGTGATGCATACATAATTGTAGGTGTACCAAAAGTCGACCGTGGCTGTCCAATGTTTAGTTAAACCAAAGCCTGTACAGATAAAAAGTTTGGACCTTTCTTTTAATTTTTTGTTTTTACTAATCTTCAAAACTAACTTCCTTTGGTGTATCCATCTCTATCATTAACCACGATAGGCCCAATCTGTTGGAGCTTCTTTCTCTTCTTTTATTAAGAATTTAGAATTGGAAACCCACCAAGCTTTGTGGATCCTACTGCCACCTACTGCCAGGCACACAATACATTTATGAATAAACAGTCATAGGCATAGTTCATTGGTAAGTTACCTGAGAATTAGGAAATTTAGAAACCTTTCTGTAAAATAGGTGCACATGCTTACAATGGCATCAAATATCACCAGCTTTCTTCCTAAGTACATAAAATAGTGTGGCATGGCTAACATTGAAACATATACCATGATAGTTGTTGATATATCAGCTGGTATTGTTTGAGAACTTGTGATACTAGTGTGACCACATGTACCTTATTACAGGATTGTGTATAAATCTACAAATTATACTATTCCAGTATTGCTGTGATACAAACAACATCAAACAATTACATGTACACTTACAATACAATTATTGATATATATCCCCATCTACAAAAATACAAACATACAAATACTATCATACCGTAAACTTTATCTTATTTTGCTTTTGTAACATTAATATTGAAAACTCTGTTTTTCCTTAAAAAGGAGGAGTCCCGCAATCATCACCCGGATAGTAACGAATCAGTTTCCTCCTTCGAAAGGCCACCAGCCGAACGGTGGCGTTTAGAAGGACGATGCAACGCCCGTTTCAAGAAATCTCTCGGCCCTCTACTGGCGGTAGTCTTGTTTGGAGATGACGACAGACGGATGGCTTTGGATACAGCGGTACCTAGTAGGCTCCGTGCTGTTATCACAATAACAGTTGAAAGGAAAAGGAGACTAAACATCATATCTTGTTTTACAAGTCATCAATAAATTAAAAATCAAATGAAAGGTAATACACAGTTTAAGTATAGGGTCATGAATATGGCTCAAATGAACATGTTGGAAGCATATGCAATCTTACATTATTCTATGATCGTTGTGGCGGTTGGAATCGAGTCTAAAGTGATAAAATTGTAAATAATAAACTCTTCATGTTGTATAGCTCCCTCTTGAGACTGATGTTACTTTAGCTTTGAAACAATTTTTTACTACAATCGACCGATTTGCTATTCCCGTTTAGAAATTATATATCAGAACTGCATATTCTGAGATTTTCATGGTCGCAGCTCCCATGGAATGGCCTTAGGCGCTATTTGAAATATTTGAAATTTACCAGGAACACCAGTAAATTCTGATTATTCAATTTCACAAAAGCAGAAGTATTTTAGAGGCCAAATGTTCTAGTGCTTGTAATACATCCAAAGGGGCATCCAAATATATCAACATTTTAAAGAATTACTATCCATCCAATTTTTGAAATTTTCCCAAAACTTTGCATTACCTTTAAGCAAGATTGTTAATCATGTATTTTAAAGCTTCCTAAACTTTACATAAAGTACATTTTTCTTTTTATAAAGGAAACTTATGTTTCTTTGATCGTACATTGAAAATATAAATGTCTTTTATAAGGCATACAGATATTTATATGAAAAGAAGCTCATTATCAATATCACTTGTCATCAATTAAATATATTGCACAGTTGATAATTGCTATAGGTATTTCATGTACATTTACAGGAGGCACGGGCATTGTCTGGTATAAATTTGATGGAACGAAACCTTTACAAATCAATATTCATAACATATATACAAATGTTTTGACAAATATCAAGAAAATGAATGAAAAAAAATATCTAGCTATTTGCAATTTTTGAAGCCTTGTAATTTATATAATTCAAGCACGTTCTGATCAAGCTAATGGGTTTCCAAATCAAAGGCATTTAACAGTGTTCTGTAGCTGGGCTGGCTAGCATTCTGATATATAGTTTTTAAAATTGCAAAGTAATATGTACAGTGTGAGCTTAAGATCTGTCCTCGTACAACACATGAAGTAACGTAAATTATATTACAGAAACATACACAATATTCTTTTTAATAAATTGCATAATGCATGTATTGAGAATAAATAAGCATTTCCAAGCATACTAGCATAAAGTGTCTTAAATAAAAAGAAAGAGAGAGAGAGAGAGAGAGATGGAGAGAGGGAGGGAGAGAGAGAGAGAGAGAGATGGATGGGGAGAGATAGGGGGAGAGAGAAAGGCAATGTATAATATATAAATTGCTCTATGTGAATATAAGAGAGAAAAGTGAGAATCGAGAGAGAAAGAGAAAAAGAACAGAATAAAGAGAAAATAGGGAGGAATAAAGATAAAAATGAAATAGATGTGAGATACCGGTAAAACAAATAATGGAAATCTGAGAAAAAAAGAGGTTGTAAAAAAGCAAACAGTAAACAGTTTTTTAATTTTTTTTTATTCCTTTAACAATACCATGTTCTAAAATGAATGATACATACCACCTCTACTTTTCAATAAAATATAGCAAAATCTTAATCAATATGATTATGATGCTACATTTAAAATAAGAGTATTCCAAAATCATATCTCATCCATGGGAGGACTGCTGCTGCTGCTTCTTTAAGTAAAATACATATTACATGAAAAGGGCAGATGAATGATAAATTAATAATATACAACAGCAAGTCAGCAAGATCTGACGGAATAAATTGCCAAAATTAGTTGACTCTCGAGTGCTGAAGCGATGGTGTTCGTAACAGGTAAGATTGCACATCATATATGAACAAAAATCAAATCAAAGCAAAACAAAATAACTCATGAACTCAAATGATGAAAGCAAAGTTGACATTAATAGTGTACATGCATAGAATGAGGCACTGTTAACTGTATTCAACATTTTCAAGTGAAAATAATAAAAAGTCTAAATGGCGCCCGAATCTGTTACAAGGTGCTTGAATGCTATAATATCACTCAAGTATTCCTTTTCTTTATTTTGTTGCATGCTAAATCTAGAGCGGATCTTGTGTCATGGACTGAAATTTAACGTTAACTTTCAACCTGTTGATAATACGAGAGTCAGATTTGCAAACAAAACTAATGAAATCAAATATAAATAAAAAAACAAAACTTGTGAAATTGCATTAAATCATAACAGTGTGACGACTATTATTTTTTCAGATAAGCAGAAACTACATTTATGCTATGGTCACATACCCAAAAGTAGCCTGCTCGGCGACCGAGCGGCGAGTTTTTAACCAATTCTGCTCGAGGGCTGCCCGGGCACCGAGCGGCGGCCGCCCAGGCACCGCTCGTTTTTAGGGCATCGCTCGGTCGCCGCTGAAGTTTTAGCGCAGAGTTAAAATTTGGGTGGCGCCTGCTCACTTTTCACTCGCCGCCCAAAATACGCTCGGTGCCTGGGCGGTCGCCGCCCGGGCACCGACCTAATCGCTGGGCGATGCCTAATTCCAGCAGTGACCGAGCAGGCTACTGATCGGTCGGTCGCTGCTCTGATTTGTGACCATAGCTTCACTCAATTAAAAAAGACAATTTAAAAAACATATGAATACAATTCTATACACTTAATATTTTATGCAAATATAATCAGAAAATACCACATGTACATGTATAATAACAAAATAGGCTGGGTGTAATGTAAGCAATCAAGAGCAACCTAAAATCTTAATAATGAATGAAATATTAAAAATTGCATGTGTTTCGTAAGGCAAGTAAAAAAGCAAATAAAAATGGCATTCAAAGGACAAGTTATATACAAACTGCAGCTGCCAATCTGGCAAACCTAAATCTAGTTGCACCCTCAATGAAGGCAAAACTTGAAACATGGGTGTTTTGTTGAAACTTGAATATTTATGAAATTGACTTGACTCTCATTTTTCAATCACATTCTAGTCAACACATTCATCAGCAGGATATCAATCAACATGTTTTTAATAATATAGGTCTGTTTATAACTATATGATACCCTGAAAGAAAGACTTACATGTAAAATAACAAAGTTACAAATACGAGGCCAAGATCAACAGCATTAAACAAAAGTATTGTATTGTATGTTTAAATCTGGAAGCGAAATAAAAGGATGATCAAAGCAAGTTCGTGTGACAGCAAAATAAAAAAGGAAACATTTCAACGTATGACATCATCCATTTGGAGCTTGATGGGCATTAGCTAACCCTGAAATAATGACTTACATGTAAAATAACAAAGTTACCAATACGAATCCAAGCTCAACATCATTTGGAATAATATTGTATGTTTAAATCTTTTAAATCTGGAAGCGAAATAAAAGGATGGTCAAAGCAAGCTCGTGTGACAGCAAAATGGAACAATGAAACATTTCAACGTATGATATCGACCGGTTGGAGCCTGAAGGGCATTAGTTCATATTCTTTAACACAGAGTTTACTAATGCCCTTCTGGCTCTCAGCAGATGATATCATGGATATAGCATAATAGAGTGGTGAAGTGCGACGTCATCAAAAATGTATTTCAGGAATTTCTCCATTTTTTCTCCATTTTTCCGAAAGCGCATCAAAAATAATGTCCAAATGTCGAAAACCAATTGAATATGAAGTATTGGCTGAGATATGACCAATTGAATAAAAAAAAATGTCCTATAGGAACTCAGTGTTATATTGCTTTGGTTCATAACATTACGAGCCAGAGGAATATAACACTGAGTTCCTATAGGACATCTGTTTATTCAGATGGTCATATCGCAGCCAATACTTAACTTATTCAATTGGTTTTCGACATTCGGACATTATTTTTGATGCTCTTTTGGAAGTTGAAAATGAAGAAAAAAATTGAGAAATTCTAAAAATAGATTTTTATGACGTCACAGCTTCGGTACTCTTTAGGCATCATGCTCTTAACCCCTTGCCTACTGACACTGGGCGGTCCCTGTAATAAGACTATGGGATTGAGAGGATCCAAGAGTCAATGGATTAATACATGTTTCTGTTTGAGAGCCTTGGATCCATAGTGCACGTATTGCGTAACGTCTGCGTAATGAAGTGCTTTGCCAGCAAACATGCAAGTGCCTGTCAAGAATCGACCGACAAGTCCAACCTGCTACCTCCATGCCATAAATTTTTTGTTCTTCTCAGCATTCTTTTAGCGAAGGCAACAAGCATAATATCACTGACACATCCATACTATTATTTCATTTTTTTATAGTTTTTCAAGTTTCAAAGTTCTTATTTAATATGAAAAATTGATACATCGAATGTGATGTTCAAATACTTGGCAAGATCTACCAAGAACCAAGGTAGGAGTAGAAGGATAAATCGTCAGCTGTCCGCATGAAGGCCCATAATAATAATAATATTTCACTTTTATAAAGTGCTTAATACATCTATGATGTCTCTAAGCGCTTTAGAGATATACTATTACCCCGGTCATTGGATTCCATACTTGTCTCCACTCCCTGGGGAGCATTCCAGCCAGGCGTTACTTGATGCTCAAAAACTGTTTGCCTAACAATGACGGTCGCATCCTACCAGGTACCCATAAGAGCTATGTATTGGGGCAATTCCACGGTAACGGAAGGACACTCAGACAAGATTTTTGAACTTCAGGTTCATACTAAAAGAAATGTTTTATTAGTATGTATTAAACTATGGGGAACAAAATGTGTTTCAGTCAAGTGGAAAGCTTCATCAACTTCACAAAGTTTGGATAAACACTAATTAACTGGAAAAACCATGTCCATTTTTATGTCCTTCCGTTACCGAGATAATTAATATGCACATTCTTTAACTACTTAACTATAATGACAATTTTTTGGGGGAGAATTAAAGGCACTTATATAGGTATTATATCTGTACTGTTTCACATCTTATACTAATAAAACAGTTCTTTTAGTATGAACCTGAAGTTCAAAAATCTTGTCTGAGTGTCCTTCCGTTACCGTGGAATTGCCCATTGCCAATGGCAGTAAGAGCCTTCTTACGGACAGCCGACGAATTAATCATTTTGTTTGAGAGCTAGAAAGGGTTAACCTAATATATGATAATGAGTTAATGCCATTCAACCTTTGAGCAGACTACAGTCTCATATTTTTGTTGAGTTGTAACGAACCGTGACATTATCGTCACCCTCGATAAATGTGTCAGAATACTATGCCGTGCCATGCTTTATTCCTTTAAATGTGTTAAACAGACTTGTGGTTCAACACAAATACTGTGAATAATCATCATCATCATGAAAAAGGCATGCATTATTTTTAAGGAGAACGTAGCGGTGGACTTGTCAGCAGATTTTTTGAAGAATCTTTTACCTGGATCATCATCATCATCATAATCATTATAATCTTCATCATCATGAAAGAAGTCTGATCTCATGTCATATGATGTCTAGGAAAATAGAAAGATCACAAGAACAAAACACTCAACATACATGTATATAACGATAAAACATGTGTTGTCAAACCTACTTTAAAGGCATCGTTTAAAGATGTTTCCAGTTTTACAAATCTGAGATGCATGGCCCTATGTGTTATCGGTGTTTGTGATATGGTGTAATATTGAAGCCCTAAACAAATTGCGCTTCAAAATGATCATGAAGTGCTTCAAAAAAGTAAACATCTTTGAGGGACGAATTTTACCATACTCATTTATCCCAGCAAATGTTGGGAAAAACGTTTTTTGAAATTCAAATTCCAATCATAAATATCTTGATAATCAAATACGATTGGCTTGTAAAAGTCATGGGATACCTGACTGACCTAAAGGTTTATAATTATGATTGCAGCAAGAGCTAAATCCAGGAATTTAACAGCCACTGGATTATAGACTACATCGTTCCATTGAGTACTGTTTCATTTTTGAAAACATGTTTTATTAAATACAGGGAGCCTTATAAACAAGTATAATGAGGATTGCTTTACCTAGTTGCTAAGAAAGCATGTACTATATGTGCTTGTAAGTTAGCAAACAGGGGACTGATGGCTTAAGTCCTCACTGAGGGACTTTTGATCACCTGTCTTGAAAGGCTACTTTTCTTGTGTTTCTTGAGAGTGGTCTTAGGATCATTCTTGGCATGAACTTTGGAACATGAAATGACAGTTAAAGGATAAAGGATGTAAGAGTTCTACATGTAATTTTAAACCAAATTAGAGCGCTATTTCTCATGGCTCTTTATATGTAGGCTCCATTCGACTTCTACTACAAAACAAGGGGGATGGGAATAGACAAGGAAATGATCACACAATAAATGTAAAAATTTGAAACGTGGGAAGAATGTGATTACAAATGATATGCATTCCCCTTCTAGAAACGTGCTATGTCTCGAGTTTATTTCGACATTTTGGCAAACTCTCGGCAGAAGAAACGTGTCTGTACCCAGCAAACCCGACATTAAAGGTAATCTATAAGTTGGAACAGCAGATATGAATTAGATATAAACATAAATACAAAGAGAGGAACAGATATAGAGACTTATGGTTTGTTTTCATGTTCTTTGCACAATGAGGTGAACATGAATTCATAATACGGTGAAATATTCAGTGAGTAGTTACATCTTTAATCGTCAGAGCCTTGGATCAAATGGCAAGGTATTAACATGTAATCTGGCCCACAGTTTTTCCTTTGAAGGGAAGGAAAGGCTGCTCATGAGGTAGAATCAAATACATTGCAAAGACAAGGATCAAGGGTGATAGTGAGTACTAAAAAAAAAAAAAAATGTTTCCTCAACCACCTCCCCCTAGGGAAAAATATGGAAAAATCGGGAAGAAAAAATATTTATTAAAAAAATTCCAAAAAAATCCACAAAAAAAAAAAATCCAAAAAAATTTAAATCAGATTTAAATCAGGTAATTTTCAGGCCTGAAGGATAATTCTCACTGTGGCAATTAGCATACGAACAGCCATCACAAGTGATTTGAAACAGGGGTGATCCTTGAAAGTCAAGGTCTCAATTGTGATGTATTAAAAATTCATGAGGTTTATGGGTGGAAGGAGGGGAGCCCTGGGGGGAGTTTCACAAAGATTTTATCTCTAAGTTGGACTTAACAATTATGGAAAGCTGTTAACATCTTTGAAATATTTTGTAAAAGTTATTTTAGAAGGCATAAAATGTTGATTCAAATCAATCATATTTTCTATTATCAGAGGAGATTTCATGTTCTTGATGTGGAATTTATGAAAAGTCTAAAATACTTGAATTTTTGCATTTGAATGTATTTCATTATAAGGCTACAAATGGCTCTCCATAATTTTTAAGTCCAACTTAGAGATAAGTTCAACTTAGGATCTTTGTGAAACACCCCCCTGAAAAGGGGCTGTTTAGTGTGAATGAGGATAAACAAGTAAAGAGAGAGGAAGGTAAAAAGAGAAACTCACCCCAGGTGCACCATTGGAGGGCCTTTTGGAGTCACCATCATCGTCGCTCAACGTTATAGCATTGGGAGAGACTGGAGGCTGCAAGGGCATCCTTCTAACAATGAGCACCATTTGGGCGGTGTCTGCTCCGAAGGCATCCGTGATGTTTTCTGGTGTCAAGTCTCGTCTGCTCGTCCCGTTCAGAGAGAGCACCTCGTCACCAATCTGGAACGTATGAAGAAGGAAGGAGTGGAAGATTATTTTCCGAGGCCAGAGTCATCATTGGACTCGTGATGACAGCTTATTTTGGGGGTATTGCTTTCCCACGGCATTCAACGTGAATATATTCTTCTTCTTCTCTCCCCTTTCTCTCTCTGTCTCTCACCTTTAGTCCTCCAACTTGTGAAGCAGGTGCACCTTCCATGAACTCTGATAGTGGTAGGTGTCTGGACCATACTCCACTTACAATGAGAACCCCCTCTATCTCCCTTCTTCTCTTTTCTCCCTCCCTCCCTTTCTCCGTCTCACCCTCCCTCCCTCTCTCCCTCTCTGTGTCTCACCCTCCCTCTCTCTCTCCCTCTCTGTGTCTCACCCTCCCTCCCTCTCTCCCTCTCTGTTGTCTCACCCTCCCTCCCTCTCTCCCACTCTGTGTCTCACCCTCCCTCTCTCTCTCCGTCTCATCCTCCCTCACTCCCTCCCTCCCTCCCTCTATCTCATCCCCCCACCCATCCTCCCTCCCTTCCCTTCCCACCCTCTCTCTCACCTTGAGTCCTCCATCTTGCCCAGCAGGTGCCCATTCTATGAACTCTGACACTGTAATAAGTGTCTTGACCATACTCCCCTTTTATTGAGAGCCCTTCCCCCTCCCTCCTTCTCCTTCCCCCTCCCATCCTCTCTCTCACCTTGAGTCCTCCATCTTACCCAGCAGGTGCCCCTTCCATGAACTCTGACACAGTGATAAGTGTCTGGACCATACACCACTTTCATTGAGAAACCTTCCCCCTCCCTCCATCCCTTCCCCTCCCTCCCTCTTCCCTCCCTCCCCACACCCTCTCTCTTACCTTAAGTCCTCCATCTTGCCCAGCAGGTGCCCCTTCCATGACCTCTGACACGGTGATAGGTGTTTGGACCATACTCCACTTTCATTGAGAACCCTCCCCCCTCCCTCCCCCCTCCCCCTCTCTCCCTCACTCCCTCTCCCATCCTCTCTCTCACCTTCAGTCCTCCATCTTGCCCAGCAGGTGCCCCTTCCATGAACTCTGACACAGTGATGTCTTGACCATATTCCACTTTTATTGAGAGCCCTCCCCCTCCCATCCTCTCTCTCACCTTGAGTCCTCCATCTTGCCCAGCAGGTGCCCCTTCCATGAACTCTGACACAGTGATAAGTGTCTTGACCATACTCCACTTTCATTGAGAACCCTTCCCCCTCCCTCCCTCTCTCCCTCCCTCCCCACACCCTCTCTCTTACCTTAAGTCCTCCATCTTGCCCAGCAGGTGCCCCTTCCATGACCTCTGACACGGTGATAGGTGTTTGGACCATACTCCACTTTTATTGAGAGCCCTTCCCCCTCCCTCCTTCTCCTTCCCCCTCCCATCCTCTCTCTCACCTTGAGTCCTCCATCTTGCCCAGCAGGTGCCCCTTCCATGAACTCTGACACAGTGATAAGTGTCTTGACCATATTCCACTTTTATTGAGAGCCCTCCCACCTCCCTCTCTCCCCCTTCCCTCCCACCCTCTCTCTTACCTTAAGTCCTCCATCTTGCCCAGCAGGTGCCCCTTTCATGACCTCTGACACAGTGATAGGTGCCTGGACCATACTCCACTTTTATTGAGAGCCCTTCCCCCTCCCTCCTTCTCCTTTCCCCTCCCATCCTCTCTCTCACCTTGAGTCCTCCATCTTGCCCAGCAGGTGCTCCTTCCATGACCTCCGACACAGTGATAAGTGTCTTGACCATACTCCACTTTCATTGATAACCCTTCCCCCTCCCTCCCTCTTCCCTCCCTCCCCACACCCTCTCTCTTACCTTAAGTCCTCCATCTTGCCCAGCAGGTGCCCCTTCCATGACCTCTGACACGGTGATAGGTGTTTGGACAGGGCCGTACTCTCCCTTCAGTGAGAAACCAAAACCCTCCTCTGATTTCTTCAGCACGATAACCAGATAGTCACATACAGCATCCTGAAAACAAACAAAAACAAGAACATATTAAGGAAACTCAACTATTTACAGCTGGCAGTTTTTGCGTCTGCTATTTTAAACAGCAAGTCATTATGTAACAATTTTATATCTACCTCTACAACAGCAACTACTAATTCTACTATTAATAACAAGAAAATGACAATAACAACAACAACAAAAAACACCAAAAAAAACCAAAACATCAAAACAATAATAATTACGATAATGATAGTAAATTTATTATCAATATATGTTTTCAGCATTCTGGAAGCTTTTGATAATATGTCTGGATAGTTATCAGATCCTATAAAATAAAATATCCTTTCTGAAACCAATACAAATTTCCCACATGATATAATGGTACATGACGTTAATGATCTTTTTGGTGGGGCCTCACTAGTACTTAAGATTCAGATATTCCAACCTCTCGACACAAAAAAACAGACTGAGTATCCTAAAAAAAATCAGATTTTCACGAAAACTCGACACTTACCACTAGCCCGTCGGCCCCGGGCCAGTAAAATTACAAAAAAATGTTTGCTCTTTTACTAAAATTTAATGAGAAAATTATAAAGCAAAGTTGTTGTTGGGGTTGCAGTGGTTTACTTGTACATGTTTCTAGGCGATTCCGCTGTTTTTATGGGTTTTAAAAATTATTATCGTACTAAATACAATTTAATCGTACTGGTTGGCATCTCTGAAGATTTGCCTGGTTCTTCCAGACATTTGCTTTGACAACATATCCCAATAATTTTTCTGGTTTTAAATTGAACTCTTTCTCTGCTTTGGTTAACTCATGGAACAAAGCTGTGGTTTGCCACACTGGACTTTTTTCACACTGACAGTCTACATGTACAGAGTTAGGAACTTAAGCCTAAACAGCCTATTTACAACTCTTGTACTGAAGCTGCTTCTTTCAACCAAAATTGTCCTGTTTGCACCTGAAGTGCAAATTATGAAAAAGATAAGAAGCATATCACCAGACAATATATCTTACCTTGGGTTCAACTTTTGAGGTGTTCTCAGCTACACTGTGAAGAGGAAAATAGTAGAACAAAAACTAGAATTACATCTCAAAACATACACATTATACCAGGCAACAATCAAGGATTACACGATTCACATGGCACCAAAATTGGGTCCAGAAAATGAGGGGACAGTGGACTTACTTGCTGGATGAAATACCAATATTTAAGCTGACTAATTCAAGGAATAATAATAATAATAATAATAATCAGTTTTTATATAGCCCTTATTAATCACTAAGCACTTCCAAACTTGGAGATTATTACTTGGCTTGAGCTGTGCTGCCATTACGGTGCTCTAGCATTTCAAGGAATTAATTCCTGCCAGGAAGGGTGTGGAAGAGGACCATATTACCAGGTTTCATGCTTCCTTTTCCCCCCTCTCCTCCTTTTTTTTCTCTTGTTATTTCTAGTTTGAATGTCCTCAATGACTTGTAATAAGCCATCATAGCTACATGTGTATAGACCCATTGGATACGCTGTTTGGACACGATCACCTTTTTTAAGACCGATTTATTTCTTTGAGCCAATGAAATTCCTGTATATTTTCCTCATTTAGGTGATATTTCTTGAATTCCCTGACTTTTCCATGATTGGAAAAAGAGATTCATTCATTGTTTTCCCAGATTTCCAGGATAGCTGGAATTCTGAAGAAAGCTTGCTCTCAAATGGACCATTCTGATCAGATTTAAAGGGAACATGTGTATAGGCTTTCACTGTGTTGTACTCCTCAAGAGCAATCCTGGCTAGCTTTGCAGCTTTGGTCTTCCCTGTCTGATCCAAAAACTTACAGAAACATACTGTCTCCTCTCCCCACCCCACCCACCCTCACCACACCCCACCCTTCCCCACCCAACCCCCATCCCACCCAACCCCACCCAACACCAAGAAATCATGCCCCCCTGAAGCTCAACTGAATTGGGTATCAAGGGTCACAGCTGCATGGTCTTACATTGCGTTGTAGTGCTCCAGAGCGATCCTGGCTAACTTTGCAGCTTCCGCCTTCCCTGTCTGATCTACAAGCTTACTGAAAGTACTGTTGGGATTCTGAAGTAGCACATACGGTTGATCAAACTCTACCAGTTCACCAGCATCAAGGACCTGTGCTCGAAGAAGAAAAAAGAAAAATCATCATTAAAGGTAAAGACCAGTTTTGGAAACGCCCCCCTCTCAAAAAATGAAATGGAAACTCTTATTACCAATCATGTGATAGAATATGTTTTGACTAATATGTGATGATACAAATTTTGCCGGGAAACCACATACTAATTGATATATTTGGTATTAAATTATCATATCTATGCGGACTGGATAGATATCGTGTAGTCCCATATACATCTTGCCGTGTACAGTGCTTGTAACTTTACCAAGACTGTGCCAAATTTGTTATCATTTTTATGATGCCGGAACCTTGCAGTACACACCAATACTTATAAGCTAGATGATCAACCTTTTCTGATTGATTCCACAACATTTCTTTCACAATGCAATCGCATGACCAGAACTGGTCTTTACCTTTAATTTTAGACAAAACTGAACACAAATGTTTGCCAACATACTCTCTCCTCATGTATTCAAAAGTTGAGTATTTCTTCACAAGAATTTTGAGCTTTTGAGTTATCTTACACAAATTTGAATCTGTTAAATCAAAGTTCATTTCTTATAGCTGAAACTGACAAAAGCACATTACATAGGCCTGGAAAACAAAACGCTTTAAATATGTAGACTTTTTTCACTGCCATCTTCCAGACAGGTCCCTCCATTACACATTTTGTACATTACGTTATTAATCTTTATTTCTCTCTCTCTCCCTCTCTCTTTGTTTCTCCCCCATCTCTCTTAACTTCTGTCTCCCTCTTTTGTATTCTCTCTATCTCTCAAGCCCTCTGTTAAACTTATTTTGATCCACCCCTCTATCTTTCTCCCTTCTCTCCAACTCAATTTACAAACATTGATAATGATTTGGAATGTCATATTCTTCTTAGTCTCAGCCAATTCTTTCATCACTACAATCGGCATTCAATGTATTTTGAACGAATAAATTTCATTCAACAGGCAGTGTAACACAAAAACATCCCTTGAAAAATCCCTTGAAAAATCCCTTGAAAAATCCTTTCAAGGGAGAATTTTCTTGCTTCGTTAGAGGATTTTTGAAGAGATAACTGATGACAGACAGCAATTAAGAGGATAACTAAAATCCGGATTTTTGGCCTCTGTGTGACACCGCCTATCGTATTTCCCAATTCCAGATATAGGCCTATTAATCACTCAAAGAATTAACAGCCCATTATTTAATTTCTTTGGTGCTCAAGGCAAAGGTATTAGGGTGAAGACTTACCATGATTTTATCTGAATCCATGATGGTATGGAGACGATGAGCGATGGTTAGGACGGTGCAGTTCTTGAACTTTGTCCTAATGGTCTCTTGAATCAAAGCATCAGTTCTAGTTTACAATGATAAAGACGAAATAAAGGAACAAATACTTTAACATTTAATGCTGAAGTGATATTCAGAATACTAGCTGTGATAAGGTAACCCCCCCCCCCCCCCCCACCCCACCAAATAAAATGCTGTGGTAAACTTAAAGGCATCGTTTAACAACTTGTTAAATCTGAGATGCACGGTCCTACGTGTTATCAGTGCCTGTGATATGGTGTAATATTGAAGCCCTAAAAAAATTGCGCTTTAAAATGATCAAGAAGTGCTTCAAAAAAGTAAAATTCTTTGAGTGACCAATTTTACCATACCCGTTTTCCGCAAAAGACTGTAGTGTTATGAAAACGGTTAGGAAAACGCAAAATTTGATTTCGATTTCCAATCATAAATATCTTGATAATCAGACAGGCGACAGGCTTGTAAAAGTCGTGGGGTTCCTGACTGATCTAAAGGTTTATAATTATGATTGCAACATGGGCTAAATCCAGGATTTTGTTTCAGAATCTGAGACAAAGTTACATAATCCCTTTATATTCAGAATACTAGCTGTCACGGTGACGATGTAAATCCCACTCCCCCCCGCCCCCCCCCCCAAAAAAAAAAAACAGCAACAAACAAACAGTGCTGTGGTAAACTTGAAAACTGACCTTGGGTCTACATTGGCAGTGGCTTCATCCAGTATGAGAATACGGTTCTTCTTGAGAATGGCTCTGGCCAGACAGATCAGCTGACGTTGCCCCACGCTGAAGTTTGACCCACCCTCTCCTACTTCCATCTCTAGCTTGGCGGGGTTCTCCTTCACCGCACGCTCTAACTGAACCTTGATTGCAGAGGAGTTGCATAAAGAATCAATATCTTGGTACCAGCGAAACTATGTTACATAATGATGGACATTATGAGCTTGATGTTTAACCCTTTCAAAACAGGGTTCATTTTAAAGCCTATCTGCACTAGTTTGGCCAGGAGGGATTAGACCTCCCTGCGTAGTAATTGACAGATGGTTATTTCATCAAATCAGCTCTAAATCAACATATTAAAGAAAAGGGGGAACAAGGAGGACCAACGGGTAACACTTAGGCATTGTTTACTATATAGAGGGCGCAAGTAGTGCAGTCCTGCTTAAGAGCTAAATTGATCACATGTTGTTCTTCACTTAAAAACAAATGCATGAGAAGGAAATTATTTGAAAAGTTGAAAATGGCAAATTTTGATGATTGTTTTGAACCTCTTAACATGTTGCCAATGTAAGGATTTTAATGCTTATTTTCATTAACAAAATTCCGAGCATCAAAAGCAATATGTCCATTCAACAAAGATAGACGCTGTGTGTGCAGAACCTTTATTTCCTGTCTACTTTACCAGGGGGTGTTTCACAAAGATCCTAAGTAGAACTTAACTCTAAGTTGGACTTAAAAATTATGGAAAGCCATTAGCATCTTTGAAAATATTTGGTAAAAATATTTTTGAAAGGCATAAAATGTTTATTCAAATCATTCATATTTTCTATCATTAAGGAGATTTCATATTCTTGTTGTGGAATTTATAAAATGTCTAAAATACTTGAATTTCTGCTTTTGAGTATATTTCATTTTAAGGCTCCAATGGCTGTCCATAATTTTTAAGTCAAATTTAGTGTTAAGTTCTACTTAGGATTTTTGTGAAACACCCCCCATGTGATATATTTTCTAGGGGTCTGAATCAAAAGTTATTGAACCAAATCACAAAATGTAGAATGATTGCCGTGAAGGTGTTAAAGGGACTATGTCCCATTTGCAGGCCAAAAAAATGAAAAAGTTAAATTCCAACTGCATTTGAAAGATAATACTAATTTAGAACTTCCCTAAAAAAGGTGGGGCTTGAAAATGTCTTTAAGTGGTAAAATAACGACTATTAGTTGTCAAATCGACTTTAGGGCTATAGAGCCCAAAAGTAATAGTCTTGATTTTCAGACAATTGTACTGAATGGTCATACGTTTTATGCTGCGCAAAGATTCAGTCGGTTTAATCTTGGCCATCACAAGAAGTGGGTTATTGATGTAGACAAATGCTCATGTACCCTTTACAACTCTTTTCATGTATGTTATTACCAAAGAAGAAAAAAAGCCAGTCAGTCACTCAATAGTGTCTGACAGTGAAGTCTAATAAGTAAACGGGTTTCCTTGCATAATTTGAATATGAGGACACTGCTAACGTTTAAATTTCACAGATAGGACATACATGACATTTTCATAATTCCTGCAAAGTTCTACAGAATTTGAGGTTGGCTGCAAAAGGGACATAGTACCTTTAAGGCTTACCTCTTCCAGGACACTCCATAGCATGGCATCTGACTGGTCTCCAAAAGGATCCAGGTTTCTTCTGAGAGATCCAGTGAAGATGATAGGATCCTGGTGAAGAATGAATAAATAAATATGTGATCCAGGTAGTTGTGTCAAGAAATGAAGAAAGGACACACTCCTTTATATCTTGTTTTACAACCCTTAGCTATTGTTAATTACATACATATTCATGATTATGTAAATGTATGCGTATCCATCAGTTGGTGAATGGGAGGTTCAATAAACCAACACAGTCATGGGTAAAGCTTTGTGTGTTTTTTAATATCAAAGACTTTTGCTGTTTGATGGTTGTGTGTTGTGAGGTGCCGGAGGTTGAATATTAAATAATGTAGAGACTTCTCGTTGTAATAATCTTCACAGGATATAGACAAACTCTTTTTGGATTCACGGTAGTAAGTGTGGGATTTCCTAGAAAAAAAAGTTGATGTAATTTTTGTTTTAAAAACTGGGCCCCTTCTTATAAAGAGTTGCGATTGATTCAAATCAATCAGGACTTGAAATAAATTGCAACTTCTATTCCTTAAGTACACAGTTGTGATTGATTTAAAGTTGCAGTTGGTTTATAATCAATCACAACTCTTTATAGTAAAGGGCTTTTAAGAAGGAGAAGAAAAGTCATAGAAGGAGAGAATTAAACATTGGCAGAGTAAAGGAAGGTCAAAGTTTATAGATACCTGAGGAATAATTGAGATGTTCTTCCTGACCTCATGCAGGCCTAGATCAGTGACTCTTATGTCGTCGATTCGGAGACTACCCATGGGCTCTGCGAGCCTAAACAGCGCTGTGATCAGAGAACTTTTACCTGCACCAGTCCTGCCTACTATTCCAATCTAAAGATTAAAATAAAAGAGGAGAAAACAAAAGAAAGTAAACTCATTAAGACATGTTGATGGTTTAAAGCCCCACTGCACTACTTATAGCTACTTCCACCCTCTTTATAGCAAACAATGCCTAATCGGTGTGTGTAATTGGTCTCCCATAATCCCCTTTTTATTATCTTAATTGAGCTAATTTGATGAGATAACCACCTGTCAGTGACCATGCAGGGAGGTCTAATCCCCCTGGTCAAACTAGCTTTAAATACAGTGTAGCATCAGTATCGTAAGAAACAAATTTATATCCAAACTTAGAGAGCGAAGGTACTTTATGTGAATTTTATGTAAAATGGTACATAACAGCTGTAACTCGCACGCTACAAAATTCTGGATCACTTAATGGATAAATAGAAAACTGTATGCGAGAAAGAGGGCCTTTAAAATACAATTTGTTGTTGTATTTACAAATATCAATCAATCAAAAATGATTTAAGCTTTGGAAATTAATCAATTTCAGTAGCGGCGAGCAAATATCATTTGTAGTTATTTTATTGACCAAGGCTCCAACTGTAGTTCGAATATATGCTAAGAGGCTTCCATGGGTAAACCAAATTCTTCTTCATCTCCTTCTTCTCCTTCTTTTCTTTCTTCTTCATTATTATTATTAATATTGTTGTTGTTGTATTATCATTATCATCATTAATATTATTAATTATTATTATTAGTAGTAGTAGTAGAGTCAATCCTGCTTTAGTGACCACCAGTCTACAAAAACCACATTTTCTGTTTCCATTGAAAGTGGTTTCTCATTGAAACATGTACTAAAGGAACCTGTTTACAAAGACCAACTGTCTACAAAGACCACTTTTTGTGTTTCCCTTGGGCGGTCGCTATACACAGGTTTGACTGTATCATTATCATCATCATCATTGTAACCATCATACGAATCGAAATGTCTACTAACCTTCTCTTTCGGATGGACTTCACACGAGAACCCCTTGAGCACCTTGGGGGTTTCTTTGGAGTAGGCCAGAGACATATCATCGAACGAGATCGCTCCCTTGGATGGCCAGCCGAGAGGAGGCTTAGCGTCAGGCTTCTCCAGCGGTCCCTCAGGATCCAGCTGGGTGTACTCGACCACGCGCTCCACAGACGTCATCTGAATGATAATAATACACATTCAATCATCAGGGGTGCATTTCACAAAACTTGTCATCGGTGACAAATGACAATTTGTGTTATAAGCTACTGAAATGCTTGCTTCTGATTGGTTATCAGCAGATTTGTCACTGATTTTTGTTATTTGTCATTGAAAAAAGGCATTGCGAAACGGGTCCCAGGTAATTACAAAATATAGTGGCACAAAAGATGCATCTGGTCAGCGAAAGGCATACCGGTAATTGCTGGCGATAGCAGTGAATTATAATAAGTTGTATTAACATGACACATCAGAATGACAGCTTTGATAGTATTACGATAATCAAGGTTGCAGATGGATTTCGTTCGGTCTATATCACAGTGATATGTTTTTATCTCTATGCCATGAAATTTGAATTTGATTCTATGATTATGCATTACATGTATTTGTCTACCAATATGTCTTTTCGTGCCATTTCAATCGGTGAGCTACCTTAAAAAGTGTATTTATTTCTTATTTAACCATTATATTGCTGAAGATATACGACAGGTTATTCAACTATAAACATAGCAAAGACTTTGGAAAGTTGCAAAGGAGCTCTCTATCTCTCTTTAAAAGAAAAATTAAGTGAAGAATTAATCCCCCCCCCCCTTCTTGTTTACACAAGCCTTTAAAAAAAGCTTCTGTGAACAACAAGAAAATTCCCTTTTTTGCACAGCCTCTTCTGTTCATTCATCCTAAATACTAAGGAGCATGGATAAAGATATGAAAAGACATAAGAACTGCACGAAAGAAATTTCACTTATTTTGTAACAAAAGTCTCAAATATAGCCTCTTAGTAGTCTTGCACCGACTCTCTCTCTGGATTATTCTTGTTGAATTACCTGATTCTCTACAAGAGCACTCTGTCTAACACAGAACTGGAAGACACCTCCTAGGGCAACACAGTTGGTCAGGATGAGACCCACTTGACCACCGTCCAAATTCAGATCTGAAAAGAGCATATCAAAAGTGTGTGTGTGAACGTTGTTAAACCCGTTCTTCTTCCATTTGAGTCTTCTTCGTCCATTTGAGTACATCCCTCTTTACAGAGTATTGTCGTACTATAACTGGGGTGTGCAGGTGGACCACTACACTGGGGTTTCCCCTACTCATATACAAATAGTGCAGTGGGTTCTTAACGTGCAAAGGTAGTGACTCTTCTCTACAAGGGGCCTCCATTTAACGTCCTATCTGAGGGACAGAGTGTTTTCCACTTAACATAGCCTGCAACTATGAAACAAGGGGAGGGGCACGTTTACACACAACGCAGGCTTCAGTCATCTGACTGGTTGGGATTCGAACCCAAGATCTTTGGTTCGACAGGCAGACGCTTTATCGACTGAGCCAAGGGGGGCTGGTAATTTTATGTCTGCAAATGATTTCTGGGCAGTAACTTACATTCCTGCAAACCAACGCAGATGAAAGCGACGGATGAAATAAAGACCGCAACGAGGAGATCCAAACGAAGGCCGAACCATCTATTGGTGGCGATGTACATGAACCAGGCCTCGGAATGATGGTCCTGATATGTGTGGAACTGATGCACAAACTCCCCCTCTTTCTTGTAGGCCCTGATGGTCCAGAGACCCTGGAGGGAGCCAGTCGTGTGGGAGAAGACTGGACTCCGAGCTGAAAAGAAGAGGAGACCAAACCAAATAAATAAATAGATAGATAAGATAGATCAATAGATGGAGCAATAAATAGATCAATTGAAAGCTAGATATACAGATAGAGGTATATAAAGAAGAGGTGACGAAACCAAGTAGATAATGGATAGATAAATAGATCACTCACAAAAAAAGATCGATAGATAGATCAATAAATAGATTAATTGACAGCTAAATATACAGAAAGTTGATAGATAGTCAAATAGATCTGCGAATGGAGAGATAGATATATAGATAGATATATAGATAGATATATCAATATATAAATCAATAGATTGATCAAGTAATAAAGATATTACTTGTAGTAATATATGATTTAAAACACAAACATATCCACACATTTTGATCAAGGAAAAAAAAGATAAATGGATCAATCAACATATCAGGCTCAGCTCAACAAGAAAAACTTTTTTTTTAAAGGCCCACTGCACTACTGGTAGCTACTTGCACCCTCTATATAACAAACAATGCCTAATCGGTGACCATTGGTCCCCCATGATCCTCTTTTTCTTATGTTAACTGAGAGCTGAGTTGATGAGATAACCACCTGTCCAGCGACCTTGCAGAGCAGTCTAATCCCTCCTGTAAACTACGGCAGATAAGCTTTAAATGTGCCTTGCTTAAATTCACTTATAATCAAGAATAATAGGGGGTGGGGTGACCACCAAGCCCCCCCCCCCCCCCTTGCAAATAGAATGGCTATTGGCACAGGCAGATTGATAGATAGATCAAAAGACAGAGAGAAAGAATTCTCACTTGTTCCATCGAGTCTCTTGACAGCAGTCGTAGCTCGTAGGGAATATTTGGTGAGTAGCATGAGGATGATGAAGAGAGGCAGCGCTGCAAAGACGGTGAACCAGGCCATCACTAGGGTGATCAGCACAGTACCCAGAATCTGAAGAGATATCTGCAAGGGGAAAAAAGAGGATGCCACAGATAATAATATGATTTTCATCGTGCATAATAATAATTTTCTGCTTTTATATAGCGCTTAATACTTCTATGATGTCTCCGAGTGCTTTACAAATAGATCATTACCCTGGTCATTGGATTCAATACTTGCCCACACACACTGTGTGCACAATCCTACAGCCAGGCGTTACTTGATGCTCAAAAACTGTTTGACCAACAATGACGGTCGCATCCTTCCGGGTACCCATTTAACACCTGAGTGGAGAGTAGCAAACGCAGGTTAATATCTTACCAAAGGATATTAGTGCCGTGTCAGGATTCGAACCCTCGACCTTTGTATCTCCAGTCAAGCACTTCATACCACTTGGTCAAGACACTCGTACATGGCATAGGCCTACATATTGATTTTATTTCAACACATTGTGAATACATACCTACTGGCTATATTTCATAAACATTCACAAATATTCCACATTCATGCAGGTACTCCATGTACAGTTGTACTGCATGTACATGTGCTCAAGGGACAATTGCTCCGAGTTCAATATCCTGCACTATCAAACCAAAGTCCTAACTTCAACCCTGGAATAGACACTATACCTAACCCTGAATCTAAAATGAAGTCAACGTACAACCCTTACTCTAACCCTAAACCATACCATATTAACTATATATATTCCAATATTGATAAATCAATTTTAACTGTGTTTTATGTATGAAATATGCAATGAGCCTTTTAATTGTACACATGACCAATCCAGCCATTGGGCTGCGACACATGTTTTTGATAAACCTTGAATTTAATTTAATTGAATAAACCTATAACTTTGACAGAATTCTAGGAAAGAATCTGAAAGAATAATGGAAGAAATAAAAGAACAACTGGAAAGAAGATATTCTCTGGGTATTTTCCCACGGTGAGCGACTATTCATGATTGAAGGCTTTTGGTAAAACCATGTAGTAGCCTTACTGAAAAGGCTGTTGACATATTCTTTCGCCAATGATACCTGCTTATGGAAGAAAATTCTGTTGACACGAGGATATATCAAAAGCCTGAAGCCATGAAGAGGAAATTAGTTTCATTCCATTAACGACTATTTTACCTGTATGAAGTCAAAGAATGTAAGCGGCAGCTGGTCATCCATGATCCCTATGTCTTTGGTGAAGCGATTCTGGATTCTTCCTATAGAACACAAAGAAAATGAGGGATACGTAAAGATAAACTTTTGCAGGCCAAAATTTTTTTTAAGGTTAAATTCCAACAGCATTTGAAAGACAATACTAATTTAGAACTTCCCTCAGAACGAAAGGGCTTGAAAATGGCTTCAAGAGGGAAAATAACGACCATTAGTTGTTGAATCGACCTTAAGTGATTGTAATCACTTAAGTAATAGTCTGATTAACATACCTGTAGGGGTGGTGTCGAAGAAGAGAATGGGGGCTCTTGTCACACAACCGAACATGCGATTGTGGAGGGTCCTTGCCGCGTTGATCATGACCTGGAATGTGACGAAAGCTCGAATGATTCCAAACAGCATGGTGCCGCCCACCAAACCACCGTAGACACCGGCAGATTGCTCTACAGTCAGGTTCAAATTGGAGAAGATGGCGTAGTAGAAGTTGTCCAGCTTCAAAACAAAAAAGGAAAAACAGGGCATAGAATTAACTTCAAATGTTTCTGCAATGAGAGTACTTTTTGGAGAAGTACATATATCTCATACATAGTAATTATATATTATGTACTATTAGGAGTTGTTTTTAGCTCTAAAAAGAAATACAGAAATGACAGATTGCAGAAATAACTTTAATTTATATTCTACGATTCTATTGCTTTTTCATAAACATCGTATGTTGTTTATTTATTTATTTATGTTTTCTTTCAAAAGCAGGGTAGAACCATTCAATGCCACAGAGGGCCTGATTCAAAAGGGCTCCCTGCTATGAAAAAAATATTACAAAATTAATTAGAAAACAGAAAAAAATACAAGGTAAAGATAATGAAAACTTTACAATGAAACGAAAAGACAAACCAAAGCTATGTGATTTATACAAAGCAAAAGAAAAAGAAAAAGAAAAAAAAGGATAATAAATAAAAATGAAATGAGTAAAATAGTAATAAGCTTTGAAACAGTCATACAGGTGCCGTGGACTGAAGATTTGATTTTAAATAAATACCATTTTATCGCTTGAAACAGAAGTGTTGGAATGAATGAAAGATCTCAACTCACCGGCTCATGATTAGCTTCTTCGAAGTCTGCCCAATAACCGACCCAGAAGTCTGCCAACAGATACATAACCTTCAAAGGAAAATAAACAAAAGGGTATCGTGATTAACAATATCTATTGTAGTTTTGTTCTACACCTTTTATTGATGTTCCATTTTTTTTAAATTTACTGCATTGCTACGTTATAGTTGTTATGTTCTTATCATCATTTTTATTCATTTGTGGATAAGATATATTGAATAAAATTGACTTACATATTAAAACAATTAATTCAGCATGCTCTGGTATAGACTTGGAAACGCCCCTCAAAAAATTAAATGGAAGCTCTGATTACCAATTATGTGAAAGAATATGTTTTGACTAATATGTGATGATAACAAATTTGCTGGGAAACCACCTACTAATTGATATATTTGGTAAATGATCATATCGATCCGGCCTGGATAGATACCGGGAATGCACTTCAACATTGAACATTTTGGCAAATATTTCTGCTTTTTTGCGAATTTATGTTGAAGTTTTGCCATCAAAATACGATAATTCAGTAGTCAATAAGTTAATACAACGTTAAACTGGTAATTTGTTAATATTTCCACATACCTGTGCTCCTAGAAGAAACAGGATCATCCAGAATAGAACGAAAGGATTTCCACCGGCTCGGAAATACCTGATGTATGTATTATAGGTGATGCTTCCTGTTTGAGTGGTCTCCTTCTTGAAAAGCTTACCAGTTTTAGTTGTGGTGGTTATTTTACCCGACTGTTAAGAAAGAATAAATGCTTGATAGTAAGCAACCAGACGGCTGACGACTTTAGGTCCTCTCCGAGAGACCTGGTAATGAGGATTAATGCCGTACCAAAGGGCACTAGCGCATCGACTTGGTTTTGAACCCGGGTCACCGGATTATGAGACCACTGCTCAACCGACTGAGCTATCTTGCCTCCACAAATCGATTTCTACACATCTTTAAAAAAAACATCAATCAATCACAAATTCATGTACATGTAGCTTGACATAGTCTAGGACAAGAAATATTCTAGCTTACATGTTTTTCTCCTTCTCTTTCTCTTGTCATATTTTCAGTTTAATAACACTCATATTATTTTCTGGGTGTTCTAATCTTCTACTTATATCATATCAGGAGTGATAGTGAGCACCTTAACCACCCCACTCCCTCTCCCCCCCCCCCCCTTGAGTAAAAAAAAAAAAAAAAAAAAAAAAGGATTCAGGGAAGAAAAATGGCACTGTACAACATTCCCTCCCCCCCCCCCCCCCCCTTTCGAGTAGAAAATTGGGACAAATTGGGACAAAATAGGGAAAAATAGGGAAAAATAGCGAAAAAAGGGGTAAAATTGGGAAGAAAAAAAAAATCAGGAATCGGGAAAATAAATAAATCAGGAAAACGATTTATATCAGGTAATTATCAGGCCTGTAATATTCAAATCTCATATTTTTAAAAACTATATTAATGATTTATCTAATTTAAACTCATCCTCGTGAGGGAAAAAAAAGGTGCAATACCCACCGTTACTTTGGTAGAACTCTTTCGTCCTGATCCACTCCTCTTGAATGACCCTGACGCCAGTCTGACAAGAGAAACTGCATCTGTATCGACATCATCGATGCTCTCCTCCTCCTCCTCCTCCTCCTCAGGTTTCTCCATCAACTTGGAGAACTCGATGCCTTTCTCGTGAAGCTCAGACAAGGTTCCCACAGCCTCCATTTGACCCTGATCCAAAGAACAAAAGAGTAATGGTCATATCTACTTTTAAAGCCCAACTGCACTACTTTAGCTATATGCGCCCTCTAAATAGCAAATAATGCCTAATCGGTGCCTGTTGATCCCTCATGATCCTCTTTTTCTCATGTTAATTGAGAGCTGATTTGATGAGATAACTACTTGTCAGTGACCTTGCAGGGAGGTCTATAAATCCCCCTGGCCAAACTAGTGCGGACAGGCTTTAAAACAAGATCGTAAATATAGCTTGTGTTCTTCTTACACTCCAAATATATGTTTTGGCGACCACCTGTATAGAAAGACCACCTGTCTATTAAGAGAACTTTTTTGTGTGATTTCCTTTGAACATGGTTTTTCATTGAAATCTGTACTGAAGTTCCTTCATAAAGACCACCTGCCTATACCCATTTCATGTTTCCCTTGAGCGGTCTTTATATACAGGTTTCAATGTATTATTATTATTATTACCATAATTAATGGTGTATTAACCACACTTTTTTGCCGCCAAAAAAATTCAAATTCAATTTATAAACAGGTACAACAACAAAAAAAAAAAAAAAAAAGTAATCAGTGTGTTGACTCACCATTCAGAAACTAGAACAACACTCAAATTTGTCTGTCATCTTGGTTTGAAAGTAATCTTTCTGATAGATCTCAATATGTAGTCTATAATAATAATTCCTACACACGGCGTACCACAAGGTTCTATCCTAGGTCCTGTTTTTTAATTTACATTAATGATCTTACACATTCAACTGCACTTCGCAGTTAAATGAAAGTGTTTTTTTTTTTTTTTTTTTTTAAAGCGAAAAAGAGGGGTGCGGTTAATACAACGTTAATTACGGTATGTAAAATGAGGTTCGCTAAAACCTACCCCTTTCTTAAGGACCAAGATCTGATCAGCTTGGCCCAGGAACTGAAGTTGGTGGGTTACCAGGATGCGTGGTTTATCAGCCAAGTATTCCATAACACACCTGATTGAGAAGGGAAAAAAAATTCATACACTGTATCAAAACGTTGATCAACGATTTAATCTTTATCATGAACATTTATAAGGTGGTGTGACGTGTGACGTTATCAAAAATCTATTTTTAGAATTTCTCAAAAAATTTCTTCATTTTCCGAAAGAGCATCAAAAATAATGTCAGAATGTCGAAAACCAATTGAATATATTAAGTATTGGCTGAGATATGACCATCTGAATAAATATATGTCCTATGGGATTGAGTGTTATAGTGCTCTGGTTCCTAATGTTATGTTTTGGAAAATGAAGAAAAAATTGAGAAATTCTAAAAAATAGATGTTGATGATGTCACAGCTTCGGTACTCTATATTAGCATCAAAGAATAAGTGGTATCATAGAAATAGCAGACTACAAAGACTTAAAATATTGCCAATGCTCTGACGAATTCCAGAATTTTCAGGACATATCCATAAATTGAAGTACATGCAGAGAGAGCATGGATAGAAAAATACAGAAAATAATGCAGAAAGGAAGGGTGAAAAAAGGAGCAATTAACAAGATGAGAACAAAGCAAAGAGAAATTGAAGAGAGGGAGAGAGAGAGAGGGAGAGAGAGAGGGGGAGGGAGGAAGAAGGGGGGCTAAAGAGAGAAAGCAGGGAGAGAGAGAGAGAGAGAGAAAAGGAAGAGAGAGAGAAGGGAGAGAAGGGAGAGAAGGGAGAGAGATACAGAGAGAGAGACAGACATACAGAGACAGACAGAGAGCAGAGAAGAGAAAGGAGAGGGAGAGGTGGACTAATGAAAAAGGGGGAAAAATCAACGCTATAATTTACATAAATTACATTAAGTATATTATAAAAGTAATAATGTTTTTTTCAATATAACGACAGCTACAGAGGGGGACAGACAGACAAGATAACCCATTTATAAAATTACATGTATAAACATCTTTAAAAAAAAAAATCTTTTAATAGAAATTTCCACTTGACCACTCACTTGTTGAAGATGTGTCTGCTGACCTCGCTGTCCACGGCACTGAGAGGGTCATCCAGAAGATAAATGTCTGCGTCATCATATAGCGCCCTCGCCAGGTTGATCCTTGCCTTCTGCCCTCCGCTCAGGGTCACGCCCCTCTCTCCTACCATCGTCATGTCTCCGTCAGGAAGCTGCTCTATGTCCTGAAGAGGGAGGCATATATAATATTGATATGTTTTATCATCCACAAACATCCTTAGAAAATTATCATTGGGTGGTATTCTCGAAAGCATACTAACTTTAGTCCATGTTTTAATCCACTAAGTATGAAATGCCAAGTGTCCATAAGGATATATTTTTGAATAATTTGATATGTCCCCAAATTAAAAAGATAACATAATTATATCATATTTATATTGTTGTTTAATAATTATTTTATTACATTTTATTTTAATTTAGTGACAAATTAAATTATTCAAAAATATATTCATATGGACACTTGGCATTCCATACTTAGTCGGTGGATAAAACCTTGGACTTAAGTTAGTCTGCTTTCGAGAATACTATCCATTACCATTAACTAAAAAAATAACACACCCATACGTATGCATACATACACATTATGTGAATATTGATGGAGCATTCAAAAGAGGTACCTTCCTAGCTATCTTATTTCTTTCTTCATGAAACATTAAAGAGTTTGGATTATCAATTTGCTCTCTTTGCATATTTCATATCATCCTTTTATTATCGCTTTTTCTTTTTTTAGGTGAGGGAGAGGGGGTTGAGTATCATGTCAGCCTAGGCTCTATATGGGTAATTCCATATATAGATCCTGATTACCATAACACACAGAGGATTTAACAATCTTGAAAAAAGAAATCACAAGCCTACTTGATTTCACTTTTTCAGTGTGCAGAGCTTCCCACTTTTACAATCACACCAGCTCCAAATCCACAAGAAAATGGTAGAATCAATATCTTGTTTTGTATATTTTCCAAGATTAGAGATGTCACATATTTTGATGATGTTCAAGTATAATACTTGTCAAGACCATTCAAAACAACTTAACATATTGTACTAAGAATAATCAACAACATTTATTCAAATTAAGGAATCACATTTTTATCCCCATTTACTCTGGTTGTCAGGTTTGCAATATATAGGTGGTTTTGAACTGTCGAGTCATGAATAGTATAAATAGCTAACATTTAAATGCTAACAGTTAAATAACTAAGCGTTGTGGCACGCGCCTGTAATCCAGCTAACAATGGAAGTTACAAACTGATTCAGCCGAGGACGCAGGTTCGAAACTCAGTCACGCCTTTCGGATAGTGACGTTTAAACGTCGGTCCCCAGGCGTAAATAATCATATCTAATTAATACACATCTGTAAAAACCGAACACACACACACACATGCATTCAAAATTATATACGCATACCTTGGTGAGTGCGCAGACTCTAACGATGCTACGATACTTGGTATCGGAGAAGCGTTTTCCAAACGTGATGTTCTCTCGTATCGTCCCACCGAACACCCAAGGCTGCTGAGAAGCATAGGCGATGCGCCCCTTGGTCTGTATCGATCCTCTGAGGGCGGGAAGCTCCTTCAAGACAGCCATCAGTAGAGACGACTACAGGATCAAAGAGAGAGAGAGAGAGAGAGGGAATTGTGAAATGGAGGTCATTGGTATAATAGAAAGATTAAACAAGAACTTAAGTTCGAACTTTGATCGTTATTTTTTTAATAATTGTCGTATATTCTCGAACGAGAATTATGAAGTAAAATAGTTAATACTAACAATAAGGATAATGATGATGCTGATGATGATGATGATGATGATGTGGATGATGATGATGACAATGATGATGAAAAGGATTATTATAATGATGATGATGAGAGCGATAATGAGGATAATGAAGAAGAAGATGATGGTAATGTTGACGATGATGATGAGAATGATGAGGATAATGAAAAGATGATGATGGTGATGATGATGACGAAGAAGATGATGATGATGGCGACATGTAAAGGCGGTCCTGGGTTCAAGCCCAGGCATGGCATTTACATTGTCCTTGAGGAAGGCATTTTATTTACATTGCAACTCAATACCTAGATTGCAACCTGGGAGTCTGCAAACATCATTGTGGTTTGATAAGCATCTGTGTGCCAGTAAAACAGTGACTGGCGAGAATGCTCCCCAGTAAAGTGGACAGTGTGTGTGCTTTGTGCTGTGACGAATCAAACACGTCAGAGAATCCCACTACTAGGTTACTAATAAACAATCTAAGGCAGTTTGATAATAATTATTCAAATAATCATTACAAACAGATCTGCAATTAGATGTACCTGTCATTCATAATACATTTACAAGTCGATCCTACTGACTTTATGATTAAACCCCCGCCCCCCCCCCCCCCAAGAAAAAAGCTTTGTATTTGCAGTATTTCGTTTTCCTACCTTCCCAGCTCCAACTGGACCGATGACGGCCAATAACTTTCCTTTCTTGACTCTGAAAGTGATGTCTTTCAGCTGACTTGTGTCCTCTTCCTACACAAAAACAAAAACACAAACACAAGAAAATGTAAATATAGTAATAATAACAATAATTTACCATAGTTATAATAGCACATTACAAACACGTCCCTATGCACTGTGATGGAGAGAAGGAAAGAAAAAGTAGAAGAATAATAAGAAGAGTGAGATATGCTCAGCATACTTCCTTAAGTCATCAGTTACTGTAAACTCAGAAATATTTGTGGTACATTAATTTTCACTGATTTCGCACTAAAGTCGGTGTCCGCAAATTTTAGAACCTGCAAAAATATAAACATGACTTCTTATGCGTGTTCTGAATGAGCTGAATTTGGTGTGACGCGTATTTAAGAACCAGCCAATATGTTTTGGGGTCGCTCAGCGCGAAAAATTAAACACACAAAAATAGCAGCGTTTAAATTAACGTTGAAAATCGTTTTTAGGGCGCATTGGTCTTTCTCCAGCATAGTGATTATTCACAGTTTATTGCTGTCTGCTGCCTCAAGATCACTGGAGCAAAGATAGGTGACAATGAATAGCCAGAGTGTCTATTCAGCAAGAGATTAATCCTTTTTATCCAGATGGATTATTTCACCTTTCTTGACCAAAAGTGGGTTTCAAACTTTGAAACACAATTCTGGTCAAGAAAGTAGCTCTACTTCTTCTAAAGAACAAGGGAGATGTTGTATTGACTCTTTGATAGTTTAGTTCATCACTCAAAATGTATCCATTATGAAATTGCCCTCTGAAAGCTATAAAGGCATTAACTCTCTTAGGATTACCTATTCCCATGAACAAGGGAGATTATCTGCAAAGATCCCATCATCTCTCTCCATCCCTTAAAGCCCCACTGTCCTTCTTGTAGCTACCTGTTCCCTCTATATAGAAAACTTCCCCAATCGGTGCCTGTTGGTCCCCCATGATCCTATTTTTCTTATGTTAGTTGAGAACTGAGTTGATGAGATAGCCACCTATCAGTGACCTGGCTGGGTGGTCTTATCCCTTCTGGCCCAGTAATATTGACGGTCTTTAACTCACATACTTTATAAATACAGAGATAATGTCCCTCTGGCTCTCTACAAGCAAAAGAATGACATCTTCTTTTAAAGCCCATCTGTACTACTGTACAGGAGAGATTAGACCACCCTGCAAGGTCACTGGACAGGTGGTTATCTCATCAAATCAGCTCTCAATTAACATGAGAAAAAGAGGTTCATGGGGGACCAAAGGTCACCGATTATGCATAGTTTGTTATATCGAGGGAGCAAGTAGCTATAAGTAGTGCAGTGGGGCTTAAAAAGAACAAGTGATGTTGTATTGACTCTTTGATAGAATAGTTCATCACTTAAACTGTATCCATTAGAGCCATTAGGACATATACCGGAGTGTTGGCTCAGTCAGTAGAGCATCTGCCTCACGACCGGGAGGTCATGGGTTCGAACCCCGGCCGCGTCATACCAAAAGACGTTAAAAGATGGGAGTTGTTGCTACCTTGTTTGGCGTTCAACAATAAGGGATAGAGCAACTTCGATCTGGCGCTGCTCAGTGGCTGCCGGGCTCACGATCAATTGGGCAAAAAAATTTCCGTTTCGGTTTAATAAAATTTGGAGTGGACTATTAGGCTATTATTATTATTATTATTTAACTTGCTAAATTACACTTACCTCTTCCCACGAACAAGTAAGATTATCTGCAACTATCCCATCATCTCTCTCCATCCCTTGAGTATCGTTTCCTCCCTCGACTCTCTCCTTCTCCTCAAGCAGTAGGTATTTCTGTTGATACAAATAAGAACCATAATGTTATGCCATAGCAAACCATAACTTTCCAAATCGAGGGTTCAGTGACACAAAGACGTAACTCCATATCTTGCCAAAATGAGTATTTAATATCAAAATGTTCAGAAAAATGTGGGCTTTCCAGGAAACACAAAGACTTAACTCCACCCAACATCCCATCGAAGTCAATGACACATAAACCACTTTTTCTCAAAATGGCCAAAATGGAGTTACGTCTTTGTGTCACTGACCCCTCGAATTGATGTTGACCCATAGCAAACCATAATCTTCCAAATATCCCTATAAGTCTGCATCAGAAAATTAGCATGAATTGCTTCTTTTTTTAAAGAAAAGAACTATTCTGGAACTCCAAGTGTTCACTGCAAGATCTGCATAACAGAATAGTCAGGAAAAATTATTCCAACGAGGAGAAGTATGTTCGTGAAACATCTACTGCTATCTGGGTAATGATTAGAATAGGGACCCGTTTCACAAAGCCTGTTTTCAATGACAAATGAAGAAAAAAAATCAGTAACAGATCGGCTGATAACCAATCAGAAGCAAGGATTTCACTAGCTTATAACAAAAAATGTCATTTGTCACTGATGACAGGTTTTGTGAAATGGGGCCCAGAAGGCCATTTCTGATCCATGGTGCAGACATGAGAAATTTTGAACAAATATCTAAGTCCTATAAAACAAATATTATGCAATAGAAACCTGTATGAACAAAACATACAATTGCAATAAAAATAAATTAATAATTTGTATTGAGTATACTTTGGGAACTATGCCTTACAAGATTTTAGCAAACTTTTTAGTTTCCATTTTTCTTAATCACATATTTGTACAGACTCTGTATATCTTACACTTTATATATATATATATATATATATATATATATATATCATTGTCATTGTGTTATTTGATGATAAAGAAAATTGATCAATTGAATCATTGAACTAGTTACAGTGATTGTCCAAAAGACTAATAAAAATGTTGAAGAACCCTTCTCATTGAATTCTGTTTAGAAACAAAACATGGGGGAAAAAACTTATACCGGTAGATTAAAGCTTCTAATATGCATCCATACCTCGATACGATTGAGAGAAACAGTGCACTCGGAGCGAAACTGTATAGCACGTGGGAACATACGGAGAAACGATGTGCGTAGTGCGTTACAAAAGGCGATTATGGCAAAGATGGTGGCTGTCTCTATAGTGTCCGTCGTCAGGGTGTAGACGATGATCATCCCGACATCCAGAAGACGATTACCAAACAGCGCCAGGGTCACATTGACGGCCAGAGGATACGAAGCCGTCACAATCTTCCTTATTTCGAGTCTGATTTTGGGGCACAGAGAGAATGAAAATGACGGAGATCAACATACAGTATATAAACCCCTGGGCAGCCTTTCATGAAACCGTCATAAGTACAAGTTCACTGATATCCCATTGTACTTATGACAGTCTTGTGAGAGGCTGCCCATGTTGCTAAATGAAATTGGAAAACCAAGTTTTTGCAAGAACATAATGTTAAAACAAACATTTGAAATAATATGTTGAAAACAAGTTGGCAAAGAATTTGCTATGGGTTCATGAGTATATTTAAATCAATGTTCATTATGTAAGAAATGTAGAGAAACAAGGATACTGGGATATCCTTTAAAACATATGAAATCTTTTAATATCAGGTTACTTCTACACCTATGCTACCCTGTAAAGAATACTTCATATAATGATTTCTTTGTTTATCTGGGCTGCGTCTCACGAAACCGTCAATAGTACAAGTTCACCGACATCCCATTGAAATGCGTGTATTAAGTTTAACACAGGTTTCAATGGGATGTCGCCAAACTTTTACTTATGACGGCTTCGTGAGACACAGCCCAGATTGTGTTTTTGTGATTTCTGACATTAACTTACGATCTGAGTTTCTTGACCACCATAGCGAACGGGTTCTCCCAGGCGTACATCTTAATGACCCTCATAGCAGTGATGACCTCCGTCATGACGGCGACCCGCTGGTCGGTGAACTGTGCCGTCTTTCTCCTGCCGAGGAAAGAGAGGAGTGTCAAAAAACTATGCATACACAATCCCTTAGAACTAAAACTTTGTTCATGGACGTGGGGAACCATCTCAAATAACCACTGGGGCAAATTAAAATTATTTACGTCTACTGCACTTCACATTCCTGCATCTTAAAACATGAATATAAGTGATTATTATCTATATACAGCTTCCAAATGGGACAATAAATCAATGTATTTATTATCTTTAGCGCAGTACCCGGATGACAGATCATTTCTATTTTTGTATTGCTCTGTCATTCATGAACTTCAACTGTCGATACAATATTGCTTGATTATCGAATTTTGTTATTTCGCTAGTCAGCCTGATGTAGATTATAATAATCATATTGTATTGCTCTGTTTTTGTGTCATACAAAAATAAGAATATATTGTCATAGCTCGAGCAATATATTCTTGTATCACACTCAAAGCCATCCAATATTATATAAGTACGCTTTGGGGCCATCGATGCACGCAGCTACTTCTTTTCACCCCCTCCCATTGCAATTTATTTACTTGTAGAAGGTTTCACTGAACTTTATATCAGGGTGAGAATTCAAGAGTTTAGTAGACTATGGGTTAAAGATAAACTTGAGTTCTGGTAAAAAAAGAAAATGAATTCTCACAGAATCTAACGAAACTTACACTGAATGTTCAAGATTACATATAAATGTCATGTGCCAAACAATTTTGGAAGAAAATGTATACTGGCTGAGTAATGAGCATAGAAAGATAAGGAAATCAGGGTAGTACTAGCCCCGACACCATGTGTGTTGTCCCATATACATCTTTCTGTGTAAGTGATTGTTACTTTACCAAGACTCTGCCAAATTTATGATGATTTTGATGACTCCAGAACCTTGCATTACACACCATTACTTTCATGCTATATGATCAACTTTTCTGATCCATTCCACACCTTTTCTTTCACAATGCAATCGCATTACCAGTACTCAAGTTTATCTTTAAGGGTTTAGGAAAGAAGGGGTGGCCACCGACATACCTCAGAACGGAGAACAGTCTTCCCAAACACATATTGATTGGGATGAGAAAGATCATGATGCCGAATCCAGGAGCGGCCGCATAGCCAAGGTCAAGGTAGAAGACCAAGAGCAGGAAGACGGCGATTCCTTGAAGAGGACCGAGCCAGATGTAATGCAGGAAGACAAACAGCTGTGCATTGTATGGACAGAAACAAGGAAAGGTTAAAGGTATAGACCAGTTCTGGTCATGCATTTGCATTGTGAAAGAAACGTTGTGGAATTGTTCAGAAAAGGTTCATCATCTAGCATATAAGTATTGGTGTGTACTACAAGGTTCTGGTATTATCAAAATAATAAGAAATTTGGCCCAGTCTTGGTAAAGTAACAATCACTGTCAAACTAACAATCAAAGAAAGATGTATATGGGACAACACAAATGGTGTCGGGGGCTAGTACTACCTTGATTTCACTGTACACAGAAAGATGTACATGAGACTACACGATATCTATTGTATAGATATGATAATTTACCAAATATATCAATTAGTAGGCGGTTTCCTGGCAAAATTTGTATCATCACATATTAGTCAAAACATATTCTTTCACATGTTTGGTAATAAGAGCTTCCATTTCATTTTTTGAGAGGGGGGCATTTCCAAAACTGGTCTATACCTTTAAATGCTGTTCAAACCAAGAAACTATTGCATGCATCAAGCATTGATGAATTTCATGAATGGAACAACAACTCAAAATGTTCACGATCTTTACAATTGATTTGGATTTGTGAAAGATCACCATCCTGGTTCAGAGCCTAGCAACCTGAAACCAGGACTTAATACTATGAGTGGCCCAGGGTCACTAAACTACATCGTCAGGCAACCAATTATTCATAAAGAATGAGAAATGGTTGTTCATTTCAGACAACCTATACATCCTATTTGGCAAATGTATGTATACTTAAATGTGAGAATTTTGCTTTACTTTAATTTTGTACATGATTTGTAAGCTGTAATGCATGCATGTGTACAGTGAAAAGAGGTACATTTTTAACGAGGTTATCAACTGTTTGGCCCTGTTTCATAAAGCTTGTTATCAATAACAAGTTACAGTAACTGCTATAAGCTGCTGAAATCGTATCAATTGATTGCTTGAGCGCAAATTAGGTCATAGAAATGTTTATATTGATAGCAAGTTTTATGAAACGAGGCCATAAGGGAATTAAAGATAAACTTTAGTACTGGTAATGCGATTGCATTGTGAAAGAAAAGGTGTGGAAAGGATCAGAAACAGTTGATCATGTAGCATGTAAGTATTGGTGTGCGCTGCAAGGTTCTGGAGTCGTCAAAATCATAATAAATTTGACCGAGTCTTGGTAAAGTAACAAGCATTCACATAGAAAGCTATATATGGGACAACACACATGGTGTCGGGGCTAGTACTACCTTGATTTCCTTGTCTTTCTATGCTCATATCTCAGCCAGTATACATTTTCTTCCAAAATTGTTTGGCACATGTCATTTATTTGTAATGTTGAACATTCAGTGTAAGTTTCGTTTGATTCTGTGAGAATTATTTTTTTTTTTTTTACCAGTACTGGAGTTTATCTTTAACTAAAATCATTTTTTGCATTGACTTAATGCCATTCTGGCTCCAAAAAGTGAACATGAAAAGCAAAAAAGGGATAAGAATAGAAGAGAGATGAAACTTTAGAGAGATATATATAGAAAGGCAAAGTAAAAACTGAGAGAGATATCAAGGACAGAATAGATCCAAGGGTTGAAGATTTTACCTGATCAAATCTGTTCACATCGTTGGTCATCAGATTATTGACCTGTCCAGCAGTGGTCACTCGAAGGGAATTGTTATTCAGCTTTAACGTCTGCCATGGAAAGATAAAAATAGCTGGTGATTAGCAGGTGATTAGAAGGAGGTGATACATGTATGAACAGGAAAAGGCTAGGAAGTACAGACTAGTTTCAGGATCAGATTGTCAGTAAAATTGACCCACACTGAGACATTGAATTACTCAAAGGTTCAATGTCCCATTTGCAGCCAGAAAAAATGAACACGTTAAATTCCTACGGCATTTGAAAGATAATACTAATTTGGAATTTCCCTAAAAAACAACAGGGCTTGTAAATGCCTTTTTGTGGGAAATTAATGACCATTAGTTGTCAATTCAAATTTAGGGAGTACTAAGTAATACTACCACTACCACTTTCCCTACCACTACAACTATTGCTACTTCTAGTATTACCACTACCATACCACTACCAGTCTACCACTACAACTACCACATCTACTACAACTACTCTGTATAGAGTACCTAAGCTGTGACGTCATAAAAATCTATTTTTAGAATTTCTCAATTTTTCCTTCATATTCTGAAAGAACATCAAAAATAATGTCCAAATGTCGAAAACCAATTGAATATGTTAAGTATTGGCTGAGATATGACCATCTGAATAAATAGACTCCCCATAGGAACTCAGTGTTATATGCTCTGGCTCCTAGTGGTTAGAATCCAGAGCATATAACACTGAGTTCCCATAGGACATATATTCATTCAGATGGTCATATCTCAGCCAATACTTAGCATATTCAATTGGTTTTTCGACATTTGGACATTATTTTTGATGTTCTTTCGGAATATGAAGAAAAAATTGAGAAATTCTAAAAATAGATTTTTGATGACGTCACACTTCACTACTCTATGTAAATACATGTACGTACAAACATACACACATATACATGTATACATATATAGATTATGTAAAGGGAAAATACTACTTCAAGTAAATGTAGATTCTTACGATACATCATGTTCCCTACCTTCTTGTAGACCATGGTACAGAGTGCAACTCGGACCTGCATCCCGAGCCGCTGGATCCCAAAGAAGTTTGGTCCGTGGACCAGGGCCAGAAGAAACTGGGACAGGGCCAGAGCCATGGCCCAGTAGTAGGCCTCCTCTTTTGACATGAGACCGCCATTGTCATTCTTTGGCGAGAAGTAGGAGGTGAGATTCATAAGGAAGATGGGTTGCACAAGACGCAGGGCTTCCTACAACAAGCATGGAGAGATGGAAAGCATAGCGCTTAGAGACTTCGGTGGTAAGCGCTTTATAAGCAACATTTTTATTATTATTATTATTAAAGATAGGCCAAGGAGGAGTGAGAGTACAAGTCATACAGTCAATCCTGGGCCCTGTCTTACAAAGAGTTGATATCAATCGCAACTACAGTGTATACATAAGAGATAGGAGACTGCAATCTTGCGATTGATTCGAGGACTTGGGATTGATTTGGATCAATCTGAACTCTATGTCAGACAGGGCCCAGGCTAGTGGGGCAACCAACGGGAAACATAAAAAGTGGCCAGTGTAAAAAGGTGTCCTTTCGAGACAGGTTTTCAACACACATTTCCTTCTAGACGGAGAGAATATGGATGTCATGACCAGTGACCACTAAGGACAGGTAACCTTTACAGAGAGATGGCCACTATTACAAGTTTGACTGTATTATACAAGTACAGTCAAACCTGCTTTAGTGACCACCTGTCTACAAAGACCACCTGTCTACAAAGGCCACATTTGTTGTTTCCCTTGAAAATAGTTTCTCATTGAATCATGTACTAAAGGAACCTGTCTACAAAGACCACCTGTCTACAAAGGCCACATTTGTTGTTTCCCTTGAAAATAGTTTCTCATTGAATCATGTACTAAAGGAACCTGTCTACAAAGACCACCTGTCTACAAAGGCCACTTTTTGTGTTTCCCTTGGGCGGTCGCTATACAACACATCTGGCTAGACAAAGCAATGGTTTGGACATCTTTGCGTTGTATTAGCTGCAAAAGTATCATCTACAAACAAGATATTCATTTTGTAATACCCTCACAATTTATTTGATGAACAAATAAATTATCTGTTATGTTAGCAGTTAGTAATGTTTTGTATTTTGAATGTATACAATATAATTGTAAGAACTAGTATAATGCTATAAAATAGTAATGAAAAGATACACTGTCGATATATATAGTGAACAGAGAAAACCGATCTCGACTAGCACTTGCGCTAACTTTTTGTTTTCTTTTAGCAACAACTTAAACTTTTGTATATATGTGTTTTATGTAAGCATTAATTAAACTTTTGCAGTAATTCATTGTTTTGTACATTATGTACAGTTCGTATTTCATTGTTTTGACTTGCATACTTTGTTTTATGATGTACATACTTTTTGTTGTTGTTAATAAACTTCAAACCATAGCAAAACCTGTCTTACCTCACAAATAAAGAGAATACCATAAAGGGCATAGATCCATCCATAGGTCTTTATAACTGCCCGGACAAGACTTGGCCTTTTCCCCTTTTCTTTCAAATTTGTGACCTCTTTGTCCCAGTTCCTGTCAAGGATATCAAAACAAGAATTCATGGTGTGTCAAGCCTTTTTAAAATACATGTTTAAAAATGATTTTGAATGCATGGTTACTGGCAGCAGGATAATTTAGATGGGGCCAGTGCTTGGGATTATTCGAAATCACTCCAGTAGTTCACGATTTCTGACAAATACATCAGTTGAGAACGAGTCGGGGAGTTACGTCTCTTCTCATTCTAATCACAGATCAGATGTATGGAGTTTACAAAGTAAAATCACAAAAAAAAATATCTTCCAAATCTATACATATTTCATAGTCATACAATGATATGAAGGACCGAAACAGACTGAGAAAGGGAGAGGCAAAACAGAAAGGAGAGAGGCGAAACAGAAAGGGGAGAAAGAAAAAAATATATATAGACCCAGAGGTGTGACAGTCTAGAGGAAGAAGAACTGAGAAATAAACTAGAATCCACTGGTACAAAATAACCCTTTAAAGCCAATCTGCACTAGTTTCACCAGGGGGATTAGACCTCCCTGCAAGGTCACTGACAAGTGATTATCTCATCAAATCAGCTCTCAATCAAGAAGGATCATGGGGGACCAACAGGCATTGATTAGGGTAGTTTTCTATATAGAGGGAACAATTAGCTACAAGTAGTACAGTGGGGCTTTAAGAAATATGCAGGGCTTGGCACTAACAGGTGCCTGGGACACATGGTCGCCTAAAATCTAAATCAGGACCAGGGCCAGTTGCATAAAACTTACCATCGATGGTAACTTTGCCATCAATGGCAACTACCATGGTAACAGGGCTCAACAGTCAATCAGAATCAAGGTTTCCATGGTAATCACCATTGATGGCAAAGTTACCATCAATGGTAAGTTTTGTGCAACAGGCCCTGTACTAGACTGGCAGTATAACAGGCTCTGTAGCCTACTATAGGTGCTCTGGACACAGCTAGCAACAGACTGACAGAGCTCTAGGCTCGATCTGATCAAGGCTTTGGGAGCTGTGGTAAACTTGTCAAATCAGAGTCTGTGACCGCAGACTACTGAATGATGAGATATATAAGATATTATTACCCGTATCAGACATCTGAGCAGTGGTTTTACAAAATCATATTATTACACTTGTTTGTAATCCTAAAAGAGCTAATCGGGAAATATAAGACCATATTCACCGCGCCGTATTTTGTCATTTTCATTGCGCATCTATTATGCATACGAGAACCTGCGCACTTTGCGCGTACTCTATTGTGACATAATAATCACACCAAATTGGGTACACTGTTTGCAGTGAATCAACAATTTTGTCAAGCAGCTGGGATGCACAGTGCTGGTTTGACAAAGTTTTTCCAGTTCTATGAGATTGTCATGTATGTATTTGCTCTAGATGTCTGATTTAGATAATAATAACGATATTGAATGGCTTAACTTTCGGGAGATACCGCATATATTTCCCTCACAAGAACCATATTGCCCTCGTCTTTGACTCGGGGCTATATGAGTCTAGTTTGGGAAATATTATGTGGTATCTCCCTCAAGGCCAGTCCATATTATTTAAATATCCTGGATGTCATTGGTATCGTCTGGGACTAACACCTCAGTCACACCTTTGCGTATTTGGCTTGCGTATTGATGCGTATTTATGGCAAATTGGCAAGCCGTTTTAACATTTATTCCTATTTCTTGATATCAAGAATTACCATTGCTTACAACAGAAAATCATTTCTTGATATCAAGAAATAGGAATAAATGTTAAAACCGCTTGCCATAAATACGCAGCAATACGCAAGCCAAAAACGCAAAGGTGTGACCGAGTCATAAAGAGCTTGGATGTGCCCTGATTTGAAGATACACATACTTTTCTAAGTTCTTGCCAAGGAAGTCGGAGGAATCCTCTTCCATGATCTCATACAGGTCGTTGGTCTGTACCGTCTTGTCCTTGAAGGCAGAGTAGAACACAGGACTGACCCAGCTGTATGAATAAGAAGAAAATATGAATGATTACTTGATTAGAATCAATATTTTATGCCTTTTAAAATAACTTTTACAGAATATTTTCAAAGATGCTAAAGACCCTTTTACACTTTCACGGATCGCATCACGGATCATCCTGGATCTTAATCCGGGGTGTTCCGGCGTGCGACACCACGATTTCTTCTCGATGCCGGTGTGGATACGTTCCGAACTGTGTCTACACGGACAGACAAGGTAGCAACGCGTACCACGCCGGAAACGCATACGGAGCTAACGTGGATTTCAAGGAAGAGCACGGAGGCTACTGGGTACTTTTACGGGCCTTACACGGAGGTGTACGTTGTCTATTGGGATATCTCCGGAATGTTGACGGGTGACTTGAGCTTGTAGGCGCTCATTTGATATACGGAATTTCAAACCCAGATAAAACCGGTGTTAATACGGACCTCCCGGTGTCTACATGGACTGTCCCGAATGTATTCGGCGGCTAAACGGAGGTACACGGTGCCTAAAGGGAAGAGGACGGATTGTTTCATCCGTGAACTCCAGGATGAAAAATTAAGCAAGCTTAATTTTTTCCCCGGATATGCCGGTACGCCAAGGATCACACCGGATGCCTCCCCGGTGTATACACGGTAATGCCGGAGATAACACGGATGATCCCGGAGCGACGATCCGGGATGATCCGTGATGCGATCCGTGAAAGTGTAAAAGGGCCTTAACTGCTTTCCATAATTGTTAAGTCCATAAGTTCAACTTAGGATCTTTGTGAAACACCCCCCTGATGCATCAGTAAAAAGATTGAAAAATCTGAACACACCGCATCCCTTTTTCTAGCATGACCATGTTATGTTTGATGCCAGGAATTTTAAAAAGGAAAATAAGCTTTAAGTTCCTTAAATCGGCAACAATCAGAATTGGCAACTGATTAAAAACTTTTTAACTAAGTTTCTACACCTAGATTTTACGCCTTGGGACAATACATTTTATTTGATTTATGTAGCAATAAAGAAAAATGTTATTGTTGCTAATTTGAAGAAGAGCATGTGATCAATTTTTATTAGCCCATAAAGTTAAATCACATCCTCAAAGGGTTATAATACAGTCGGTAACCTAAACAAAAATACTTGAACTTTGAAAAACTTTCATAATAATACAATATCCTTCCTTTCACGGACAGGATACAGATATATGGTTCCACTTTCCATTTGCATGTTTGTACATTGTAGGTAAAAATGGAACAAAAACTGTCAAAGCATGAGATCTCGTGAAAGAGTAGGTATTTTTAATTCATGTTATACTGCCATATACTTGTATAAACCCAGCTTTATGGCATGACATTATAAAATAGTAAAGGTTTAATTTCCACCATTTTATCTGGCATACAACACTGTATGTTACACTATATAAAGATGGCCTCTTAGAATATCTACATGTAAAGGAAGTGGAATATTTTTGCTCAATCTGCAAATATTCTCCACATTTAGGAAAACACTCAATCTGTATGATTCTATGGAAGGGGAAGTCCACCCTAATAAAAGATATTAAGTTGTTTTTAATAGAAGCAGAAAAATGAGAGGAACTGGTCAGTGATGAAAGTTTGAGCAAACTCTGATTAACAATAAGAAAGTTATGAATGGTTGAAGTTCCTATCAATAAAACACAAATTGGCAACTCATTGATGTACAAATGATACAGATATACAAAATAATGCATGGCCTAGATGAACTGGATCTAGCACACTTCTTTGACCATCCAACTGATAATAGAACCCGTGGCCATCGATACAAGATCGTTAGGAAGAAAGTCTACTCGAAGCTTAGACATGGATCATTTTTCACAGAGATGTATCAATGAATGGAACAACCTCTCCTCTGTAGTTGTGGAGAGCAAGTCACTAAACAGCTTTAAATCCAATTTGTTGAAATTTTGGTCGTCAAGAAAAGATCAATTTGACCCAGAGGAGTCCTTCGCTTGTCCATGTTCGTCAATTGCTGTATAGCGCCACTTAACATGTGTCAAAATATGGATTCTTCATCCGAATGTCAACGAGAGGCAAATAAGTTTTTAACTTTAAATGCCTACTTCCAAGGTATTTCCAAGGTATAAATGTATTTGTGAGGTTCCCATCCGTTTGCTCTAGATACTAAAAAAAAAAAAACCAGAAATTTCTAATTTTCCCTATTAAATTTAATTATCTACCGCTCATGCACCCTTAATATAATAATTGCAAATATTTTTTTACAACCCTTATATATAAAAACAATCTACATTGTATTCCGTCATCAAAACCTAAGAAAATGCAACTTTACAAAATTCTCTGTACAGCAAATTGGAGAGGACCTTGCAAGGTACGTCACAGTGTTGCCAATTTGTGTTACACTGATGACAAACTATAAACATTTCCTACTTTTAATCAGATATTGCTCAAACTTTTACTTATTTGTTTGGACTTCCCCTTTAAATCAATCTGGACAACATGTGAATCAACAGAACACACACACATGCTGTCACGCGTGTGTATGGAAACCTCCTGTACAATATACATGTATAGTGATACAATCTAATTACCAGCATCTTTTCAAAGTGTGCTTATGGTAAAAATCACTGTTACTTCTATTACAATTTTATATGAGCATTACATTTTGCTGGTATAGTATGATTGTTTGTGTACATGAAGCCCAGAGAAAATATTGCATCTCCCTCACCAACCCCCCCCCCCCCCCCCCCCCCCACAACAACAACAAAAAAGACAACTCGACAACGTCATAATCTTGCAAAATACAAAGAGTATATTATTTCTAGGACACATTTTTCAAGAGATATCAGAAAACACATCTTTTCTTATTTGTTGTAATACTCCTCTCTGTAATTAATGTAAGCTTTGTATGATAATGTTATCTCTCTTTGTATGTTTGCAAGTATTTCTTGATTTGAGTTGAAAATAAATTAAATCAAATCAAACTCTAAAAAAGGCACTTTATGAATGTAATATTATTATAATAATAATGGGAGGTCTGAAAAGTTAGACTCTGAGAAACGGTTCACTGGCTCGAACTTCGAAGTAGGCCAAGTCGCCAATATGACGTATATTTTTACCCTCACAACAAGTCAAAAGCCTTTAAAGGGATTGTTTAAAAATGTTATCTGAGATACACGGCCTATGTGTTGTCATTGTCTGTAATATGGTGTAATATTGAAGCCCTAAAAAAATTGAGCTTCAAAATGATCAAGAAGTGCCTCAAAAAAGTAAAAATCTTTGAGTGACCGGTTTTACCATACTCGTTTCCCCCAATAGACTGTAATGTTATGTAAACCGTTAGGCAAACAAAAAATTTGGTTTCGATTTCCAATCATAAATATCTTGATAATCAGACAGGCGCTCGGCTTGTAAAATTCATGGGGTTCCTGACTGATCTAAAGGTTTATAATTATCATTGCACCATGAGCCAAATCCAGGATTGAGTTTTAGAATGTGAGACAAAGTTACCGGATCCCTTTAATCTCATTCAATTGATACTGATAAATACATGTAGTCCTTTCAATGGACCTCTGACCAGATGGGACTTTATCATAGAGGAAGCTCACACATAAAGCAAAGGGAAACTAGGGCAAAAAAATTAGTGGTTGTGGTAAATCAAAACTTACACAAGCTAAGCCTTTATGACTCCCACTACCAGAGCATTACAAAAGGACCCGCCCACTTGCAAGCCATTCAGTGGTTCAAAGAACGGCTACAAGGAGTCCTGAGATCATCACAGTAGCAAGAATGTTATTGAAGAAACAATTCACTTCTTTTGAATTGGAAAATCTGATAGCTCCGGCATGGGACACCTCCTCCACCCGCTAGTGCTATAGATCAGCGGGAAACGGGTTCAATTTGTTTGACTTGATCGAATGCCCCGATGGTTTTAAAAATAAAGGCTTTCCTAAAAAAACGCAAAAACTTTCACAAATGGTTAACAATGTCTTCTCAAATTGTAAAGGTTTTAGTGTCATATCAGCATGAATCTTGATCGTTAGGATCGTGATCAATGCTTTTTGGATATGCATTTACTTTTTGGTTTGGGGCAATGCCAATACATGTACGTGCCCTACAAGACATGTATCCTTTCCTCATACTTTATCCAAACATTAAGAGTCTTTTGATGTGACCATTGAATAATGGTGGGTATAATTCAGTCATGTCAAGAGATTTTTCATTTAGGAATGAAACACAAAGATATTACATGTTGAAAGGACAAATTGCATGGATCGAGTCACCATTTTATGGTACACTATTTTATTATTTCCTGAAATTCCTGTAGAATGAAAGTGCATACTTACTGGAAGAAGAGTTTTGAGATAGGGTTGGCTTTTGCAAGGCGATTGGGTTTTGCCCGGGGTCGTTGGACGGCCTCGTCCTCCATCTTGGATACCCTCTGACCGCTGGTCGAGAATCAAGATGGCTGCCTTTGGAGTATCCAAACTCCTTGATGAATCGGGATCACAGATCAAAGTGCCAAAAATCCTTCAGTTCACGTTGTTTGAATATATACTGTAGTCACTGCAGAACAGCCACTCTCTGCTGGTCAAGAATCAAGATGGCCACCTTCAGAGTATCCAACCTCTGTGATGAATCTGGGTAATAGATTTAAGTGCAAAGGAACCTAATTCAGTTCATTTTGTATATACATGTAGTCACTGCATGGCAGAGCATGAAGAATCTGAAAAGCAAAGAGAGAAACAAAGAATATACTTAGATACACTTCTTAGCGCATGAATGCATCTCGATATCTTCTTTAAATGGATGTTTAATACTCCCAATTCTAGAATTAAGCCCTTAAAGAGTGTGTTTATCTTCATCACCTTGAAGCAGCACTTACCTGTACACTGGAAGAAGAGTGACAAATTCAACCCCTACATGTTATTATAATAAGAGAGAACTGGATATACATTGTAAGCATGTACATGTACAATTCAAGGGTTGTCTTCATGCAGAATAGTGATCAGACTCGCCAGAACAATAGACAAAAAGAAAGGTAGTGACGCTTCCAAGATTTGAGCTAGTTCTATACAATACAAGTGTTTTTCATGCACTGAAGTGACGTGGTACAGTAGTTTGATGTGTTGTTCGATTATTGGCCAGGAAATGGGAAAGTTCCATCGAAAATCTTGCCAAGTCGTTAGTCATTAGAAAAGTGAAACAATGGTGAAACAAGAGTCATGTGGCCTTTCACAAGGGGATTCCCCAACCTTAGGATAACAGCTGATGAAAGTTATGAAAGGATTTGTTCGCTTGTTGCACAAGACCACAAAATTATTGATCCAAAATTCATGGTTTGTATTCTACTAATTCAGTTAAACCTGATATCTAATTTAAAACCACATGTGAATGGTGAAGGTTTTTATAACAAAATTATATTCCCTGTAAGCTCTTTAAAGATGAAGTTGAGTTCAGGACATGCGATTGCATCGTGAAAAAAACGGTGTGGAACCAACCAGAAAAGGTTGATCATCTAGCATATAAGAATGTGTGTGTATTGCAAGGTTCTGGAATCATCAAAATGATAAGAAATTTGGCCAAGTCTTGGTAAAGTTACAAACACTTGCACAGAAAGATGTATATGGGACTACACCAACACGTGGCGTAAAAAGCCGCCCCCCCCCCCTCGATTTTTACGATGTTACATGCATATTTAGAATATGAAGGCATTTGAAGAGCCATGCTTTTCAGGGAACATGTCTTAACTGATGTTCTTCCACACTTGCATAATAAGAATGAATAATTGTTTTAAAACAATACAAACGATTTATTTTGGAGGTGATTTGTCCTCTTTACTATGGAATAGAAACTCCAGATCTCTTGTTTATGTTTCTCTGCCATTTTCTTTTTTTTTGGGGGGGGGGGTTGCCTGGTTGAGCCATTTTCTCCCCAAATACCCTTTGCCTTCGCTTCAGTTGAATATTCTCCTGCTAAATAACATGATTTCTGAAATAAATTTTGCATATGACTTATTAGATACTTTATCATTTTTACTGTACACACTGTATTTATTTATAAAAGGGGAAGTCCACCCTGATTTAATTAGAAGCAGATAAAACAAGAGAAACAGACAAGTAAAATTTGACCAAAATCCAATAAAAAAATAATGAGGTAATGAATTTTTAAAGTTGTGATCATTCACAATCCATGATCTGCAAAACCATTATGATCAAAAGGATGTTTGTATATATCTATTAAAGAGAAAGTCCACCCTGATTTAATTAGAAGCAGACAAAACAAGAGAAACAGATAAGTGAAATTTTGACCAAAATCCAATGAAAAATAATAAAGTACCAAAATGAATTTTTGAAGTTGTGATCATTCACAATCCATGATCTGCTACACCATTATGCTCAAAAGGGTGTTGGACAAGGTCATTTTATATACGGTAGGCCTATTACCGGTAAATGGTCCTTTTTCAATCCCAATGCATCTATATGTAAGGGCTATGGTATTGGTGTTGTGGTCGAGTGGATACGTCGCCGGACTGTCGATCACAAGGTTCGCGGTTCGAGTCCCGCCGCCGCACTAATGTCCTTTGGCAAGACATTGATCTACATTTGCCACACTCCACCCAGGTGAAGTAAATGGGTGTACCTGGTAGGAATTTATTCCTTGAAATGCTAGAGCGCCGTATGGCAGCCGTGCTAAAGCCAGGGTAATAATCGGGAGCGCCAGGAGGGTCAAATCTGACTGACATGAGCGCTATACAAGAACCCACTATTATTATTATTATTAGAACAACAAACGTGTCAAGCTTTTCAGTGAAGTTATGTACATGTATGTTCGCGTTACAAAAGAAGTAGGAGAACAAGTTATACAATCAATGAGAATAAGTTCATCTGAGGATTTATCATTACTTTTGGAAACAGCGATAATGTCTGAAAACAACATTTCCGTAATCTGACCATGTTTTTACAGAAAAGAATTTATATGTTTGCCCTACATCCCTAAATGACCATGGAATTAAAATGTTAGTTTTACAGGAGTTCTTTTTGAAGGAGGAGCTTCTGTGTCATTTTTATGGAGTGATTTATTAATGTACATGTATGTACAGTATCATACATTCAAATGATCTTTTTTGCTCTCTAATCTCTACTACTGTACATTTTTTCCACAGCCGTACAGTTAAATGCTATGCTACATGAGACAATGCATTATCTTGTTCAGTCAACACTCAACAATTGTCTGGGAAAAGGTGATCAAACTGCAGCCATAAACACAAAGGAACAGCCTGATAAAAATGTCACAGTCACTCACTTCTCCTGCAGAAGTAGCATGTTAAGAAGAAACAATGTTAACAAAACAAGAAGAAACCATAATCGGTGTAAATCCGCAATCCATTCATTATACACAGTTAGCCCCAGAGAAAAAGGGGTTGGTCGGGACTATCTGTTCATTTCTTTGGAATCACTCATGCAGGGAATCATGTCTTTTAGACTTTGACTTTAATTGTTGAATGCAAACATACCTTTATCATAATCTAGAGCCACGTTAATACAGACATCCACAGTCATAGCCCTCCAATCCATTTCTGTCTATTATCCGCTACTCTTAGAAAGTTAGTATTGAGGATTCATTTGTGGTAGCTCCTTTGTTCAGGCTTTGCAAATACGTGTAGCGTTGCCCATTCCCTGCTTCTCTTTCCAGCATTCTTTCATTAATATCGTTTTTTTCTAGATTATCCATTTTAAAGGTATTACAAAGTTTTGGTATGGGGTTATGAATTTGGTTCAAATTAAAATATTGGGAGCATATACGTTCCTACAATATTCATTGATCGTTGTGGCGGTTGAAATCGAGTCTGAAGTTACGAAATTATAAATAATAAACTCTTTATGTTGTATAGCTCCCTCTCAAGGTCAAGCTATTAATTTAGCTTTGAAACAATGTTTCTTGACATAGGGCGCGTTCATGCTTGATTTTGACGGCCAGAATCAGGCATCTGTTACGCGTTTAGTTTAAAACACGATTGCGTTCATGCTCACTTTTGTAGAATCACCGAAAAACGGCGATCACGATCGTCGATCGTAAACTCACAAAAAGATGCGTTTACAATTTGTAAACGCGTTTAAATGGGGTCAACGCACTGACCTCTAGTGGGTCTACGTAGCATGCGCACACAGGTTTGCGAATCCAGCTGAAGGCCACCCAAGGATGAACGCGCCCTAAAATCGACCGATTAGCTATTCCCGTTTGTAAATTATATATCACAACTACATATTCTGAGATTTTCATGGTCGCAGCTACCATTGTACGGCCATAGGCGCTATTTGAAATTTATCCAAATTTACCGGGAGCACCGGTAAATTTTTATATTCAATTTTTCTCTAAAACAGAAGTGTTTTAAGGGCTAATTTTTTTAGTGCTTATAATACATCCACAGGGATATCTAAATATATCAAAATGGTAAGATTCACTATCCACCCAATTTTCAAAATTTCCCAAAACTTTGTATTACCTTTAATATTCATATACTGTTGTAAATGAACAACACATTTCATTTGCCTCTTTCTTATTGTGATATATTGAATCATCTAATCATATCTAAAAGATACTTGATCTGACTAGGGTTGGGGGAACTAAGGTTGGGGGGGGGTTATCAGTTAACCATCTTTAAGGGTCATTTTGGCGAGGACCTCAGATGAAAAACACAAATTATTTCTATGATTTTACATCTGGGATTTTCCCTTTTATAAGGTGACAAAATTAGTGAGGTATTATTCTGAAGATAATAGTAACCAAAGTTTAAGGCCACTATCTAAAAGTGGGGCAACTTGCAGGGATTTTTCCAACTTTAAAAAAATCATATTCCTTGTATATTTGTAAATATTTTCTTTTGCCCATTAGAGCGGGGCATCCCAGTGTAAAGTATCAGCGAGTATCAGAGTGAAATGTCTAATGTTTGACAATCTGGCTATCCGTGATTTTCTTTATTTTGTCAAGAAGTAATTATGTTGATATGAATGGTTCTTTTCCACACCAGTTACATTTTTTTTTAAAGAAAAAGATACCAATATGTCACTCAAAATACTTTCTCTGCATTTGGGTCTTTTTGTATAGGTTACAATTTACAAACATTTTGTCATCTTAACATCTTTTTTGTTGTCATTACCTTCATGTTTATATCTCTCACAATTTCCACTGACCAATTTACAATTATATGCAATGTACTAGTTAGAATACTTTGAAAAGCAGGGTGACTTCTAGTCAAGTTAAATCAAAGTGTTAATGGACGTGAACCTAAAAACTAAAAGTTAAATGGTGGAACTGCCCACTAGGGAATTTCCCTCAGTGCCCTGGTACGGAGTCGCCCAGGAAGTGCATGCAGTTCACATCACATGTTCAGCTAATAACAATGTTCGTAACTTTGCACAAACCACAAACAGGATGTAGGATACGAACCCAGGAAGCAATATCGCTTTGCAGATTCAGATTAAAGATAAACTTGATTTCTGGTTTTAAAAAAAAAGTGATTTCTCACAGAATCAAACGAAACTTAAACTGAATAATCAAGATTACAAAAAAGTGTAATTTGCCAAACAATTTTGGTAGGAAATGTACACTGGCTGAGTAATGAGCATAGAACGATAAGGAAATCAAGGTTAGTAGCCCCACACCATTTGTGTAGTCCTATGTGCATCTCTCTGTGTACAGCACTTGTTAGTTGTTACTTTACCAAGACTGGGCCAGATTTCTTATGATTTAGATAACTCCAGAACCTTGCAGTACACACCAATACTTACATGCTACATGATCAGAACTTTTTTCTAATCGATTCCACAACGTTTCTTTCACAATGCAATCGCATGACCAGAACTGGTCTGTATTTTTAAGGGCAGGCCTACCAGACTGAATTCAATTTTCAATTTAGGTCAATTTAGTTATCATCCAACAATGTAAAAACATAACAGTCATAAATACACCAAAAGGTCAAAAGTAGATAAAAGGATACCTTGAAAAAAAAAGCACAAGGCTTGTAAAACAGGAGGCACCTGAACATATCATAGGTTCAACACCAAACTCAGGCAACACTGAAACGACTGGAACTCCCTGCCTGAGTTGGTGGTATCTGCAACCTCAGTAAAAAGCTTTAAAGCCAGACTTGACGAACACTGGAAGAAGGAGCAATATCATTCACCCTTCTCCCAGTTGACTCTCCAGTTATGACAATCCTGATATGACCCAGCAAGCAAGATACAGATGTAAAAGGACTATGGTGCAAGACCCGGAAGCTGGGACAACCCCCCCCCCCCCCCTTTGAACTTAGACCTGGAAGCTTGGCAGCTGGAGATGGCTTTCTTCCAGAAGCTTTGGTATTCAAGGTATTCAAGGTATAACAATGGAGATACAAAACAATTATAAACACTAAATACCCTTTACAGACACAGACCCCCCCCCCCCTACCCCTACCCCCCCCTCCCCCTCCCCCACTTACAGCAGCAACACAAACAAAATTGGACAGAATGAAAATAAATGAGTGAATTGTTCATTTAATAATCCTATACACTCAAGTCAAGGGTTAGGAAAATGGGATAGTAAACATTTATTTACAATGGCCAGATGACCTCGCAAAAGTCGACCAAAAAAGAGGAAGAAAAGAAAGCCTTTTACAAGAAGTCACCCATGTGTACCTTTGTGTAGTACATGTACCAGGTTAAGTGCCATACGGGGTTATCCAAGAGTCGTTTATGATATAAGTGAGATCACTGAGATGAAAATCCCAGAAAACAAAATGAAACCAACTACAGTCTGTATGACAATTCTCATATGACCCAGCAAGCAAGATACAGACCTACAGTGTACAGTATGTAAAATGACCATGGTGCAATACCCGGAAGCTAAGACATCCCCGCCCCCCCCCCCCTTGAAGTTAGATCTGGAAGGTCGGCTTCCTTCCAGAAGTTTTGGTATTCAAGTCTAGAATGTCTGCCTTTAAAGTTACAGGCCGGTATCAAAGGGTTTTGGTATAGTCTGGGATACACCAAAGCAACCTTGGCCTAAGTGGATTGACCTAATGACCTTACCTTTGTTAAACAATTCCTTTTTTCTAGCACACTCACACCATTCTTACTCATTAGTACTTGACAGAAAAATCTGTTCACTAATTCAAGTAACTGGAAGATTTATTAAACATATTTTTGTCTTACGACGCTCTCAGCTCATGCAGAGAGATCTGTGAAGCCAGACGTAGTATGAGCGAAACATATCCCTGAATGACATACACATGTAGACTGATTTTTCTCGGTCTCACATCATTCTTCTTCCGTCTTAATTATTACTTAATATTATTACATCATGATTAATTTTGCATTTGTCATACCAGCTTGCTGAATCACGAATGGAACTAGATCGATCTAGAACTTAAAAGAATTTAGAATCCGATCCTCGGTAACACAAGAGTCAAGACACCTGGCTTGATACAGCTCAGGCTGAATTACTGATTACTAACACTAGATCTATGTAAGACTATAAGAATAACTTTGCATCCAGTTTGAGACATTATTAAAACTGTAAAAGTGCAGTTACAAATACGAACGACCATGGCCCCGGCCGGCCCCCTAGCCCTTACATGTATACTGAACTCACTCTCAGGACTGCTACTGAGCTGTGCACTGTGCTAGCAGATCCTAGCTCCTCCTCCTCCTCACCCGACATGCACGATGCGCTCAACTCCTCGGCTCAGCGGCTAGCCTAGGCGATGATTGTGCTCATGCCAGCCATGCATGGAGTGTTGCAACCGACTTCTAAATTGATCAACAAATTAGACTAAACAAGTTGTATTTTGTCGAACAAATCTCTTATTTGATCTGCGGTTCGTGATTCACAAGAAAACAGTTGGTACTAAAGTTGCCGTTGCTGTGAAAACGTTCTCCGACGAGACGAGACTCAGTGCAATTAATCCCAAGTAATCGAATTCCCCAAAATTACCAAACAAACAGCCGCGTGTGAATCAGTTCAACGAGCTTCTTATTTAGTATCTATATGTTGCGTAATGATACAAGTCAACAAGACGAGTGACAGGGGGCGTGGCTCATATTGCACGAATACTCCTTTATGTAAGGAGTCTAGACTTGTAAAGCATAGTAACTCGATGATGTAAAGGGAGGGAAATTTCAGTAATTTACTATCCTGTAATATTTTTTGTTGTGAATATGTTTATAACAATGTTGGTATCCCTAACGTCCTAATGTTCTTACTCATTTATGTTCATGAATTGTTTTTAAAACTATTGTTTCTTATTATGTTTAACAGGGCCTCATGGAAGACTACCATTATGGTATCAATGAGTCACCCTGTTTAAATATCCACACACACACACAAAAAAATGTAGACTAGCATACTTGAAACGAAACGCATCGAATCCGTTATTCCTGGAAATGCAATGATCATCAATATTTATTTGTATATCTTTCTATAAGCCAGTCCAGACCGCAGGGCATGCCAATCCGGATGGCCCGAGAGAGAATTCTCCCAGTTTCATTATTGTAAAGCCAATGTAATATAAAGTTCTGGTGATATCTCAAAAGGATTGGATTATGATATTTAATTGCATTACCATTGTGAAACCTAGTGTTAGAATAAGCAACTTTGACAAAATTGGGCTCTCAAACGCTAAGGATTTCGAGAAATTAAAATGTCAAATTAATAGTGCCCCCGGTAAATTTCAAATAGCGCCTATACAGCCATACAATGGTAGCTGCGACGATGAAAATCTCGGAATATGCAGTTCTGATATATAATTTCCAAATGGGAATAGAAAATCGTCGATTGTAGTCAAGAGACATTATTTTAAAGCTAAAGTGATATCAATCTTGAGAGGTAGCTAATTTACAACATAAAGAGTTTATTATTCAACAATTTCATCACAGACTCGATTTCAACCGTGACAACGATCATTGAACATATAGGATCGCATAATGCTTCCAATATGTTCATTTGAACCAAATTCATGACCCAATACCAAAACTTTGTATTACCTCTAAGGAAAATACGGAATCATTCGGAAAATCTTAAAGGTACTATAATATGTCCCCTTTGGAGGCCAAAAAATGAAAAGGTTAAATTCCAACGGCATTTGAAATATAACACTAATTTAGAACTTCCCTAAAAAAAAAGGGGGGGGGGGGCTTGAAAATGTCTTTAAGTGGGAAAATAACGACAATTAGTTATCGAATCGACTTAAGAGCTATAGAGCCAGTATAAATAATAGTCTGATTTTCAGACCATTGTACCGAATGGTCGAACGTTTTTTGCTGCGTAAAGATTCAATCAGTTTAATTTTGGCCATTACAAGAAGTAGGTTATAATAATAATAATAATAGCTAGTTCTTATATAGCGCTTTTCAGGACCGGAGGCCCTCTCAAAGCGCTTTACAGATGTATATATTATTACCCCGGTCATAGGATTCAGGCTTACCCGCACACAATGTATGCACATTCTCCACTCCCTGGGGAGCATTCCAGCCAGGCGTCTTTTTTTACAAGCGCACACTTGCTAATCTAACCACATTAGCTTTCGCATCCTACCGGGTACCCATTTAACACCTGGGTGGAGAGTGGCAAATGTAGATCAATGTCTTGCCAAAGGACATTATAGTGCCGCGGTGGGACATGAACCGCGAACCTTGTGATCCACAGTCCGGTGACATATCCACTCGTCCACTACACCTCTACAGGTTATTGATTTAGACAAATGCTCAGGTGCCCTCTACAGCTCATTTTATGTATGTTATTACCAAAGAAGAAAAAAAGCCAGTCAGTCACTTAATAGTGTCTGACAGTGAAGTCTATATAGCAAATAAACGGTTTTCCTTGCATAATTTGAATATGAGGACACTGCTAACGTTTAAATTTCACAAATAGGACATAGTACATGACATATTCATAATTCCTGCAAAGTTGAGGTTGGATGCAAAAGGGACATAGTACCTTTAAAGCGTGTTACAGTCTTTAGTCAGTATTTGCTATACATTTTGTTGGTGTGCACTTTTTTCAAATTATCCATGGGGGACGATCCCCCTCAGAAAATTGAGGGAAGACGTGTACCCCGTCCTTCCCCCGGGATCGCCGCCCCTGACTCGCACATTTCGCTTTCAATTGCAGAACGCTCTAGTTGTGTCCAAGAGAATAAATTCTCGGAATGTGGGGCATCTCGCAAAAGACATGGGGGGAAATGTGTCGTGTGAAAAGCCAGGGAAGGACACAGACACAAAGGCCCGAATTCCCAAAGGCCCGAATTCACAAAGGAGGTTTGTAGACAAACCTATGTTTATGTGCGTTATAATTATATGAAGCGTTTCAGACAAACGCATCGAAACGCGTCATTATGAAGCACATAAACCTAGATTTGTCGACAAACCTCCTTTGTAAATTCGGGCCAAAACCTCCATGGGTGCGATGTGACCTGTGTGGACGTTGGCTCCACCTATTTTGTGTTTTGCTCAAAAAACTATCCACAAAAAAGGACTATGTATGCCCCTTTTGTGAAGCGACCTATCAATATTAATGTTCACATATCAGTCCCTTTTTGAATTGCCCTCCTCCCGCCCCCCCCCCCAAAGAAAAAATATTATCACATTGTTACATGTGTGCACAATATATATTGATGTGTCAACCTAACGAGAGTGGTGTTTTCATGATTATTGACCTCCTTTAAATTTATATTTATATGGAAGACTTAAGAAGACAACTGTTTACAGTCCAACTAAGGGTGTAGAGCATGCCGTGTAGACTAAAATGTGCAATGTTGTTCAATTTCTGAATTCTTTGTTTAAAAAACTTGTTTGCTGTCAATAGTGTATACATTTTTTTTATACATTTCAAATGTCTAGTCCGGTTAAAAATAGCACGTAATGATTTCATTATTGACACGTACTTCACATTGATTTATCTTATCGATAAGCGAAACGATTTGCTTTAGTATCATAACAAATATAACAGTAATGACAAGTATGGTTTTCCCAGAAAATTGCATTATACAATGTATATTCATCGTTATGGAAAATGTTGTATAATAATACAATGGGCATTAACATTTTCCAGACCAATGATTAAATTATGTTTAATATTGAAGCTGTTGCCCTTTGTATGTACATGAACTTGAAATAATAAGTAGCCTTGAAAGTGTCGCAATAAATCATGTGTGAGTGAGCTTGAAGTTTAATGGTGTATGTTTGTTTGATACTGTATAGCCTTTACTCTGTTTTTAATATATCTCCAATCAAATCAAACTGAGTGATGTTATCGTACAACTTAACAATATTAATCTTCTGTTCTCCTAAATAAGCCTTGGAAACTTGAAAATTGCATTACAATGTGAATTCATTGTCAGTGAAAATGTAATACAATACACAACAATGGGCAAATAATTGTTTCCAGACCAATGATTTAAGTAAGAAGAACTTACATTTTATATTGAAACTGTTGCCGTTGTATATACGTCAGGCGCGGATCCAGGATTTCTTAGGGGGGGGGGGGGGGGGGGGGGCAAAATTTGAAATTATGCGAGCCAAATATTGGTTCGTAATGGTGACCAGCAGTGACGTAATTGTGGGTGGATGGGTGCAGGGAGGGGCGAGTTTCCCCTCCCTCCTCCGCGAAACGCGGAAGCTTTGACATTTCAATAAATTATTAGAGAAAGAAGACGATTTGTTGTAGGCTACCGTTCCAAAAAAATATTCCTCGTCTGAATTTAGTTTTCCCCCTCCCGCGCTAAGCGGAAGCTTACGTTTCATTAAATCATTAGAGAAAGAAGACGATTTGTTGTGTCGTTCCCCAAAAATAATCCTCGTCTGAATTTAGTTTTCCCCCTCCCGCGCTAAGCGGAAGCTTACGTTTCATTAAATCATTAGAGAAAGAAGACGATTTGTTGTGTCGTTATCGACTCTTAATCTTTGTCTAAATTCAGTTTTTTTCCTACGTTCTCTTCCTTCCTTTGGCCCCCCCTCCTTCCTTCTCTTTTATTTTTTGATTGGGGGGGGGGGGGGGGCAACAGTCTGGGAGGCAAGTCCTTTTGCCCTCCTCCCGATCTACTTCTTCCCTCATTTCTTTTCTTCTTCCTCTTCTTGTTTTCCCTTTCTCTCCTCTTTCCCTTTCCCTTCTTTCCTTCTCTCTCTCTCCTTTTTTTTTTGCGGGGGGGGGGGGGGGGGAAGGGGGCGCCAAGGCCCGCTTGGCCCCCCCCCCCCTGGATCCGCGCCTGCATAGTGTGTGTTTCTATCGCTCAACACAGCTGTATTAAAAGCTCTAAATTGTTCACATCGCGGTCCTGGTTGCATGGTTGCATTTGCATGGTGAACTTAGAACTCAAACGATTGTCTTATTTACTCGGCGCTTCGAAAATATACCCCTAACTCGAAATATTTTGCGAGATAGGCCTATATGCAATTACTAATTGACTAAACATCCATGAACGCGCCATTATCACTTGTCAAATATTGCTCAGTCACGTCGCGGATTTGGTTGCATGGTGAACTTAGAACTCAAATGATTTTTTTATTTGCTAGAGGATTACAAAAATATTACCTCTAATTCGAAATATTTTGCGAGATAGGCCTATAATTTGTATGCAATTACAAATTGACGAAACGTCCATGACCGCATTATCACTTTAATATTGCTCACGTTCTGGTTGGTGATACAATCATGCTGGGAGCTCGAAATCATAAAACAGAAATAGCACAGGAATGATGAACCAAGAAATTCGGCGGTCGCATCAAATACTTTTTTCTCTCTGTAGTTCTCATAGAGATAATATACTACTAATCTCTATGGTAGTTCTCTATTCACTCATTCATTTATTTATTTGGTTGTTATAGTTATTATATAGGGGGCGCTGTTTGATCTATATCAACTTGCTACGTCGGATATTATAAATGGTAAATGAAGAACGAAAATATAATGTCGAGCAAAACGTTAGACAATGTGGGTGGAGTTTCTTCGTCCGAGTTCAATTTGTTAATTAAAATAATAACACATTTTATACAAAATGATTGGCTGCTGTTAGACCACTTTTGTTTCTCTCTCTCTCTCCCCCTCTCTCTTATATATATTTGTCTCTCTCTCTCCCCTCTCTCTCTGTCTCTCTCTCCTCTCTCTCTCTCTCTCTCTCTCTCTCTGTCTCTCTCCACCACCTCTTTCTCTCTTTTTTCTTTCTATGTATATAGTCTCAAGCAAATTAAGCTCCTACTTGAGAACATGAAGTTGAGGGGAGTGTGCAGGGAGGGGACGTGGTGGTGTTGGGGCGTTGCATTATATTGCTACCACTGTCGGTGAATTTGTGGGAATCAGTTTGGGGAAATTCAAACAGAATGGAGAAAAAAAATTGGGTCATAATAATGGCGTCTGTGGGGGGGGGGGGGGGATCGGGGAAGGCAGTAATGGTGTCACTGGACCGTGTTGAAAAAACGGGGTAGCTGACGTGATAAGCACATGCATCGACATCGTGATGATCAGGGAAGACCTGAACATATTACAAGAGCATAATAATTAATGTATAGCATGCACTGTTTGTCCCGCTTCTCCCTTATGCGCTTCACCCCTATTATAGCACTCATCGTTTCATCCCGCGGGTGACCCATTTTCCCCCGTAGTCAAGACTTCATCGTTTGTAATGATTTATTTACATACAACTTAAAAAGTAGGAAGGGAAATATATTATTATGTATCTTAGTACTACTTTTAGTACAAATGGAGAGGCTTACTACGTTTACAAAGTAAAAACGTATCGTGATCATATGATTCGTGTCATACTTCACACCGTAGAATTTGTAGAATTTGTAGAATTTTATTGACTCTTTGACCCCCTCTCGGGGTATGAGAGTACAAACAAACATAAAAGTATAAATAACAATGCATGAGTTATGAATACAATTCACATATATATTATACATAGATAATGACACAAAGATAAAAACGATATTAGGTATATAGTGTATGAAAGTACAAACATGAACAATGAACCAACTAGTAAACACAAATTATATATGTACAGGTACATGTACAATGAATGTAGATAGTGACAAACTGACAATAATAAAAGGATAAGTATAATGCAGTCTATTTACAAGCTAAATAGTGAACAAAGTAGGCTGTTTCACTATCCTACCGCTACGAGTACGTGTAGGTTCAGCTCTAATTGTACTTCTTGAACTGCTTGAACTATCTTCTTTCTCTGTTTTTTGATTAAATTTCAACATAATAAGGCGGGAAAATCTCGCTAAATTCTTCAACTGAGAAGTGCTTCTAGCCGGGCTTCTAGTATTAAAAAGTTCTGCCATGTGCATAGCACATACGTATGCCAAAAAGAATTTAGGCCTATTTTATGTATGGTGGGGGGGGGCGAGGGGGTACCGCCCCGCAATCCCTAAGCCTCCCCTTTCATCCGCCAATGTGCACGAAATGACGAATGATGTAACGCATTGAGCACTTGCCCTACAAAAATAGGCTATGTTGTCATCAGTCATCAGCAACAAAAGAGAGAAAAAAAAGAGATTTTCAGGGGAGATATTAGATCCGATATATCCGGGCTGGATCAGATACCGTACATACAAATTGTTTACTTCGGATATTATATTGTCGACAGAATACTAATTCTCCGACTACTGTCGGTGCATCGCCATCGTTCGGAGTCTCGGATCATGGAGAAACTATTGGAAACTATTGGAATGGAAACCCTACAAGAAGCAGGAGGATGTTCATCAACTTCTATAGAATCTATGGTAAATACTTAACAATTCTTAACGTGCGTTATGTTTATTATTTGTCATTGCATTTCGTCTACTTCCACTCGATATTGTTTAGGGCCTGGTCCACCGCGCGTCGCTCCTCCACAACGCCTGAGTTGTGGCGGTACGTGTTTGGTGCGGCACGGTCGTGATGGATATGGGATGGTAGTATGGGAACCAGCTAACTTACATGTAGCTTAGTCACTCATAGACCGAATTTTCCGTCTCTTTCGTTCGTTAGCCTCTTATTGGGGTAGGGTCGGCCGGCTCTCTCTTTGGAGACGGAAACCGTCTATACACATTCCCTTGAATTAGGGAGGCCAATGCCCTGGCGTAAGGCTTCTAGTCTAGGGTGTCTGAACGATTTTTCAATTTTCAATTTGGGATCGTTTTTCACCATTTTTGTTTGATATTTGAATTAAAATGTAATCAGAATAATACATTTCAAATTTCAAGTCTCGCCGATGTTTCTATCAAAAGATACAGCCCCTTCAAAATGCTGAAATATTCATAGCATTTTGCTCAGAATCGACGAAAAAGACGTACACGCAGAGTTATGTTGTTTTGCTAAATTTAGCCAAACAGCTGTATCGCGCGATATGCAAGCGTATGCATATCGTACGCAAGTTGCTCAGCCAATGCGCGACTTGCAAGCTTGAGCCACGCTGTCTCCGCGATATGTGCCATTGACTAGTATGGGTGGCCGTTCCCGCTATAGAACCCGGAAGTGAATACACGTTGTAGTCAATGGCAATATCGCGGAGACTGTCTCCGCGATATTGCCATTGACTACAACGTGTATTCACTTCCGGGTTCTATGGCGGGAACGGCCACCCCTACTTTCATTCACTATAAGCGCACATGTTACGCGATGTAACCATGGTTTGGACTGAGCGGAGCTCACGCCTCCCTAATTAGCTGATTCCAAAAATGTGGGAAGGGTATTATCAAACTGTTATAACAAATGATCCCTTGGGGCTAGCGAAAAAAAAAGCATCTGGATATTATCCTTACGTCTAGCCCTGCTTAAGCCGCGGGGCGGCAGCTCAGGAAAGTGGCAAATTTTGGAGCTAGGATGCAAACAACATTTCAATCGCTGTTTTGACCAAGATATTTTTAGAATTCTGGGGGTGGCCCCCGATGGGTAATATGGAGAAAAACCTGCTCTTTCATATGACACCTCATTTATTGAGTTTCACCTTCAGGATCATTTGTTATAAAGGTTTGAATTTCAAATTTTTTCATAAAATCATTGACCAATTTTGGATGGTCGCGCAATGCACGTAGACCACATAGGGAAGCGTACAATCTCTATGGGAAGGGTTTTAGCACACAACATTGGGTGCGCGATCAGACAGTTCTACACTTACGATTTGTGCGCTCGTCGCCCACTTCAAAAAATTAGCTAAGGGAAAAAAATGATGTAAAAATAAAAATTGAAGAAAATAAGAAAAGAAAATACAATTATACATTTCACAACATACCTATAATCACGGATCTGTAACAGTCTTTCACCATTTGTTGACAATCTTGCAGATTTTGACGTTTTTTAATCCAATAATTGTGGTTGCAGACGACCTTGACGCACTCGCACCACCGACTAAGAAAATCCTAGAGGGCGTAGAGGTTTGCTCACTAAAAACCTTCTCATTGGCAGAAGGTAGACCCTAAAAATATGGGATCCGTTTTGAGTAAAGAACTTTTGATAGAGATCAACATTTCAGATGTTCACAATTGCCACTTCTTACAACTAGAAAATATAAAGAAAAAAGATTATATCTTTTTAAATACAGATTTTTACAAACTGAACATTCGAAAGTAGATAGAGTACGATGTTTCTGTCAATCGTGCGTTGGTTTGAGCCCTATAGCTACATCCATCTCAAAATGAGAAGGAAAACAGTGAACAGTGACGTCATTGTTCGCGCCAAAAATAAAGGGTATTGCGACATAATCTGAGCTCCGGTCAGATCGTGCGCAAAGCGTAGTCTTATTTATAGACCCTAGTACCTTATTCTCACAGCACTAGATACGAGTGTCGTGCAGTAATGTATGAGAAGTGTTAAAAAAGATATTTCAGTAAAAAAAAAAAAGTCTACGTGAGCAGTCTATACTCCAATTGAGAATTGAAATGAAAGCCATGATTTGAAGGTGTGTGTTGTATGATACATGGTTAGTGAGTGTGTATGTTACGTATAGCGAAAGGGAGAGAGAGAGAGAGAGAGAGTGAGAGAAATATTAGTACACGTACGTTGCATGCATGGATGTGCGCTATGATTGTGTTTGCTGCAAGATGGATGTTAATTGGACCTCGTAACTTCTCGATCGTTGATAATAAGGAATACTCATGAGGAAATCAAATTATTGGAATGCACATCTAAGGTAAATATCAATGAATTATATATATTTCTATTCTTCATTTTTGAACCATCGTCTTCGGCTCGTAGTAGTAGAAGATGTAATCGTTCGCACATTGATGGCTGGACTTCAGCCTGCATCGGGGCTTGCCTGTGTCGGTGGTGGGATCAACTAAAGAAGAAGAAGGTGTGTACGTGTGCGACCGATTCAAGGCTAGCCGCTGTTGAGTGATTGCACTTTCGCGCGAAGTTTTAAACTTCATCGTGAACTTTGTCCCTCGGGCCTGTCTAATTATGAACGTAACTTTGCGACATGAAATATAATTGTTTCAAGGCTCTTACGTACGGAAAGGCGTAGAAGGAACCTCATAGGAACTAGCTGGATATCTCCTATTTGATGGAACTTCTGGAGTCGGCAGATGGGTGGATTTTCTTAGTGAAAGTAAATGCTTTCTTTTAATCTTAGTTTTAGTATAAACAAATTAGTAATTAAAAAGTTAGATTTGGGCATTGGCCTCCCTACTTGAATAACGCCACGGCCATTTCAGGTCGTAGCGTTTTGCAATTGCCCCCTAAATCCCCCAAAATGTCATTTTACCTCGTGTATAATAAAAAAAAATGTAAATTAGGCCTAGGCTATAATACATCGGTTCCACTTACTAACTTGATTGAAATAATCCGTTTAATTGTCCCTTTTAAGGAAATTATGGGTCAAAATCGACATCCATGTTGAAAATCTTGCAAGCCGTGTTAAACTCTCGCTGCCGGAGTCATCTAAATCAATCTCACCCCTTCTAGTCTACGCCGAAGGCAAAATGATTATGAAGGAAAAACTGTGCGCCATCTACACGTTCGTAATGGCGTTATCACAGTTTTTCCTTCATAATCATTTTGCCTTCGGAGAGAGAGCCGGCCGACCCTACCCCAATAAGAGGCTAACGAACGAAAGAGACGGAAAATTCGGTCTAAGTCACTCACTGTTGTCAGTAGATCTTACATGTAATATTTCTAGCGTTAAGAAAAAATTAAGGGCTAGGTAATAATTAAGTGATATTGACTGCCTTCAGGGCAATACGACATTATATCGCCCGAAAGTAGACAGTAGGCTAGACCGAAAGCTTCAGTCTCTATAAATCGTCGGTTGTTCCACTGAGACTACGTCTGGCTCCACTAGACCTCCGGTTATAGAGACTGAACGATCGCCTATACCATCGTATGTTGAAGATATCACGGCTAGATTTTAGCCGTTAGGCCCCTCCCACAAACATGACAAACTTGCCACGGCCGTATTGTTATGCCCCCAAAATCCACCAAAATGTCGTTTTACCTCTATATCCAATTTTAAATTAGGCCTAGGCTATAATACATAATACCGAAGGCAAAATGATTATGAAGGAAAAACTGTGATAACGCCATTACGAACGTGTAGATGGCGCACAGTTTTTCCTTCATAATCATTTTGCCTTCGGCGTAGACTAGAAGGGATGAGATTGACGGCAGCGAGAGTTTAACACGGCTTGCAAGATTTTCAACATGGATGTCGATTTTGACCCATAATTTCCTTAAAAGGGACCATTAAACGGATTATTTCAATCAAGTAAGTAAGTGGAACCAATGTATTATAGCCTAGGCCTAATTTAAAATTGGATATACACGAGGTAAAATGACATTTTGGGGGATTTTGGGGGCATAACAATCCTCGCATTCCGTCCCCCCCGGTCATTAACAGAAACCGCCGCCCCTGATTCCACGACATTTTGGTCTTCCTCTTCTCCTCAAAAGGGACTTTTAGATTTGCGTGGACGTGGACGTGGACGTGTTACGTCCTTTTAAGGCACTGGCAATCACATGTGACGTCCTTTTAAGCACTGGCAGTGCCTTAAAAGGAGGTCACACGTTGCAGTCCACGTTCTCATCGTGCAAATCTAAAAGTCCCTAATATTGATTTACTGGTCGAGGTTCATTATTTGCTGCCAACGAAAAACTTCTCCAGGCCATGACCATGTTTCTGCCCTTGCCCGATCGCCTCCAGCTCCAGCAGACATGGCGCAGCAGCGTGCACACGCACCGCTACTAACGGCGCAGTAGGCCTATAACCACTGCTGACGGCGGCACTGCACTGCGAGCTGAATCGGTAATAATAGGCCTACTCATAAAACGAGAAATCTTGCACGCTAATCTTAGTTCCATTTCATTGGTTTAAGGTTTGAAAATTGAAACTCAATATTGTGTTAAAGTTATAACAGAAAAGATTATCTTTATTTTATAATTCCACCGGGGCGATTTTTAATTTTGCAATCGCCAACGTGAGCAACCTGACGGGGGCGATTTTGTAGCTCACGGGGGCGAATCGCCCACCGCCCCCGTGTATTTTGAGCGCTGTTATGATTGGACATACTTCGCATCTGGCCAGCTGCGATATGCTCCATTGCGTAGTACCGGACTATTTGTTGTTTCAGTTCTCATTCATTTGCTTGGCACTGCAATTGCAGGGTTAGCCAACTTTAGCCCACTTTGGTAAAAGCCAGTCTGAACAGAAAGTGGAATAGGCTTAAGGAGTAGGAGGATATACATGTACATGTTTGTAACCGTCTGGTATGGGGGGATTCTTAAATAAAACTGAACTTTGTCAACCTTCCCCATACACATAATTTTATATCATTAATTTTTTCAATTAATGTAATATATATTCATGTATAAGCTAAAGTAGATATGATGAAGACGTAAAGGGTAAAAAACCTTGTAGCATCTCATTCATCTCTGTTCAGCCGAACCGACCCATTCCCTCCTCTCACTACCCCATACGATGTACTGTACCTCAGTCTCTGTATATATATGTAGAGGCGTTCAGTGGAGCCAGACGTACAGTAGTCTCAGTGGAACAACCGTCAATATCAGAGGCTGAAGCTTTCGGTCTAGCTGTGTATGAATGTGTAAAAGCACTCACACATGTACTAGGTTATGTTTCATAATTTCTCGTTTTTAATTTTATCGTAGGTTGGGAGAAAGGGTACCAGGAAGAGAAAGAAAATCACTCGTGCAGATAGAGAAACAGACACCTCTCCACAGCCAAAACCAAAGAAGGTGAAAAACGCAACAGGTAAATTCAGTAAAGAGGAGAAAAAGAGAGAGAGTGAGAGATACCGTAAATCTCCGTGTATAAGGCGCACCTGTGTATAAGGCGCACCCCTATTTTTCGTTTTTGTTTTGTTGTTGTTGTTGTTGTTTTGTTGCCGAAAACCCACGCGGGGAAGGACCTTCATTTTACATCGAGGTGCAGTAGAAGTTGTGAACTTGTCACAAATAATAGTAACAACAGTCTAAGGCTTCATGATACCAAGTGTCCCACACCAGCCTCTTCACATCACCTAGCAGAAGCTCTGTGTTCTATGCCAAACATCAATAGTCATGCATGATATGAATAGCATCCTCTATCTTTCTAATAATGGAGTACCTAGGATAGAACCTTGTGGTACACCATTTGTTATAGAAAACATAGAAAACATATGCGACATTGCCAGGCATAGCGCCATAAATCGAAACTAAAAAAAAAAAAAGACTAAGATTGACTTTAAGTTGGGTTTAACTATAGCAGGACGTTCATGTCACTGTTTGCTCTCACCATTTACTGGCAATGGTCTCTCAAGGGACGTACAAATCATGGTCACACATCTACAGAATTTAGCTTTTTTGATAGTTCCTTATTGAAGGAAAAAATTTCATCTAAAGATCATAATTGAGAGACCAATGATGAGAGCAACAAGTGACATGAATGGCCTGTCATATTTAAGTCCATCTTAAAGTCGATCTTAGTCTTTGTGAAACACTCCCCTGAAGAACTGCATATAGAAAAGGATACATAAGACTACACACACATGTAGAGATCTGAAGCTTGAAAATGTAATATTACACAGAGTCTTCTCCCCCTTCATCCTGCTTTAAAAAACATTGGGAAGAGAGACATTAAGAATAAGACTTGAGTTATAATCCAGAGTTTTGGATTTAAAGGAAAATAATTCAGGCTTTAGAAAATGAAGCAGACTTACACAGAGAGATTACAAGCACTTACTTTAGAAGTTTCATGACCAAGGTAATAGTTCTTGCTTCATGTACCGCAACTATGGTATTTAGCCATTGAGGGCAACATTGGCCATGTGTATATTTGGCAAAGGCACTTTTGGTTTCCATACAAATACAATGGGTCAAGAACTGGAAAGTCCGATAGAAATTACAAATAGTTTCAGAACCGACAAACTATAAGTAAAAGATTATGATGGTGCCTACATAGATCTCATCAAATCATTGGGGGAGTTCCAATAATAATTTAGTAAAAAAAGGAATTAGTTGAAAATGACACTGCTGTGCATTCTCTATGGAAGGGATTGGAAGCCGGAAGAAAGCTTGTCTTATCTTCTTGCCCAGTATCTGCACATGTGCTGACTTGCGCAGTGCGGGAGGAAGGTTGCCGTCTATTGTTGAACATCGTATTGCAGTAGGTTCAATCGTCTAGTGAAGAATCTTCTTTTTTTGTCTTCAAAATGATTGTTGCAGTATGAATTGATTTAGCTGCAATTCTAGTGTGAGACTAAAAATCTTTGTAAAGTAAAGTTTTTTGTTCTTCATACCATCTAGGTAAACCCTTTTGTTGTGACAGCTGCGGTTCTCGATTTGTTGTGAATCCACTTCGACGTAAACCCGGTCAGAGTTCCAAGGGCAAGGCAACGCCTCGTTATGTGGTAGATCAGGAGAGCCAGAAACTCCTGACTCTCTGCAATGCATGTGGTAAGAAAATCAATTACTCTCAAGTTTGTTTGCTTGTCAGCCTTCTCTTCCTCATCTTCTTCATTTACAGTAATGTCGGTTTTTTAACTTTAATACTAAATGTACCTTGAGGGTAAATGATGAAATTTAGAGTACACCACCTTGTTCAAGTACGTGTATGTTCTGAAGAAAAAAATAAAACATGAGCACTTGTTTTGCTGGAGCTCAAGCTGGGGTAATAAAAGTGCATCATAATGTGATATGATAATGTAATATACATGAATAGAAAATTATTATTATTACATGTACTGTAGTAGTAGTAGTAGTAGTACTGGTGATGGTAGTAGTATTGGTGGCAGTGGTAGTAGCAGCAGCAGCAGTGGTACAACATTCCTAGTTCAATACATGTAAATATAAACAAGTCATGCAGTACGTTTAGAATTTGTGGAACCATTTGCAGTATACAAATAATACACATCAGTGAGGGCATAAGTAATTTTACTAATGCCCGAACAAAATTATGTGTATTATTTGGTATATAAGATTATGTTTTATTTGTTTTATAAAATGATGTTTAATAACATGCTTTTGATAATGACAGGTCATTATCCAAATTAGGTGCTGGGAAAAATAAATGCCTGGTTACGTGTAAGCTTTCAACCAATCATTTTATTAGGATCCACGTCTTCATCTTATAATTTTTTATAACTATTCTCTATTTTTCTTCTCACATTTTCCCTTTTGTCTGTCTAGGCATTAAAATGGAGAGAAAGAGTAGGGCGCCCCCTCGTGACCCGCCCCCGTCGGTGGAGGACAAGCAGCGTTACTATGAGAGCGCACAACACTTTGCAGCTTCGTTGGTCGAAGGGCTTGGGGAGCCAGACGGTATGTTCTTTAAAGGCATCGTTTAACAATGTTAAATCTGAGATTCACGCCCCTACGTTTTATCAGTGTCTGTGATATGGTGTAATATCGAAGCCCTAAAAAAATTGCGCTTCAACATGATCATGAAGTGCCTTAAAAATTAAGCATCTTTGAGTGACCGGTTTTACCATGCTCGTTTTCCCCAATAGACTAGTGTAATAAAAAACAAAAAAATGAAATTTCGATTTCCAATCATAAATATCTTGATAATCAGAGAGGCGATCAGATTGTAAAAGTCATGGGGTTCCTGATGATCTAAAGGTTTATAATTTTGATTGCAGCATAAGCTAAATCCAGGATTTTGTTTCCGAATCTGAGGCGATGTTACCGAGTCACTTTAACCCATTCAGTGCGATACATTTTCTTGTCTCACACTTTTCAGTGCATTTGCAGTACATAAAATTGTTGCATGCCTGTGAGAAGGGCATGAATAGGTGAGAAGAGAAAAAAATGTTAAAATGACATGTACATTGTATTTCAAGAAAAAGGCATTCCTGACTTTAGCCTTGCTTTGCTTTATCTGTGCGGCACATTGTGAAAGTAAAAGAATATATTCAGTCTGTTTTTTTGCTATGAAATGATATACACTGCATACATTTAGGAATATACATGTATACTTGCTTTTCTTGAAGAAAAGTAGTTCCGTCATTAGAATGCCATTACATGTTATTCATTTACCCCTATTCATGTTGCCCTTCTTGAACTACATTATACATGTAATCTTTTTTAGCAATTCTTAACTTGAGAATATGACGCTCTTATTTTCACCTCTATTTTTTCTCCTTGTTTGTCTTATAGATACCATTTATTATTGTCGTTGTTATTATGATTCTTTTCATTTGATTGCAGCTGAAAAATTGACGTGTCCAGTTTACAACACCAAACCCTGTGGTTGCATTCAAAAGTTCATCATTGGAGAAGGTACGTACCTAGCAGAAAGAATCAGCGCTCAAAATACATGGGGGCGGTGGGCGATTCGCCCCCGTGAGCTACATAATCGCCCCCGTCAGGTTGCTCACGGGGGCGATTGCAAAATTAAAAATTGCCCCCGTGGAATTATAATATAAAGATTATCTTTTCTGTTATAACTTTAACACAATATTGAGTTTCAATTTTCAAACCTTAAACCAATGAAATGGAACTTAGATTAGCGTGCAAGATTTCTTGTTTTATGAGTAGGCCTAGTTATTTCCGATTCAGCTCGCAGTGCAGTGCTGCCGTCATCAGTGGTTATAGGCCTACTGCGCCATTAGTAGCGGTACGTGTGCACGCTGCCGCGCCATGTCTGCTGGAGCTGGAGGCGATCGCGCAAGGGCAGAAACATGGTCATGGAGAAGTTTTTCTTGTGAAAGCGTTAACCCACTGAAATCTGGTGATTTCAAATGACCAGCAAATAATGAAACTCGACCAGTAAATCAATATTAGGGACTTTTAGATTTGCACGATGAGAACGTGGACTGCAACGTGTGACCTCCTTTTAAGGCAGTGCCAGTGCTTAAAAGGACGTGACGTGTGGCTGCCAGTGCCTTAAAAGGACGTAACACGTCCACGTCCACGCAAATCTAAAAGTCCGTATTGAGAAGAAGCGGAAGACCAAGATGTCGTGGAATGATATGGTAACATGGGCAGATCTAGGGGGGGGGGGGGTTAGGGGGTTTAACCCCCTCCTCCCGGCCCCCTTGGACTGCCAAGTGAAAATGTGACATTAAAGCGGGGGGGGGGGGGGGGTGGGAGAGAGATGCTGGAGAGGAGGACTACTAATCTATTTTATTTTTTTGGGGGGGGAAGTGAAGCGCCGTTTTAGCATGACTTTCTTTTTAACTCTTACTTTCACCTATCTCAGATAACCCTAAGTTTTTGGTTGCTGCTTTATATGTAGTTGATAATGCATGTTTAAAATAAAGAGAGAGAGAGAGAGAGAGTGAGAGAGAGAGAGAGAACCACCATCATTTTGCAATGGTTCAGGGTTCGTGTAATGTACATTTGAAACCATTTCTTAGCGTCTCAACCCTAACAAAATAGCAAAACTATTTTTAAGGAAAAGCATTATACTGAATTAAATAAAGATTAATAGCTTTATATTGGATCATACTAATACTGATACGGGCTAAAGACAATGTGGTATTTGTATAGAGGTATTTCAAAATGACATTCTGATAATCAACATTTTTTCTGGTATCATATGTATATACGCATAATACAACTGATCTTTATGATTTCTTAACGTGACATAGCTTCTTCTCCCCCTGCAAACAAAAAAGAAAAAAGGTTATTTAATAAAAGGATCATGTGACAAATAATCATTGTGATTCAAATTGATGCAAGGAATTTTTTTTTGAATAAGCAATGCTTTTCACCAGAATCTTCTTTGTAAAAACGACTTTTACAAATCTCAGCCATGCAAATCTGCCACTGTGTTGTAAGATCACTTTCAGATTAGGAGAAGTGTCTTCTATAATGAGTATTTTACATTGAATGGAACGTCACAACTCAGAAAGCATGGATGAGGGTTCGTGTAATGTACATTTGAAACCATTTCTTAGCGTCTCAACCCTAACAAAATAGCAAAACTATTTTTGAGGAAAAGCATTATACTGAATTAATTAATAAAGAATAATAGCTTTATATTGGATCATACTAATACTGATACGGGCTAAAGACAATGTGGTATTTGTATAGAGGTATTCCAAAATGACATTCTGATAATCAACATTTGTTCTGGTATCATAATGTATATACGCAACATACAACTGATCTTTACGATCCTTAACGTGACATAGCTTCTTTTCCCCCTGCAAACAAAAAAGAAAACAAGGTTATTTAATAAAAGGATCATGCGACAAATATTCATTGTGATTCAAATTGATGCAAGGATTTTTTTGAATAAGCCAGAATCTTCTTTGTAAAAACGACTTTTACAAATCTCAGCCATGCAAATCTGCCACTGTGTTGTAAGATCACTTTCAGATTAGGAGAAGTGTCTTCTATAATGAGTATTTTACATTGAATGGAACGTCACAACTCAGAAAGCATGGATGAGGGTTCGTGTAATGTACATTTGAAACCATTTCTTAGCGTCTCAACCCTAACAAAATAGCAAAACTATTTTTGAGGAAAAGCATTATACTGAATTAATTAATAAAGAATAATAGCTTTATATTGGATCATACTAATACTGATACGGGCTAAAGACAATGTGGTATTTGTATAGAGGTATTCCAAAATGACATTCTGATAATCAACATTTGTTCTGGTATCATAATGTATATACGCATAATACAACTGATCTTTAGGATTTCTTAACGTGACATAGCTTCCTTTCCCCCTGCAAACAAAAAAGAAAACAAGGTTATTTAATAAAAGGATCATGCGACAAATATTCATTGTGATTCAAATTGATGCAAGGATTTTTTTGAATAAGCCAGAATCTTCTTTGTAAAAACGACTTTTACAAATCTCAGCCATGCAAATCTGCCACTGTGTTGTAAGATCTCTTTCAGATTAGGAGAAGTGTATTCTTTAATGAGTATTTTACATTGAATGGAACGTCTCAACTCAGTAAGCATGGCTGAGATTTGTAAAAGTTGTTTTTGCAAAGAAGATTCGGGTGAATAGCAGTGCTTATTCAAACAAATATTCGCATCAATTTGAATCACAATCATTATTTGTCGCTTAATCCCTTTTAATGACCTTGTTTTCTTTCTCGTTTACAAGGGGAGAAGAAGATATGTCACGTTAAAGACATCATAAAGATCAGTGTTGTATGCGTATATATTATATACACAGGCCAGTAACAGCTATGTAGCTTGTAAATTTGTAAGAGGGAAAATGCTGATTGATGATGATGAAATAGCAATTAATTGAGGAGTATCGTAGGTACCAATTCAATGGATATTTGTATAAAAAAGAGCCCCCGTCAGTACTAAAAGAGCCCCCGTGAGAAGGCTCACGGGGGGCTCTTTTTTGGGGGGAAGAGCCCCCGTGGACAAAAAATTAATTTGAGCCCTGGAAAGAATCCACTTGCAGGATGAACATTAAAGGCATCATTTAACAATGTTAAATCTGATCTGAGATGCATGGCCCTACGTATTATCAGTGTCTGTGATATGGTGTAATATTGAAGCCCTAAAAAAAAAGTAAAAATCTTTGAGTGACCGGTTTTACCATACTCGTTTTCCCCAATAGACTGTAGTGTTATAAAAAGAAAAGAAAATGCAAAATTTGGTTTCAATTTCAAATCATAAATACATGTATCTTGATAATCAGACAGGCAATCGGTTTGTAAAAGTCATGGGTCCCTGACTTGACCTAAAGGTTTATAATTATCATTGCAGCATGAGCTAAATCCAGGATTTTGTTTCAGAATCTGAGGCAATGTTACCGAGTCACTTTAACGCCAATCTTGAATTCTGATAACAATGAGGGTGCTGCACAGTAGAGATTGTACCTCGTAGAGTAGAGAAAGATTTTAATATATCAATATCAAGTCCCGCTCTTCCACAGGTCAAAGTCATGGGGCATTCAAAATAGTTCCCTCCCTTAGAGGTTGTATGTGAGAAGGAAGTACTTTGAGCTCCATGAATTCACCTTTGACCGTGTGTCGCAACTATCTCTATCAATATGCTATGATAGCGATCATAGCTCGTAGAGTAAAGATAGTTGTGATCCGCACATGTGTTAGTGTGCTCAAAGTTAGTTTGTGGAGCTCAAAATTGTCCCCTTCCTCATACAATGCCTATTGGGGGAATGGGAGGGGGAATTATATCTAGCTCCATTAATCTTTCGAATGCTAGCTATGGCAGTGATTCACTGTTGTTTTGAATACCAATGGGAGTTGGATTTTTGTATGTTGTATGGGCAATAGAACTTGAATCCTTGAATTGCATTTTGAGATAAACTGGCTCGCTGTGATTTAAAACTATTCATCATGCAGTTGATTTCTTTCAAAGCAACAATATTTACTGTATGTAATAACTAACAAAAGTGTATAATAAAGTTGTGAATTGTAAAAAGGTGCAATAAGTGATCATGTGAGAGTTTTCAAATTTGCAAATCGTTGATGTCACCCTGATGTAGTGTCGGACAACTCATCCATTTGTTTGGATGTTCCTAAACACAAATTGACTAAAATATATTTTTTCTCAAATATATGACTTAGTAGATCTTTATACCTAACTGAGGAGGCACGATAGCTGTCGGTAGAGCAGTGGTCACGTAATCCGGTGACCCGGATTCGAAACCAAGGGAATGCGGTAGTGCCCTTTGGTAAGGCATTAATCCTCATTACCAGGTTCCTCAGAGAGGACCTAAAGCTGTCGGCCGTCTGGTTGCTTACTTACAAGCATTTGTGCTTTCTTAGCAGCCAGGTAAAATAAAAATAACAACCACCACCTTTCTGAGGATCAATAACAATATCCTATCTATAGCATGGTGAGATTTTCTTCCCCATAGATCTCATAGGTATACAAAAATGGGGACGCTCTAAAATGATTTTTCACCTGTAACCAGAACTCGACACTCTCATTAATCAGGTGACAGAGAAGAATCCAAGAAGCGAGCCATTCAGCTGCTGAGCATTCTTAAAGATGCCAAACGTCTCAGGGAGAAGAAGTTCTACAATCGAGAAGAGGTTCTGAGCAAAGGCAAAGGGTATGTTCATTCCTATAATGATGATTATGATTTTTTTTGTAGCCAGGGAAGCCTCATCAGCATCAATGCTGTTTTACCTATGGACCCTGCAATTATTATTACCCCATCTTTTTGCCAGGTACCCAGTAACACCTGTGTGGAGATTGGCAAATGTGGATTTACATCTTGCCGAAGGATGGTAGTGCTGAGCTCGGATTTGAATCCTTAACCCTTGGTTTGAGAGTCGAGTGACTAAACCACTATACCATGAAACATCCACAATGATGGTTTGCATGTACATTCCTCCTTGTTAAAGAATTCTTAAAGAAAACTGTGATGGCTCAGTGGTAGTGCAGTAATCTTGTAACCAGGATGTCCAGGGTTTAAAACCAAGTGGATGTGCTAGTGCCCTTTGGTATAGCATTAATCCTCGTTACTAAGTCCCTCTGTCCCCTGGTTGGTTACTTACAAGTATGCAATGCTTTCGTAGCAGTCGGGTAAAACAAACTAACAATCTTTTCTTTTTCTCATTTGCTTTGTTTGGATTTACGTACTACTACTACCAAGAGAAAACATTCCAATTCCTTTCTTACATTAAATTTCCAAATCATTTTTTTTTTTTAAATCATTGACTTTTTAAAAAATCAGGCAAAGGAAGGTTGGTCTAGGTAACGGTCATCGCAAAGCCAAGGAGTACGAGGACTTTGTGCTCGCAAACAGGAAGATCCTTCGCGGTGACTTACGGATGTGCGAGCGTGCAACGCAGCGTATCCTTCTCTACTCCAACAACTTCCTGCACAAGCGCTTGAAAACGGACCCCCAGAATCGCACCCAGAGGCTGCAGCGAACCAAGGGGCAGGCTGCACTGGGCAAACTTGTGGACGTGGAGAAGCTATCTGAGCAAACGTGCTGCTTGGAGAAGTGTGTGCTGGTAGGTGATCTCATTTCTTTAAAAAGCAAATCATAGACTTGCATCTTTAAAGCCCATCTGTACTAGTTTACAGGAAGGATTAGACCACCCTACAAGGTCACTGACAGGTGGTTATCTCTAGTTATCTCATCAAATCAGCTCTCATTTAACATAAGAAAAAGAGGATCATGGGGAACCAATGGTCACCGATTAGGCACTGTTTGCTCTATAGAGGGCGCAAGAGCTATAAGTAGTACAATGGGGCTTTAAAGCTCAAAGAAGCATAGTATGGACATACAAACAAACATCTATTTTGTTTTATATCCCTTTGGATAGAAGCAGAAGTAAAATATGTGTTTTCCAACTGCAGTAAAATGTGTCTTAGTGGCCACCTCTCTATAGTGAGCACCATTTTGTCTCCCTCTAGAAGGAAATGAGTGTTGTAGAACCTGTCTTGAAAGGCCATCTGTCTACAGTGGCCACTTTCTCTGGTTCCCTTTGGTGGCCTAGCATATAGACAGGATTGACTGTAATCACTGTATTACTAACGTCTGGAAAGAGGTCTTCCTAAAAGGACATAAGTGGCATGATATGGCTAGGATCCACAACCTTCGCGTCCCCTGTTTGTACCATGTTAAGTTTAGATACTGTGATGTTGGTGCCCTTTTTGGTGAACCCCCAGTCTCTGAAAACTTGGTTAATTGGTAAAACCTTGTCAAGTTCAGATACCATGGGGAGTGTTTCACAAAGACTAAGATCAACTTTAAGTTGGAATTAACTATGGCAGGCCGTTTATGCCACTGTTTGCTTTCGCCATTATGATCTTTAGATACTTTTTTTTCATTCAATAATGAATTATCAAAAATGTAAATTTTGTAGATTTATGACCATGATTTGTACGTCCCTTGAGAGACCAATACCTGTAAATGGTGAGAGCAAACAGTGGCATGAATGGCCTGCCATAGTTAAGTCCGACTTAAAGTCGATCTTAGTCTTTGTGAAACACTCACCTGGTGTATTAAAGTCAGACATGTCATGAAATCATGTTGCTTGATCTACTGCAATTATAACACTGCCGTTGTATCCGCTCTTGAATTTCCATAATTCTCTCTTTCTAGTTGGCACGTACACACAGTCTGCTTCTGAACCAGTGGAGGGACAGAGCAATCTCCGGGCAGACGGAGGCTAGGAAAGTTCTTGCTGAGATGCTCACACCTTCAGGTATGGCAGTAAATCTTAGCATATATCTGTACATGATCACAGGGATGCCAGATTTCAGGCCCTGGCAACTTATTTTCAGACCATAGTTTAGGCCTTTTTTGTGTACAAAATAGCTCATTCTAGGTGATTTTCAGGCCCTCTGATCAATTCTAACAGGCCTTGTGATCAGAAACAGATCATTTTGTACCAAATTCTTGCATTTTGCCAAATTGATACAGAAATTACAGATTGTTGATGTATCTCTTGTTTTCAAGAATGCTTGAAAGACTTGTTAAAATTATTCACTTGTAGAATGATTTAGACTTTGTGTGTCCTGTATAAAAATGCATTTCATGATAAATGGGGAATTATCTCTCTTGAATGCACTCTGTAACAATCATATGCTAAAATTTCTTTCCACAAATCTCTTTGCATGTTATAAGTTGTTCTGGGCATTTTTATGATTTTATTTTTCTCCTCCATTGCACCGTGAGTACGTCAATGCGTCGTAGTTGGTGCCTGATATCGTTACTATAAATAGTGACTATTAAGTGATGTGGTGAGAGCCATTTTATAGAAAATGCTTGTAATATCTTGTCATGTAGTCTTGGTACCTGGTTGGGTAATCCCTTTGGCAGCTCACTCAGGAAGCTATACTGGGATGGTAGGTGAGGCGAGTAATTACCAGGAGTGTTGGAATGGTGTGTGGACAAAGCACTTGTTAATTTAGTTCACCTTAAAGGGAGTGAGTCGTAAGTTTCCATATGCCGAAGGCCATAATTCGTTGACACCAGACTTGGTGGAAATGCCATTAATTGGAGTACAAATCTACACACAGCAATCCCGTAGGCCCATCAAGAACTACCCCCTAGTCTCTCGGAGAGTCTTTGGGTGAGGGAAAAGCGAAACATTACATATGGTCATAAATCTGAAGGCTAACCCTGGTAATTGACACCTGTTATTGGGTAAACACCTGAACGGTGTCCAATTCCCCATGAGAGCTGACTTCTATACTCTATACTGTAGGTCAGGGATCCAACTGCGCCCGTTTCATCGCCATGGTAACAGGCAGCAGCATCACGACCATCGCCAGGGTCAAGGACCAGATGTGCAAGACGGGCGGGGACCGGGAGCCGCCCCAGCACGGCCTCAAGAAGTACTGGAAGAACCACCCCAGGAGTAAGACCTTGGGTCTGCTCGGGGAGGATGGAGAGGTGCTCCAGGGCTCCAGGGCGGGGTCGGCGGAAGCTGGAGCTGGGCAGACAGGAGCACAGGGATCTCTAATGACCGTGGTAAGTTATCTCTCAGGAGCAGAAGAAAAGGAAATACAGTCAAACCTGCTTTAGTGACCACCTGTCAACAAAGACCACTCTTTGTGTTTTCCTTGGGCTGTCGCTATAGACAGGTTTGACTGTAACAGGAATACAGAGAATCTATGTTGTCAGTTTGTACGTAAAGTCATTAATTTCATTTTAGGCCTCTCATGACTGAGGATTCGTATTTTGTAGGAAAATAAAGTGAATTCTATAAATAATCTTCTACTTTGTACAAAATATATATGTCTCCCTTGTGATGGTGAAAAGGTATCTTGTAGGAATAGAAAAGAAAAAAATGAGAACAAACTTTTTGTTTGTCTATAATTTTAGGTCTCTCTCATGACTTTGGTAGTAGTATCACATAGATATTGTAGGGAAGATATGAAGAGGGACAATGCACGTTGTGTGTGTGTGTGTATTGGGTTTTTACAGACGTGTATCAATCAGATATGATTATTTACGTCTGGGGACCAACCTTTAAACGTCACCATCCGAAAGACGTGACTTAGTTTCGAACCTGCGTCCTCGGCTGAATCAGTTTGTAACTTCCACTTTTAGCTGGATTACAGGCGCACGCCACAACGTCTAGTTTTGTATATTTCAGTTAGTCCTTGCAAGAGTAGTTAGGATAAGTTCAAGGAAGTGACTCTGAATGTTGCGCTGTCTATTGGTCTGTACTTATTAGATTAAGAAATTGAAAGTGTATTGAAATGGATGACATTTACTAATTTCATCGGTAAGTTAAAAGATGAATGTGGATTTAGTTAAACATACACAAGTATCTGTTGTGATAATGGCTATTATATACTGAATGAATGACTACTTAAGATTTTTTTTTCCAGACATATAACAGGAATATGATTCACAATCTTATTTATTTCATTATAACTTTGTAGTATTTAATCCTTCAATACATTGCGATGATTATACCTCAATTTGCAGGCACAACTGATAGAGCAACAGGATCAGTTGAAAAGACTGCAGCAACAACTGGAGGAACAGCAGCAACAAGTCAGACAACAGCAGAGACTTGTAGAGCAACAATTAATACAACATCAGCTGAGGCAAAACAGGCAACTGAAACAACAGGTTGGTTGCAATGACATAAAGCCCCACTGTACTACTTGTAGCTACTAGCTCCCTCTATATAGAAAACTTCCCCAATCGGTGCCTGTTGGTCCCTCATGAACCTCCTTTTCTTATGTTAACTGAGAGCTGAGTTGATGAGAAACCACCTGTCAGTGACCACTCTGTGTGGTCTAATCCCTTCTGGCCAAACTAGTACAGACGGCCTTTAAACAAAAATCACATACTTTATTTATTGAGAATATCAAGAGAAAGCATGTAAAAGGGAACATTTGAAAAATTCTGTAAACTCAAGAATTTTAAGACACCGTCAAAGTAATCCAACTTGCCTACACAGAAATTTATGATGCGGAAGCAATGAAGCATGTAAATTAAGATTTATGATGATAAAGATAACTATTTACCTTGTTTCCACAGAAAAGCATAGTATAGTATTCATGACACAATAATTATGCCGTGAAACCTAGTCTACATATAAATGGTTCATGAAGTCTGTATTGAAGGGAATTTTTTTATGATTTTATGACCATATGCACCTGAAGGCTGTTTCACTTGTTTATTTGTTTGTGTTTGTTGGATTTCCTTGAGTTAGTAATAAAAATAATAATAGGCATTTCTATAGCACCGTCTATCTAGAAAATTCTATTCCGAGGCGCGTTTATTATTACCCCGGCAGGCCGGCTTTAACCTAGCTGCCATTACAGCGCTCTAGCATTTCAAGGAATTAATTCCTACCAGGTACCCATTTACCTCACCTGGGTCGAGTGTGGCAAATGAAGATTAATGCCTTGTTTTTGTCTCCCTAGGCTGCCTTGGCTGAAGCGCAGAGGAAGGTCACACGTCAGATACGAGCTGGAAACTTGCCTGGTAGCTCAAAGTCAAGTACAAGCAATACTGCTACCGCCCATCCTACAGCACAGGTGAGAAACGACCCTCATATTTTTTGTAACTTTGAATCCTTTTCAGAAATGTTAGTAATTTTTTTAGATTTAAATTATAATTGTATGAAAAATATACACGATTTTGCACATATGGAGGTTGGGACAGAAGAAAAAAATAAGAAGGATCATTTAACTCTATTATCAAATAAACATTTTTTTTTTTACTTGTACTTGTATCAAAGAGAACTGTTGCTGAGCTAGCGCTATGAGCGTCCCTGGACGGTGTGTGCACTCTATAAGTTTACACTATTATTATTTTATTACTATTTAGCATTTTGTATGATTAAATCTACAAGATATTACACATATTGCAATCATTCACAGTATGTAATGGGTTTTAAATCTTTTTGTTTGATTTACAGAACATGTCAACAAACAGAGGGACGAATCCGTCTACTCTAACGATGCAGCCTCTAACAGCCGATCAGCAAGGCCGTATCTATGTACAGTCCCCTGTATCTACCAATCAGCAAGCCCAATCTACGGCAACACAGTCTCAGCCATCCAATCAGCATGTGCCTACTATTGTAGGCATGACTATAGAGCAACAACAGCAGCAACTTCAACAGCAACATCCCCTGACAGCTACAGTGGCAGGGCTAGAGGGCATCGATGCCAAGCTGTTGCAGCAGAACTTGCAGCAGATCCTTGTAGAACTGCAGAATCAGATGGTGACGCAGCAGATTCAGCAGCAGCTGATAAACTTTGGGATGCAGCCGGGCCCGAGTGGTGGAAGCAGTCAACCCCCGAGCTACAGCACGGCAGTTGCAGCAACAAATAACTCCCAGGTGCTGCAGACATCACCACCGCAACAACCACCACCACAACAACCACAGCAACAGCAGAAGACACAGAAAGATGGTTCACAACAGACACAGATCATCATACAGACTATTCCAAGCCTGCAACCCAATTTGTTGCTGAGTAGCAATGGGCACGGTATACCTGGTAGCAGTAATATGCCACATTATGTCAATACCTCAGCAAGCGGGTCCATGGCTCGTCTTAAAGCAGCTGATAGTTCTCATGTCATGGTTCCTATCACTCTCCATCACCCTGGTGGCCCCATCGCAGGAGGAGATGCAGTCAATGTGGAGGAGGTCAATGTTCAACTCCAAGAAGTGGTCATGCCTCTGTCCACCCAGGATAGCGAAGCTTGCAACCTGGTCCTACCACGGCAGCAACAGCTTCCCACCATCCTGCAAGGCACTATCCAGCAACACCTATCGAGTCTTGGCCATCTGGCCAGCCATTCTTCAGATTCGGGTACAACCCGGCCAACCACCACCATCAGCATCGAGAGCCTGTGTGGCAACCAGCAAACATCGCCAGCCAACATGGGGGATATCGTTGTGACAGAGGTGGACGATGGCACCCGGATGATGCAAGGTAGCGGCGAGGAGAGCATCCCATCCGCTATCCCTCTGGTCGGAGGGGTTTCCGTAGAGACGCTCTTGTCTCCGGAGGCTCTCCATCTCTTGAACTCAACAGGGCAGGCATCACTGAATGTCTCTTTATCTTCCGCAAGGACTGTGAAGCCGAACACACCAGGGGCAGGTGCCTTGTGAGATAACTAGTTTGGTAGGATGTGTATTCTCTGTTTTTATGCCTCGGCTACAAAGTAGCCGGAGGCATTAAGTTTTTGGGTTGTCTGTCTGTACGTCCATACGTCCCGTTCTCGTGATCGCGTTATCTGAAGAACCAATTGATGGATTCCTGCCAAACTTTGTTCATGTATGTATTTTGCAGAGCCGATGAATTGATTAGGTTCTGGGGTCACGAGGTCAAAGGTCACAGGGCTCACCATGTATGCAAAAATAGCTCTTTAATCATGAATTCATAATTGGGAGAGTCTACCTACAGGTTGATGATAGACTGTCCTTTGGTTCTTGACCTTCAATTCTGTCCTTCATGGCCAGGCATTGCTTTTGATTGAATATGAACCTGACAAATTTATTTTGCTGTGTTGAGAGCTTTCGCCCCAACACATCCGATGCAAGTCATTTTGTTTTTCAGTTGCCCAGTCTAGTTTCCTACATTATGTTTTTCTTCTGTTTACCTCTTCAGAGGGACTTTATTATTCCATTACAAAATACATATAGACTATTTACAAAACAAGTAAAACGAAACATACATTATATAATAAATGTATAAACATTACAACTGCAGGGTAAAGACTCCAATATTTGCTGATTTTTTAGTGCTAGGGAAACTTTTCAGTGTTATGGACAGTTTTAAGATTATTGATTGTTCAACATATATTGTGAATGATTGAGGCTGCTATCATGTTTTCATGATATATACCGTGTTTATTTATTACCATTTAAAATAAGATCAATAATGATATGAAACGACAAGCATCTAAGATAAGAGATGTTCTAATTTATATAAGATTGTATGAACTTGTCAGTGATAATATGGCCTTATCACTTGTCAGTTTTGAGTGGCAGGCAAGTAAGAATGCATAATAAAAGTTTATAAGCTGCATTTGTGTGATGACCTCTTTTAAGTTTGTTTCAGTTATGATCAGTTTTCATAGAGTGCAATGTGAAGGAAGGGCAGGGAGACAAGGAGAGATAAACAGAAAGGGAGAGGTAGGAAAGAAAAGGAAACTGGATGAGAGAGGGGGCAGAGGGAGGATGAGAGAGGGGGCAGAGGGAGGGGGAGAGGGAAAGGGAGAGAGGGGGCAGAGGCAGGGAGAGAAGGGGAGGGGGTAGAGAGATAGAGGGAAAGGGAAAGGGGAGGGAATGAGAGAGAGAGAAGAGAGAGATAGAGGGGAAGGGGGACAGAGATCGAGGGAAGGGGAGAGAAGAGAGAGAAAGAGCGATGGGTAGAGAGATACGAGATGATTTATTTTGATTTGCGCTGTACAAGAAACGAATATCATTATTATACAAATGCGAGTATTATTATTATCTAGTTTGCTTCCAGTAGATAACTATTCACTTTCGTTCTTTCAATACCTCCCGGCAAACTCCTATAATATTTTCACTATGATTGCCATTTGGAAAGGCCGAGGATACACCCAATGACAACCATGCCACAACACGTGCAGATACGATCTACAGGAAATTTATATAGCGCCTTCTCAACTGGAAACAAAGAGCTTTGAGATGCCATCCATGTTTTAGAGGGTCAAAGACAATAAAATAAACAAAATACACATTTTTATACCCAATCAACCTCATTTATTGTAAAATAGTAAAAACAAAAAAAATTGACATTACATTAAGATTTAAAAATCACTTCTACACACCTTCAATCATAAAAAAAAATACAACACTTAAACATTTAACTAAACTTATTCTAGATGACATTGTTTCTTGCTTAGTGAGAATTAGGTATATATATATAGATTTTGAAGATTTACTGTGAAAACGTACAATAGTTTTGAAATTTTCGAGTGACCCATCCAAATATTTGTTTGCTTTTCTCACAAAATATTCACACACAATAACTTCCCAAGTACTGATATTTGACATGACGATCTTGCATCTATTGTTACAGTAAGAAATTGCCAATTTGTATGTTTTTTAGTGAAATTACATAAAGCGATTCACAAGTGAAATTTTTTCAAAGGACTGTATATTTTTTTGTTTGGGGGATTAGGCTCATGATTGTGTAAGTAGAAATTGCAATAGATTTTTATACAGTGTAAACAAATCGGTAAAAAAGATAAAATTCACGTTGCTATATATACACAATACAATTCCTGCATACCTTAACAATTTTGCTCTTATTTTATTCTTTTAGATTCATTTATAAAAGATAGTTTGATTCTTCGGTTCATATAATTTGGTTTTTAAAAAATCTGATAATTCTCTGCATACATTTTGTTTGAAAGACAATTTTTGACAAAATATATATATATTGTTTTAATTGCAGCTTTTAAGAACTCTTGCAAACATGAATATATATGATCAGTTAATTATTGGTCTTTTCTCGCTTCATTCATTCATTGTGCTTATCATTACATACAATAAACCATCCAGTGAATTGCAGGAATCATTAGCAGAAGAACAAAAACAGATAAATCGATGGAATACATCACCTGGAAGACATCACTAATTACTGCAAAACATCAAAATATACAAGATCATTCATTTTCAGGGGTACAGTGTATGTTAATAGGTTTTCACTTGCTATCTAAAAGACAATGCCACAATACATCTGCGGTTGCAAGATCAACAAGATGAGCAAAAATAAACAATGAGACAGCTTAAAGGTATTTTAAAATCAAAATGTCTTGAATGTAGTGAAAATTACTTATATAGAACTCAAATAAACACCTTTAGAGTCATCTGACAAACGTGAACATGTGATAAAGCATGTCTATGATATTTATAATATATACAGAAACAAAAGCAAAGTAGCAAATCTCGACAAAGTGAGCTCCGATATTTTGATAAAATAAGTTGACAGCCTCTACAGGACCTACTCTTAATTAGTCTTACTATCTTGTAAGCAGTTACGATGTACTGCACGCAGTAATCCTCCCCTTACGAGAAATCGAAGAAACATTTGAAATTTGACAGATTCCACTAATCGTCCCACAAAATTAAGAATAAGTGATGTGAGAATATCTTGGTGACTTGGCACTTAGCATGCTGTCTGTACCTACTTCAATCTTACTTGCTAAAAAAGGATTAAAAACTTTGTTGGGACAAAATAAAAAAAATAAACATAAGTAACTTCTACAACTTCTATAAATTCATACACACTTTATTGGCTCTGTCAATACATTACAGATATCAGAGTTGAAAATGATTTATATTTAAGAATAAAGAATACACAGCATCTGATAAGAGAATTATTGGAAAGAGTTGAAGGGAAAGAGGGTAATAATGTATATAAAAGTGTCAGTCTTAAGAAACATTAATTGGTGCTAAAATAGCGATTCTCTTATGTTTTATCGAATCTTGTATGCAAATGTGCTTATATACATTGCCATCTTAATTCTATGATCAAAAGTATCAAAATGTAATTAAATGTACAACAATTTAAAAAGTTCATTAAAAATGCATCGCATATATGCTTTAAAAAATGATTTCACGATAAAGGAAAGCATCGGATATGTGTTAGTGTATTTTAGAATACATTTTTTAATCGGGCTTGGACTCTGCAAAGAGACCCAAGTTTTGAAATTACCTCAAATATATAGATTCAAAGCAAAGATCCTATTGCTTTACACTTCATAATGTGGTATTAAACCCCATGATATCACACAAGCATCCTCGCATACAGCCCTCAATAAAGACTAATAAATTTCAGCAATAAGTACGCTTGTTTGACATTAGAGGCATTGAATTAATTGAATACACAGATACAACTCTTTACTGATGAAATCAACGTCTAAGCCACAAAATGCGAAACTACGGTAGGGCAAAGATTTATATTATTGTATGTGAGGGTACTCATAAACAGCCGAGGTAACATTGCTTTGGGACCTTACAAAGGGTGGTCGTAGCCGTTGTTATCGGGAGCTGTGTAGGCCACGGAGGGTTCGGGTCCCGTGCCAAAATTGAGAATTCCTCCGAAACTGGTTCCGTGACTCTGATGGGCTGCAGCGGCCTCGATTCGGTGTTTCTTGAGAGCGGGTCCCCAGGTCTCACGCGGGTTAGACATGGCCCTCCAACGCTGTCAAATAAAAGATAAATAAAAGATATATAAAAGGGTTTAACTAGGTACCATGGGAAGGAAGACAAAATCACCCATACAGAGATAATACAGAGAAATTGTATTTCAATATATTATGAATGCACATTGAATGCATTACTAGTTTTTTTGCTAGGTCAGACAAATAGTCTGGCTCATCTGACCATACAATGCATTATACATGTACTTGAATTCTTATTTCAGAATGATTGAAAATACAATAACTCTGGAAAGGTCAATGCGGATACAAAATACTGTCTTGCTTCAAAGATATTATTATTATCATTGTCTAAAGTTATTCCTAAATATTTTAGTGATGCCCAATCCCATAAACTGAGTAAGAGATTTTCGTCAACAAAGTTTCCCTCAGCACAGAAGTACTCAAAGATCATGATAAATTCACTTTTTTGAAAGTCCTTGTAAACAATGTGGACCAATACATAAGCCCCCTGTTAAAATCTGCCACCGATGCCCCTTTTAACAAGGAGGAAGATATAACTGAAAATCATAAAGACTTTTGTTGTTGCTTACCAACAAATTAAAAGACCAGAAACAGTTTTTAAGATACATGTGTTGCCCCCAATTGAAAAATGTTTCAGTGACGCCCACACAGTACTGATTTATAGATTTAAGCCAGCAAGGTTTCCTAAAGCACAGAAGTACTCATAGATAACGTTTAATTAATTTTAGGAAGACCTTGTGGACTTCTGAAAACCTTGTCAACACTTGTAAGAACCTTCAAGCCCTTCTGGGAGTGTTTCACAAAGACTAAGATCGACTTTAGGTTGGATTTAAATATGGCAGGCCATTCATGCCACTGGTTGCTCTCACCATTGGTCGTTCAATTATGATATTTAGATATTTGTTCCTTCAATAATGAACTATCAATACAGCTGAATTCTGTAGATGTGTCACCGTGATTTGTACGTCCCTTGAGGGACCATTGTCAGCCAATGGTGAGAGCAAACAGTGGTATGAATGGCCCTGCCATAGTTAAGTCCAACTTACAGTCGATCTCAGGCTTTGTGAAACACTCCCCAGGACAGAAAAATAAGCCCCCCCCCCCCCCCCATTGAAGTTTTCTTTTGAC